AATAGAGTCCAGGACCAGCATAAATGGAATTGCTTAATGCTCAGGAGAAAAGGAATATAAAAGTCGGGATTGGCTAATACTAGTTTTCTCTGTCCAAACAGGGTCATTCTTGTTGGCGAACTCACGCTTCACATTGCAGTCTGGCTATGTCCACCGGCTTTATGGGCCGCCGCTGCCAGGAAACCAGAAGTACTGCCTGAGGTTCTTCTACTCTCTCAGGGGTTTCAGCAAAACTGCTCAGGCATTGGCTGTGTATCTGTATGACACAGCTAGTGCTAAACAGGACAAAATCTGGACCCAGACTGGCCAAACCAGGGATATTTGGATACAAGCTGAACTCACTATCCAGAGTCAAAAAGCTATCCAGGTAAAGGTTCAAGACTATAAATAATTTAAAGTATTTGTACACTTTTTAATTTGATTCTTGCCATATTTGTGAATGTTCAGATTGCTTATGTTGATGAAGACTAGTCAAAAGCAGGGAGAATGCTGTTTAAGACTCTAAAATTCTAAGTCTAAAATTCAGTGAAAATGACTCATTCTGTTTTATACTGTATCTGAAAGAACCAATATGATGCCCTCTAGATATTCAAGTCATAGAACAACAATGAGTCATTTCCCCATTACTTTCCTTTATGATCTAATACCAAACATATCAAAGAGCAGCCTGAACTGAGCTCAGACGGCTCAGAATGCCCTTGATTAGAAACAGACTGGTTGACGGTCGTATTTCTGTTATCACTTACTTCTCTTTTGTGTCTGGCTCGACCCTGTAACATCTGTCATATGACAGGGCGTCATGTGTTTCTCTGTGTTTTCATAGGTTTTAGAACATAGGAACTGGAAAGGAATGACCTGAAAAAATTATGCGCTGCATACCATGAGAATATTTCACTATTATGCAAACATTGCATCTCATTAAACTACAATCAAAGCATTTATCAGTGTAACATGTAATCAGTGAAAGCTTGACACCAACTGATAAATTGTAGGCTGTTCTATAACTTTTCTTGTGACATGTTCATTTAACAATGTGACGTCATCTCTCTTTCATGAAAGCTGGTGTTCATCAGTACATGCAAAAGCTTTTGGACTTGTGGCTCTGTTGGTCTTGATGACATTAGTATCAGTCTAGGGGATTGTGAGCTGCCATTAGGTAAAGTAACCATTAAAAATAAAAGTTTTGATTAGTCATCAGTCATACAACACACAAATACATGTAGCATTACAGCTATTTCCCTGATCTTGTACATTACAGGACCTCTACCTGTTCCTTCTCACTGTAACTTTGAGACTGGGCTGTGTGGGTACACTCAGGACAAACAGGGAGATGAAGCAGACTGGGTTTTGGTCAGAGGGCCGACCCCAACATCTTACACAGGACCTAAAGGGGATCACACAACTGGAGCTGGTGCGTTGCCTTTCCTTCCCTTATTCTATCCCATTGACTTGTAACGTACATACATGTACATAATACAGATGAGTAATTAATTAATACCTGAGGGAATGGAGAAACATAATGAGTGCAGGCGTATTACAGTTATCATCCTATCATACTGTGTGGAATGTTGAGCAGGTCCAGTTGTCCTCAATTTTGGATCAAGATGGTAAGAGGAAAAGATATAAGTGACTTTAAAAAAGGACCAAATGGAAATTCAGTCACAGAGATTGCTCAACTGTTTAGAGTTTCAATAGGAGCAGTGACTGAATTATTTATTTATTTAAATAAATATATATATACATACATACATAAGAACCAGATGTCTTAAGAGTTTAAAGCCTCTAAAAGCTATACAAAGGCAAGAATATGTGACGCTATTTTATGGTAGTTTTGACATAAGATTTTGGCCTAAACCTAAAATGTACATTTAAAAATCCACTCATTATAAGGCAAAACAGTCCCCCGAAAAAGATTTAGCAAAATTTAGATTTACCACTAATGTACTATTATCAGCATTACATGAAAGAACTCATAAGACATATGTAGGTTCACTGATAATTTTGGATATTAAATAAAATGTGATGTACTTCCTATCACCACCAAATAAGAGAAATCTGAAACGGTATGTTTCTTTGAAATGAACAATTTTGCATTTAACCACTTCGATTGACTTTGTTTACATCTCAGTTACTGAACTATGCAGAAAGTTTGAAAATTCTGTGGGATTCCCCTTTAAAGCCATAGTTTGTTAGCTAATGTAGCTGATAGAATCTAAACCCCAATGAACCAGGGAACTAGGTCTGTTGTCTGGACAAATGAAGTTTATTCGTTGTGCGCACAGGTTCCAGACAGCCAGCCAGCCCGTAAGACAATGGACTGTCACAGTTTTATAGCTGGACTGATGCCAAGAATAGACCCAGCTTATACATGACAAGTGACAGGTGTGACAGACATGACCATATAACGAGAAAGACAACAATAGGCAGCCTAAAATACAACTTTAGCACCTTTACACACAACACAGCACATTTCACAACAATACATTCCTTCATAGCTAACAAGTGATGGAATATTCTACCCTACCAATTAGCATTGTACAAACATGTCTACATCATCACACACTTGAATAAAAATGGACAAAAGCCCACTGCATAGTTAAAAACTGTAGAAGCAATCTTGAAGTCTGAAGTTTGTTTGTAGCTTTGTCCATTTTATAGGTAACAGTGTGTTGAACAGTGGCAGAAACCACATAAGCAAGTCTATTTGAGATCTTTTAACAACTCAACATGGTGTGAGGCAAATTTTTGATGATCCATGGTTGCCTTTTTCACAATGCACAATGTTGGGTTATAAGCTTTCATTATCTGTATGAAAACATTAACCTTAGAAATAATAAAGAGGCAAACGTCAGACACTCAGCATGTCTTGGCTGATCAACTACATGTGGTGTAAAAGAAAACTATCAATTTTTTTTTTTGTTTTAAATGTGTACTGTTTTAGAGGCCCATTCTGATGAATCTAATCATTTGTTTTAATGTTTGCTTAAGCTACTGTTTATATTCCAGAGTACTTGTCTGAGTTACAGCCCAGTCTCTTTTTCTTATCTAAGGTCACTATTTGCACATTGAGGCTTCCCTGATGCTGGCGGGTCATAGAGCCCGCCTCAGCTCCAGTCTTCTCCGTGGTTCTAGAGGACCCCAGTGCCTGCTGTTCTTTTACCACATGTACGGCTCTGGCACAGGCCAGCTTAGCGTTCTGCTACACTCAGACCTGGAGGAAAAAGACAGGTTGCTTTGGGTCCGCAATGGAGAACAGGGCATCTCCTGGTTCAGAGCATCAGTGAGTTACCAGTATGACCATCAACACCAAGTAAGTAAACTCTAACACCCACAATGCATCAGTGTTTGTTCCTGTCTTTAACAGGACATTTTAACCTAATTTTGGTCAAAACTGTCATTCATATTTTCTGTCCTGATTTAGATTGTTTTTGAAGCCACACGTGGGCCTTCAGTAAGAAGTGATATCGCAATTGATGATATCATATTTCAAAAGGGACCCTGCAAAGGTAATTCTTGTGCATTAGCACTGATTTTATGCCATTTGCGTTGTAACCGAAATTATTCACAAATATATCAAGGCATCATCAGTGAATTCTTTCTTTTTTTCACTCCCACAGATGCTGACCAGCAAATTTCACATTTCAGCTTGTTCGGAGATCAAAATATCATTGAATGAAAGACTAAATGACACAACAGAGTCCAGCAGTGCAGCTGATAAACGTAACCTATGTAAGAAACACTTGAAAAAGGGGGAACCAGTGCTTTATAGTAAATAATATATGTGGATATCAGTCATAGCTGCTTCTTTTTTATACATAATGTAACTAAAATAAGTTCTGCTATTAGGAGTATCAGATTCGATACCAGATTGCTTGTTCTGCATGACAGTATCATAACAATGTCATCAGTTTACTTGTTTAATCAAACTAATTTTGCAGTCTTGATTCCTGGTTTATGCTTAGCATCACACAACAAGGAGTAGGTGTGGTGATTTTAGAGAATGTTTAATAAAGACAAACTTATTTACACGTGTATTCCTGTTATTTTTACTAACTTTATTGCTGCATAAATGAATGATCATTATTTTTTAAAAAGTAAAGAAGTAATAAAATGATGGAATGAAGAGTAAGTTTAAAATTATGGGATGAAAATATGATGTGGTACTGTAGGTGAACATTATTAGTCTGTAGTGCCATCTAGCGGAAGAATGATGTCATAGTTTAGGTCTGCTCCTGCGTGCCACTGCAGAATCGGCAAATTTAAAGGAACAGTTCACCGTTTCAGATTAGTAATATGGCGTTTTGTTCCATTTTCATTGTGGTGCTTTTTTGTGACTTGCTTCTAAAGTAAGATATGAACTTTTAAACGACTTTCTATAAACTTCCATAGGACAGAAAAACTGCATCCATTCTCAGGTTCGTGATGGTCCTGCGCAACCACATAAAAATAGCTAAAATATATACACCACGCTCTTGGATTATGGCATGATTTATGAATGAGTGTTTTGACGTTTTCGCCCAAATTTGTTCGAATAAAATCTTTATTTAATGCGTTTAATGACTCGTACTGTGGTCGCACCGGCACCACTTACCTGTATTCATCCGCCTGTAAAACGCATCACTTTTCATAACCTTCAGACAGGAGGAGCCTCTCGCTGACACACTTGTCCGAGTGTATGACAATTAAATAGTTTTAAGATAAGACACGTTATTTTTCCTTTGTCTTTCTTTATTTATACATATGCGATAAAAAGACAACTTTTAGACATCTGCGCCGCTGCACTTCGGTATATTAGAGTTTCTAAAAACATTCTGTGCCCCGTTCAAAATAATTTTAGTGTCGTGTTTCATCTTTAACAAAAGTTGTTTAAAGTGGTTAAAACAAATCCCGAAAAGTGAATTTTATGAGGAAAGACTTTGAGCTGCACCTTTAACCATAACCTGAAAACAGGGACGTAACCCACGTGACTGACTGTAGCCAATGAAACGCGGACCTGCTCAGCAACACCGGCGCGAAACGAAAGAGGAGCAGTGCAGGAGAATGGCGTTACAGGGCAAAAGAAAACGAATAAGTCATATTTTAACGAACTCCCAGATTCCGAACAGTCAGTCCACGCTGCCCTGCACCCCTCAGAACGGAACGTTTTCTCAGGAAGATGGCCGGAGAGGCCGTTTTGTGGAGGGCTCTATTCTCCGCATCACTATGCAAAACTTCCTGTAAGTTGCTAAGCTGGCTAACCTTGTTAGCTGTAGACCTTCTATTCAGCCCGTAATATTAGACTCTAAACTATACAGTATTGTTTTATTTGTCATTTCTGATGTTGTCTGTGCTCGTTCACTGGCCAGCTTCCTAGACATTTGTTTACTTAGCTCTACACATTTACATGTTAGCTGGTTAGCTGTAAAGTGTCATGTTTTGTAATGCCATGTGTGAGAATGTGTAAACAAGTAATGACAAGGTATTAGTCTCTTAATAACTAGTATGTTGAATTAAACTAACTACGTTTACATGGAAGCTCTCATAGTTCATTAACGGTCAGAATACCTCTTTTCCAGCACATATGATCACTCAGAGGTTTTCCCTGGACCTAACTTGAACATGATAGTGGGAGCCAATGGCACTGGCAAGTCGAGCATAGTCTGTGCCATTTGCCTTGGACTGGCAGGGAAGACTGCCATACTGGGCCGAGGGGATAAGGTCAGTGGACACTTTAGTTTTACGTGCCTACCATTTTTTTAATGTTTAAATAGTCATTTCGTATAAAACTTGAGATATAAAAGATACAGAACTGGGCATCCTTGACATTTAAATTGCAGCTTTTTGTGATCCAAAGCCAGAAAAGCAAGAAAAATCACGTAGCCAGTGAAATGTGGCTTAATTTAGTTTTGAGAAATTTTGGATTTTTATCTTTTCTTAAGAAGAATGTTAGGACTTTTTCTTTTTTGTGACTTAGTTTTATTTTTATTTCTGAAGTCAAATCTTAAGCCCTTTTTAGATGTGTTTTTATGAATTAATTTTGTTTTATTTACTGTAAGCACTGATGCTGTCATGAAAGTGTGCTGTATAAGTAATTACTATTATTATTTGTAGTACTGTTATTAACATTATTATTATACTGTTGGGCATTTCTCCATCTTTAATTGGTTCAGCATAAGTATGTACACTGTTTTACATTAGGGTCTCTAGCAGTATTCAGAGTTAATACACATTCAAACTATCAAAAAATGAGTAGCAAGTAACACCTGCATTCAAAGCAGGTAGTTAACCTCACATAAAATTCAGCTGTTCCTGATGTTTTCATGGTTGCATCCTTCTGGGATAGATATAGTCCATGAGGAGCTGGCGAAACCACTACAGAATCTTACTGTTAAATGGTACAGATCAGGGGAGTGGTATAAAAGAATATCAAAGGCATTGGATGTAGCGTAGACCACTGTGAAGATGGTCATCAATAAGTTGAAAAATGTAGCGCCACAGGGACATTGCTATGGTCTGGAAAAATCCTCAAAAATTGATGAGGTAAAAAAAGAAAACTTATTTGGGAGGCATTTGACAACATTAGAAAAGCTGGAGAAATTTCTGCCTACTACATGCCTGTGACAACAATGCCCAATGTTCTGCACATGTTTGGGCCATGGAATATAGCAAAAAATGCAAACCATTTTTCACCAAAAGAAATTATCCAAGCCTATCTGAACTTTGCAAAAATACATCATGTCAACCAAAATCATCTGACGAGACCCGGGTTGAAATGTTTGGCCTGAATTCTAAAAATGTGTCAGAGCGCTACTATGAAGCATGGTGGTGGGAGCATCATGTTTGGGGCTGCTACCCTTCAGTAAGTACGGGGGCTTTATTCAAGATAGATAGAATAATGGCTAGCTCCATATATTAAGATTTTTTTTCTTGACATAAAACCTGTTGGCCTCTGTTAGAAAGCTGACAATGAAGAGCAGTATCCTCCTCCAAGATGATAATGGCCCAAACACCACATCCAAGTCAATAAAGGAACTGTTTTAAAAATGAAGATCATTGTCTTAGAAAGGCTCAGTAAGACTCCAGACTTCAATTCCATGGAAAACCTGTGAAATGATCTAAATTGGGCGGTGCAAAGGAGATAACCTGGCAGTTTGAGCTTAAAGCTTTTTTTGTAAGGAAGAAAAGGACAAAATGCAAAAGTCTAGGTGTAAAAATGTATTTACCTAAAGACTAACCAATGCAAAAAGCTTCAACAAAGAATTAGTTGTGGTGGTATGTGTGCATGTGCAACTAGAGTTTTTATTGTATTTTTTATTCTTTTTTTATTATTATTCTCTTATTTTGTTGATTGCAAGGTTTCATTATTATTATTATTATTATTATTATCAGGTTTGAAACCAGTTTTAGATTCTGAGGTGAACATTTGATCTGATTTTCAAAATTCTTTGTTTAAAGAATATTTTGAATATATAAAACTCAAAAGAACACCCCAAAATCGCAATATCTAGAATTTATAAGTGACCTGAGAAGGAAAAAAACACAACATTTCAACACATGCATACAGTAAGCCCTGCCCCATTGTTGTCAACTTTTCTCTAATAGAATGTAACCGGATTCTTTGTTTTGTTCACTGGCTGTGAGTCCTATGAAATACGGTAAAAGAGAGACTCTCGGAAGAGGCCGAGGGGTGTATCCGCTTTAATGCAGGTAAATGATTTCTTTTTTTTTTTTTCAGGTCAGTCTGTATGTTAAGAGAGGATGCAGTAAAGGCTCAGTCGAAATTGAACTGTAAGTATCTGATTTTTTTCATATTGGTGAATTTTTCTGAATCACTTTAAACCACAATTCATTATGCCTCGCCCACGGTTTATTCAGTTACAGGGCAGAGGGAAACTTGGTGATCAACAGGGAGATCCATGTGGAAAATAATCAGAGCGTATGGATGATGAATGGTAAACACTCAAGTCAGAAGGCTGTAGAAGAAGCAGTCAGAGAACTGCAGATTCAGGTTGGAAATCTTTGTCAGTTCCTGCCTCAGGTGAGTGTATAAATAGGGCTCCATGCATTTCAATAGTAAATCAAAGCTTTTATTAGCTAATAAGCAATATTTCTTTGTGTTGCACAGTTGATGGACAGTTTTTTGCTAAATGTGCTAAGATCGGTCAGATGTTCCTTTTGGTGTAGATTAAATGTTTTTTTTTTTAATTGAAATTTGTATTTTGTCATAAGTGTGGAAAAGTAGTGATTAGTGACTGTGGCTTGCTTTTGCAATGCTCTGTTCTACTCAACAGGAGAAGGTTGGTGAGTTTGCTAAAATGAGTAAGATCGAGCTCCTTGAGGCCACAGAGAAATCTGTTGGCCCACCTGAAATGTACAACTTTCACTGCGAGCTTAAGAGCTACCGCACCAAAGAGAGGGACCTGGAGGTACATTTGTGCTCTTTTGTGACAAATTGTTTTATCATACAACAAATTTGGTAGGCTTGTCATAATTAGGAAATGTTAACAGATGGTTAATTGCTATGTAAGTAATTATTATTAACCACCTTTTTACAGTCAAGGCCTAAAGTGACCAGATTGTCTTGCTTCTTAGCCGTCCATTCTCAGTAGCTTTCGACTGATGACAGAGACAGCTCAAGCTCAAATAAACAAACATTATTCACTGCTGTCCTGTAAAGGTGTTTTGGCACCAATAGACCTTTTGTTTGTTTTGTGAGACACATGACTTGTTTCAACAAATGCGTTTCCTGCCTTTTTTTTATTTATGTGCGTTGGCATCAGCCCAACCAGTGAAAACACACACAAATCAATGTAAATGTGAACATATGATTGTGAAAGCTGTGGAAAATAGTTACAATCAGCTCAAATGATTGCAGTCAGGTGTTGATGTAATAATTCTGATAGGCCTAATTGGACAGTAAAGGAAGAATGCTATTTACAGTAGTTTCTTGTCTGTGTGTCTGTTGTTTGTCATTCATGCTTTGAGGTGTGTTCTTAGGGCTGTAGCTGAAGGCTGTTTTCTTGTTTGGCCAGCAGGTTTGTGAGGGCTCAGTTGTAGCTTTTTTCAAGTTCTTTTTGATATTATTGAATATTATTATATTCATTATTATATTCATTATTGATATTATGTGAGCTTTCACTAAGGGGAATGAAATATAATTTATAGTTGTTTTACTTCATTTCATGGTGATAAAAGTGAAATACAGATCAAAGCCAACCCAAAAAAACAGATCAAAGCCAAATACATTATATATGTTGTTTGTAGACTGATGGAGCAGTCTTGTGATTCACGTTGAGATTTGACATGTCTGTCCTGAGACTTATCTTCTATACTCTGCTTGACAGAATTTGTGCAAGGAGAAAGCCAACTTTCTGGAGAAAGCCAAGCAGAGGAATGAGCGCAATAAGGTGGATGTGGAACGGTACCACATGAAGAGGAGACACCTGGATAGGATTCAGATGTTGGACAAGAAGAAGCCATGGGTGGTGAGTGTCTGTCTGTGCTTATGATATTTCATGATTTATTCTCTGTGTAATCTATCCCCTTTGCTTGTTGTCTGGCCTCTGAGAGGTACATATTTGTCTTTTTTCCTTTTAATAATTTATCATGTCATACCAATGTTCTCTTGTAAAGGTATGTTTCTTAAGTCTTTCTATGATTAAAAAAGCAATAAATAAATAAAAAGAAATAAATAATATGAATGTTGTTCCATCCATCCATCCATCATCTAAACCGCTTATCCTTCTGGGTCGCGGTGGGGTGCTGGAGCCTATCCCAGCTGTCATTGGGCGGAAGGCAGGATACACCCTGGACAGGTCGCCAGTCCATCACAGGGCAGACAGACAGACATACACATTCACACACTCACTCACACCATGCAATTTTAGCATGTCCAATTGGCCTGACTGCATGTTTTTTTTTGGACTGTGGGAGGAAACCGGAGTACCCGGAGGAAACCCACGCAGACACGGGGAGAACATGCAAACTCCACACAGAAATGACCCTGGTCGCCCGGCCGGGAATCGAACCCAGGCCATGAATGTTGTTATTATTCTTATTTTCTTACGAACTAGGATGTACAAAGTTATCAAAATCAGAATGGTATTGGCAGATATTTGCTTAAATTAAAATATTGGCATTGGACAGATGCAGGTCACATTTCTCTGTAATGCTTATTCAGGTAGATTTATGATTAGGTTCTACATGTTATAAATGTTTATGTATCAGCATCAATATCAACATCTTCAGATAAGTGAATGAAAAGTATTGGATACTGGCATCAGCCAACAATTCCCATATCGCTACATCCCTAGCTATGAAAAATTAGAACTTCATAGAAGAAGAAAAAACATTATTTACTTAAATGCGCATTAATGTAATGAGATTCTTTTCCAAGTAATGTATAACTACTTATGTTGATTCGTTTGTCACAAACTGTTCACATGACGTAAAGGAGGTTTAACTGTTGTCAAGTGGAGTGGAAAAAGGCCAGTTACAAAATGACAGTCTGTATAGTTTGTTATTATTTACCTTGACATGGATAACATACCCTGTTGTTTCTGTCTTTTGGTTTAGGAATATGAAACAGCTCGTAAAGAACTGGAAGAAGTTAAGAAGCAGAGAGAGGAAATGAAAAAAACTGCAAAGTCCTTGAAGGAAGCTCAGGCCCCTCTGCTAAGAAAGATCCAGTCTATAGACAGCAAACTACAGCCTATTGAGAATCAAATGAAGGAGAAGGTCTGGAAGAAGTTCCCAGTCCATTCTGACTATGGTTGCATCAATACCAATTTTTGGGTGGTATCAGATGTTAGTAGCGGTGCATTTTTATGAGGTTGAGTATGAGTAATTGAGCATAGTATCTGGCAAATATCTGATACCATTATTGGTATTGATGCATCCCTAATTATGACAAATCACCCAATTATCACTTTTACACTCTCTTGTCTCTTGTTTTTGCAGACCATTAAAATCAGAGAGGCATCACAAAAATGCAAACAGAAGCAAGACCATCTAGATCGGAAATATAAGGAGGTATGTCACTGTTTTCTGTAACGCTAGAAACTGATACTGTATGTGTGGTGTAAGGTAGTATTTCCATAACTACTACAATATAAATGCATACTGCAGCATACTTACAGGTGCCTCCACTACATTTGGGCTAAGCATGTGGGCTATAGATTTTTAGAGGTAAAAAGTGTATAGATAATCTCAAAGTGTTTATAAACTAAAGTAAGGTTCACAGTCAGGGTTCCTATGGTCATGAAAGTCCTTTAAAAGTCATGAAATTTCGAAATTTGGTTTTCCAGGCCTGGAAAAATCATGGAATTTCCTGGACGTTTCCCTTATGTGATTCATCATCTCATTACATTTGAAGCACTGAACAATCTAGATTGTAAAAAGCTTTTAGACCTAAGACCAACATATCGGGACATGGACTAGTTTTACTAACATGTTGTTAAGAATCTGTTAGCTAAGGCGTAACATTTAGGACGTGTGCTGTGGAAGATGTTTTGACATTCGAATACAGGAGAAGACGAATTAACAAGCTAAATGTAAAAGGAAAAACACGCTGCTGTTGCTTCTCACACCAAGACCAGCGTAAATAGCTCTGTGAGTCATGCTAGGTTTATACTTAATGCCTTATGAGTGACAAGAGGGTGTGTAAGCCAGAAATGATGCAAACATGGTGCCATTACTCTCTCTCATTATATCCCTCTCCTAAATACTACAAAAGTTGCGTCAGTAGTCACTGACATTGCGGATTTGGACGGGACTAAAATCACTGAGAAACTTTAGTAGCCTAATAAAAACATTACTTCCCCACAACGTAAAACTAACCCCCCCCCCAAAGTAAACTTCAACTAGATAACTCGTTTCGCTAGATAAATAAGTTCTGACAAGACGCTAAACCACCCTTTACAAACGAAACTGATGGAAGTGTTTGCACATGAGGATATGAGATGAGAGAAGCGTCAAGACAAGATATATAGGCTCTGAAATTATAAGACATTAATGTATTGAGCAAAGTGACAGGTCCATTCTCTGAGGATGACCTCACAGTAATTCCATTTAAACTGCATTTTGACTAATAATAGTTTTGGCTAATAATATTTAAATATTAAATTTATATTTACATAATGTAGCGCTTTTTTTCTTCTTTGAACAGCTATCTGCATGTTAAATTAGTGCTGGGCAGTTACTGATAAAATTCATCATGCTATTATGTGATATTAAAGTTTATAATATAACATTAATAAAGTTAATCAGTTCATGCTTCATGAGTTTTCTTATTTTTATGGATTTTAAGCAAGCTTTAAATGTACCCAGTCAAGGACTGCATACCATGAGTAAAGTGCACAAAATTATCTGTCAAATATGTCACTGAAAAGATGACCAAAACTGGAAATGGTATGTTAGCATCGCAGCATACCAGTATAGATATTATATCGCCCAGAACTATATTAAATGTTTGGCATGGAAATTTCATTTTATGTCATGGAAAAGTCACGGATTTCCCCTTTTTAAAAAGTATACCCTGTACAGTGTGAATAAAATGCTCACATTTGCTCCTTATGATAAAAATGTGAACAGTTTTATTATTCTTATTGATTATATGTGAATCAAAATCTTCTTGTTTTAAGTGATATGGTTTAGTTAAAATAAAGTTGCTCTTGCTGCAGGGAAGAGGACATACTATGTGTTGATTGGATAAAAGACAGAAATCTTGATTGTTAATTCAAAGAAATGTGTTAGTGTATTAGTACAATAACATACTAGTCTCAGAAGCTTACATTTAGCAAAGAAGCAAGCGAATGGACGAGCAAGTGCCTTTTTGTAACTTGTAATCAGCTTAGACTTTTGATTGCAAAATTTTTAGAATGCTTATTCGAGAATCTCACGTTATAATATGAAGTTTTATTTATCTATTTATCTATTTATTTATTTATTTATTTATTCATTCATTGATTGCAGTTTTTTCAGATACCATGTAATTAAAACTGCTAAATTAATTTGCTGTTACAATGAAAAAATTACAACAGACCATTCTCAACAAATCTATCAGTACAATATACATATAAAAAAATCTCTTGTATCTCTCAGTCTGGCGTTTTGGAGTGGCTTGGCTGTTTGAGTTCCTTGTTCGTCTGCCTATAAGCTCATGTCTAAGGGTCCGCTGGAGAGTACAAGGTAACCAGGAAGTCCATGTCTAGGCCAGACTTTTTTCCTGACACAGTTTTAACCTCATCCTCAGATTGATGACATCAAGCAAGCCCTTAGCCTGAAACAGACGGAGGAGGCAGACCGGCAGAAGCGAATTGGGAACACGAAGCGAATGATCCAGGACCTGCAGAGAGAGCTGGACAATATGGGCAGCCAAGAGGATGTTACACCCAAGATTGAAGCAGTTAACGCTGAGCTCAGGAGAATCCAGGAAGAGAAAGCAAGACTGGACGGAGAGCGACAGGACCTGCGCAGGGATAAAGACGAGGCCAATGGAGAGCTGAGACGTATGATTTACTGGATATTTCAATAACTGTTGAGGACAGGATTTTGTGTTATAGGAAACCTAGTAGTGGTGGTATGATGGAGGGACTGTTGAAAGGTTTTTGAACAAATAGTTAATCTGTCAATATCCATACATGCAGACGTGTAGACTTTGAATGCTGAATATGCTATTCACATGAATTTGAGAAGGGTGTTTGTATATGGGGACATATAATATTTAATATTTTAGATATAATATTTAATTTTTATAGGCCAATCATAACTAAGATTACCAAAACGTGAAAAGAAAGCTGTGAACAGCAGAGTAGGTTTAATTTATGCATATTCAAATTTTTTTCCTCAGTATGTTTTTTTCGGGCAAAAAAAAGGTGGTAAATTATGTTAGCAGCCAAGACAATCAGCTTCCATGTAATTTGTATCTTATCAGTCTAGAACATTTTGATTTATGTGTATTTTAACTGCTATGAGAGCTAAGGAGCTAGCAGAACATAAATAATGGGCAGAGTTTTTAGAATGATTGGCCTTGGCACTGTAAGTCACAGATGTTTAACAAATAAATCCAAATGCCTAGTAGACAGTACAATATTTGGACATGACATGGATTTGCATAGTTATTGAACTCCATTTGGTAAATATTTCCACAGCAGTTACTCCTGTGTGTTAGTCTCAGAGTGCACCAAAATTTCATATCACCATATTACTTCAGATCACTCCTTTTCTCCTAGGAATTATGCTACTAAACCCCACTACAGGGAACTGTTTTCCCATAGGTTTTCATGTTTGAATAGCCCTATTGGAACCTAGAATCTTAAGGCCTTTCTTAACACTTTCTGTTGTCTCAAAACTTTCATCATTCTGGAACAACAGTAGATATCTCTGAGTCATTCTGTTTCTGTTTTTGATTGGCCTGAAGGTCTGCAGAATCGCCAGAGGAGCCTAGAGGACATGATGAACAGGAAGGAGGAAATGCTGCGTAGCCGATTCCCTGACACCCATACAGCCTTACTATGGTTAAGGAATCACCGTAATCTTTTTGAGGGGAACGTCTATGAGCCCATGATGCTGGTGGTGAGAGCTTTGCTGCCAGCTTAAGTGCGCGTACTGTGTCCAGTGCTGTGTACAGTGCTGAAAAAAGTATTTGCCAATTTCTTCTATGTTTTGCATATTTGTCACACTTGAATGTTTCAGAACATCACACTACTTTTTATATTAGATCAACAAAATCCAAGTAGACACAAAATGCTGTTTAAATAATTATTTCATTTATTGAAGGAAAAATGCTGTTCAGCCCTACCTGGCCCTACATGAAAACCTAATTGCCCCATAGCTATTAAATCAACCAGTTAATTGGGTTCAGTTTCACTAGCCACACCCAGGCATGATTGCTGCCAGACCTGTTGTATATAAATGTGAATTAAATAGAATCTCTCTGGTAATGTGAATCAGGCTAGAAGATGTCAAAAAGCAACACATGATGCCACATTCAAAAGAAATTCAGATACAAATGTGAAACGAAGTCACTGAAATCTTGCAGTCTGGAAAGGGTTGCAAAGCCATTGCCAAGGCTCTGGGACTCCAGTGAAGAGTCACTGACAGTCTGCCTGTCAGTTCATGACCTAAAGCTCCAGCTCCAATGGGATTCAAGTCCTGACCTTTTTTTTTTCTCCAGATCAATGTACGAGATCCACGGCACGCGAAATACATTGAGAGCCACATTCCTGTAAACGACCTGAGAGCCTTCGTCTTTCAGAAGCAGCAGGATATGGAGAAGTTCATGACAGAGGTGCTACAAACGCTTGCGATGTTTCACCAACCCAGTCTATGCATATTTTCTTCATAATGACCTTTCTATAGTATTTTAAACATCAATGCTCATCGGTACTTTTCAGGTTCGAGATAACCGGAGACTGAGAGTTAACAGCGTCATTGCACCTGCAGAGTCCTGTGCTAACCGGCCTCCATCACGGCCCATCGACTCCCTCAAGTAAGAGCCTTTTCTTTTTATTTTTATTGAATTATGGCTACACTGTATGTACAAAATAGTATGTTGCAGGTATATTGCTGCATAATGTGTTATTGTGATATTGTTTGTAATATATTAAAAATGTATTTTACAAACCCTTGATGTGATGTGGTTAAGATGGTCCTGCATTATTTCTGGCCAAAATGGTTTACATTTCATCCCCTTAGACTCTGTCTAGCAAACAAAAAGGTTCTATCTCCAAAGTCAAACTCTAACTTAGTTCTATAAGGTTCTGTCTGTGAGCCAATCAGCACTGTTAATGCACACAAGAGGACCAATCATCAGGTTCTGCTTCTTTGTCTTGTCACTGCACTGCTCAGTGACTGCAGGAAAAGTTTATAGAACTTTATGTAACATGAAAACGTTGCTGAAACTCTGCCTTCTTACAGTTTTATTCTAAATTTTATGAATGTTAAATTTTAAGGGTCATTAAATAGTAGACATTTGAATTGATGAGGTCTTAATTACAACATAAACATTAATTTCATTCATTCATCCATCTATTTCTTCTTTCTCCCAATATAAGACATTTTGTGCTGGGACACACTTGCTGTGACAATTTATTAATTTGTTTAAGAGAAAGATGATTTGTCCTAAAACAAGAAATAAATGTCATTAAAAATTAAATATCAAAAATAAGTGTCATAAAAATGTCATGAAAGCATTAAATTTAACTTTATGATACATGTAGACAGTCTGTTACAACACTATTTTTTTTTAAACAAATTACAAGTGAAATTGCTTCTTTTCATGTTTTGCAAGATGGAACTTTATAATTATCATCAGAAAGAGAGTTTTTAGGATTAGAAGGTTCTATCTGCATTTGACCTGTTACAAAAAACACATTTACAAATTTGTTAGGTTTTTGATATTGTACATTTAGAATACATTTAGGTTATCTGTCGTTTTTATGTATTAAAGAGATGTGTTCCACATATCGGTTTAGCAGTTTGGAATGCAAAATCTTTGAAGCTTAATATCTCAAAACTGTTAAGAACATAGAACGTGTTTTGATGATATATATGCATATATACAATAAAAATAAAAACATTAAACAGAGAAAAGGTTTTACTCTTTTTAGTTTTCTTATTAATTTTAAAATGTCCAGGGCCCTTTACCTTGTCTTAGAATTGAACCAATAAAAATGCTCTGAAATTAAAATATAGGTTATACATGATGTCTCATGTCTCTAAAATGGTAAGTAATTTTAGCCTTGTGGTAGGAGAAGTGAGCCAGCAACATGAAAGTCATAGATTCAGGACTTACTGAGTATTCCTGGCTGTTCCCTTGAGAAAGGCACTTAACCCCCCCTTGCTCCAGGCGGCACTGCTCTGTTGGCAACATGGTGCTGCTCCCAGGATATTGTTAGACAGCAAAATGACAATTTTTTGTAGTTAATAAAGTACATGACATGACATGAATCAGTTCAGTATCAGTTCTAATATACTCATTTGAATTGATTACTACACATCAGGCATGTTTGTGATATGTTTCACCATCAAACAGTTCACACCTAATTACCCAGAGGAATAATTGTGTGTGTGTGTATGTGACACTGGTCATGCCTGGTTTCAGGCCTTTTATTTCACCTCAAGAAGACTAAGCAGGTTAATAGTGAATGCACAACTTCATACTTCATTCATGAGGTTTCAAACCAGAGGTGAAATAAAAGAAGATTTAATGTTTTTACTTGACATCAAGGATGAGTGACACCCAACTTCACCCATTTGAGGAATTTGGTTACAGAGTAGTTCAACCTGCCATGGCACTGAAGGGTGTTTGTGGCAATAAATGGCACTAACGTTATACAGAAAGAGCTCGTTCATAAGCACACATACTTTAATGTGTGTGTAATGTTTCCTGCAGGCGCTTTGGGTTTTTCTCTTACCTCCGAGAGCTGTTTGATGCACCTGAAGAGGTCATGAGTTACCTGTGCCATCAGTACAAAGTCAATGATGTACCTGTGGGCACGGAGAAGACCAAGAGCATGATAGAGACGGTTTGTTCACCTTTCTACTATGCTTTTATTTGTTTTTCTTTTATTTGGAAATGCCTGCAGTGGCATTTTTGGAGGAAAGGATTGAGCAGTTTTTCCACAGTAGGGAGGCAATGATATGGAAATTGTGATCTAATCTTGATCAATATTTTTAATCAAAGCATCTGTAGACATTTTACATAAACATTTTATAGAATGTAGAGATTTGACTACATCACTAGCTTTATGGAGAAATGTAACATTTATTTCTGTAAGGTTACAGTTGCAGTAAGATGAATAAAATGTAGATGTTTTAACAATAGTAGCCCAGTGTTGCCTAAATGTTATGTTCTTTTAGAGTAAAAAAAATGCATCATCCATATCAGAATCATATCAGTATCAGACGATAATTGCATTGGACAGATGTTTGGATTTGGATGATATTTCAAACAGACATTTTTCAGTCACAGACTTTGTAAAAAGGCAAGGGGGTTCACTGTATTATTTGTTTGTCTCTCTCAGGTGATAAAAGAATCTCAGCTGAGGATGATCTACACAGCGGAGGAGAAATACACAGTGAAGAAGTCTGCTTATTCCTACAAGACCATTTCTAGTAACTCCGCCCTGCGCCCCTCGCAGTTTCTCACCATGGCCATTGACACAGAGGAGAGACGACACTTACAAGAACAGCTGAGTGTGAGTATCACCCTTTTTTCGATGTGGCTTCATCCATTTTTAAGGAGCTTTAACAGTTAATGAAACCTAGCGGGGAAGAATTAACCTGATTTTCTTATTTTCTACTGAAAAACCCTCATTCGCCAATAAAAGAAATGCATGCGTCATGTTGAGAATTGTCCATTCCATCAAAAAGGATATGCAGGAAGATGTTGCCATGGTTGTGCAGCTCTGATTCACTACTAAATTAATAAGGTACCCCAGGTTTTAGTGGTGACAGTACTTGTTTTGCTGCCCCTGTGTCCTCAGTTTATGTAGCGAAGGGTGTTGCGTCTCAGTTGTAGTTTGGTTTGCTATAGGTATGCTCTTGATAATTAACTGATGAGTTGAATCAGGCCAGGTTTAAGACCTGACCTATTGGAAATTTTTTACCTACAACTGGCACTAATTTTAAGAGCTAAAATTCTGATTAGGCCTGTGACAAGTGACTGTAAAAACATGTTTACTGCCAGTTTTTAAAAAACTTAGTTTATTCTTTATCTCATGCAAACCATAGTAAGACACTAGTATTCCCACACATGAGCATGAATTTTTAAACATGTTGGATTGTGTGATATCCTATATTTATACCACGTTTACTGTGCCTCACATAGGTGAAATAGTTCTAAAAACATGGCTGTTGAGCTGCACTGGCTGAAGGCACTCTAGGAGAGGGGTCTTTGTGTGTCTTTACAGCAGGCAGGGAAAACAGCATCATCTTTGTAATAAAATTTAATTTCTGGTTAATTCTTCTCAGTTTATACCCGAGCACACACTAAGCTTAGCCTTGTCCTCTTTAATGTTTGGTACAGACTAATTCTCTTAGTTTTTAAATTTAGCTTTCCAGAACCTGATACTTTATTCTCAATAATAAATGCAGTGGAGATTGTACTAGCTAGCAAGAATTCTGGAGAAGTAGAAAACTTATCTAGACTGCGTCTAGAGACATTGGGCCTCATTCACCAATATCTTCTTAAGACCTTTGTCAGGAACAAATTTAAGAAAAAACTTGACGATTCATGACGTGTTCTTAAACCACAGAATTGTTTGCACCTCTGTGCTCTTGAGTGTGTAGATTCTGTTCTTAACTAATAACAAATCCCAAAAAAAGAAAACATTTGGTGAATGACAGAATCTTCGTGATGACTGTGTAAGTGTGTTTTATGAAGAAATTTCTTCTTAAAACAATTGGTGAATGAGGCCCAGGGTCACCTTGAAATGCGAGAGTGTCATAGCTGTGCCAAATCACGTGAGCAAAGCTGGCAACTGCATGCTCCCGGTGATAGGGGAGCATTTAGCTTGAAAAACAAACATTTGTATCCCCACAAAAGTGTGTGGGTTAATAAAAGTAGTAAATGTGTCTGTTACTCAAATGGATGAATATTTTAATTATTAAATTTATCAAATATTTGTAAATATTAGTTACATATTTAAAACTACCTTACAGGTTAATTTCTTTATGAGCGAGACTTCTGCGAATGCCAGTTAATCTGTTGAACTGATTTTATTAGCCAAACTACATGTTGGTCAATCCCTAGTTAGGATCTCTTTGATTACCTTAATCTCTTCGTTCGCTACTAAACTCCAGTACTGTGGTTCTCTAGAACTGTGGTTAGTCACCTCTTACCTAATGTCTTGCTTGGAGCAGGGCTTCTGTAAAACACATAATCTAAGCATTAAGGAGTACAGGGTGATGGTATCGTTTGACCTCTGCAGGCGGCTCAGCAGCAGATCCAGAACATTGACGCCCGCATGAAAGCTGCTGAGGAGCAGCAGGCCAAACTGGAACGCCGTGACAACGAGCTCCGCTTTGAGAAGAAGCATCTCTCAGAGCTGAAGGGCAAGAAGAGACAGCTGGAGCAGAAAATCAGCACTAAGCAGGACAGGTATCTGTGCACACACTGGCGCTGCACAAAAAAAATCACATTAAAATCAGGATCTCGATTTGATTGAAGAACAGCGTCAATTCTCTGCAGCATAGTAAGGCACATAGAGCATATGTCACCACAGCACTGCGATGATAGCGTGCTGATCGGAGTGAGCTTGTATCCACCATAACCACAGACAAGATTTCAGCATGGAGTGTTGCACAAACGGTGGTGAAAGGGACACATGGTCATCACACTTAAAGCTTCAAGTTTGCTATGAGCTGTTACTGAACAAGCTCAAAGTTCGGCAAATGATAGAAGCTAATTTGTAATCAGAATTACTACTTAGCAGACTTGTAAAAACTACAGACACTGCAGATTTGTACTGTGTTAATCACAAATTTCATCGGTAATCATTAAAATTACATCACATCGCCAGGTACAACCAATCCAGCTCAAATAGGACTTTATTTTAACTCCTTTTAACCCATTTTCTTATTTTTCTCCTGCAGCCTGAGGCAGATGGAGCAGGGTGGAATAAACCTGCAGGAAGCTGAGGAGGAGGCTAAGACCAAAATCTCACACGTAAACGACCAGAAGGTTGCTATTGTGGAGGAGATCCTGAACTCCATGAAGGTTTGTGTAAAGCCCCACCATTGTCCCACCATTCACTGTCAGCCACAAACTGTTATTTGTTCATTTATGTATTTATTGTTTTTGTATGTTTTTATAGTTTAGAGCCAGGCTGAGCATGGAGAAAGTTTTCCTGGCTCTTGAGTCAGCTGGTCTAACAGCTGAGAAAACCAAACTGGAGTCCGACCTCAGGGATGGGTCAGCCGAACTCAGGAGAGCAGAGGTCAGAAGGCACAACGATGTAGTTAAACACACTCGTAGCTACTCTCTTGCTCTGCTGTATGTTTGTGTCACCATCCACCCTGTGAAAATCTTCATTGTTTAAGTCCTAGCCCTTGAATCCTGGTCTTATTTTTCTGTTATTGTTCTTAAGACTTTTATTCAGCAGCTGCTTTGAATTATTCAGTTACTACTATGAATTATTCAGCAACTGCTTTGAATTATTTAGTAATTAATATATATTTTTTCAATGACTTCTATTAATTATTTTAACTAATATTAATTATTTAGTAACTACTAAGAATTATCAATGAGTTTTGCGTAATTTCTGTGAATTATTCAGTAGCTACTATGATCTACTGTTTATTGGACTGTGCGTGTGTGTATCTTTTTTCACTTTACCTGCTACAGCAAGTGTTTACTGAACTGGACCAGAGGAAGACGAGTCTTTTGGGGACGTGTAAGAACTTAATGAGGAGAGCCAGTGACATCTGCAACATGAACCCAGGAGAAACTGTAGTACCAGAGATACTGCGCACGGTCAGAACCACATGGAATCTGCTGTTCAGCCTGTTTAGTCTCCTCACTCAGTCATGGAATTTCATCTGTTTATTCATTCTTTTAGTCATTGATTCTTCTTCTTATCCCTGCAGGCTTTTAGTGAGCTGCCGGACACTCTGGATGAAATAGACGCCATGTTGAACGAAGAGAGAGCCAGAGCAGAGTGCTTCACTGGCCTTAGTGAAGCAGTAAGGCACACATATATACAGACTTGCGTACACATTGCTAAAGTTTTTATTTATCATATGTACGACATGCCAAGGACAGCTGTATATCAAAAATACTTGTGATGAGTCTCAGGTCATTTTTCTCTACAGTGGTTCAAATATTTGCGTAATAAATAAAAATGTGTGCACTTTCAGTAAAAATAATATGTAAGTGAATAAATGTGCATGTGTGCAGGGACAAATTTATAGGGCTAGAGTTAACATTACTGTTGTAGTGTAAGGAGAGAGGACTACAACCAAATGGCAGCGTCAATGTAACCGTTATAAAATATCAATAAATGTGCATACATAAGTACGCACATGTGCAGTGACGAGGAGTAAACTTCAGGTGCCAAACGTGTCTTGGCTGATCGACTGCAATGCAGTGGCCCTTCAGGACTTGCTTTGAGTAGCACTGCTGATTTGACTTAAGGATTACTCACATATGCAGGAGAATGTAAAGAGATGTGATTTTTTTTTTACTTGTTTTAATGCTGCTAGGTAGTGGAGGAATACAACAAGCGAGAAAAGGAAATAAAGAACATGGAGAAGGAACTGGAAGAAAAAACAAATGCTTTGAATACATACAGGCAGAACATCTCTGAGGTATGGCTCGATCCCAAACGCTTCAATTGCTGTATATGGTGTGAACTCAGGATAAAACTAATAAATGCATGTGTGAAACAGGCAAAGGAGCGCTGGCTGAATCCCTTGAAATCACTGGTGGAGCAGATTAATGAGAAGTTCAGTGATTTCTTTCGCTCCATGCATTGCGCTGGGGAAGTTGACCTGCATTCAGAAAACGAGGTAAGTTGTGTCTTCTTTGTTTACCTACCAGACACTCAGGCCCACAGTAAACGCACAGCCAGAGGCCACTGACCCACAGTTAGCTGCTATCTGATATCGTGTCCTGATAGGGGAAAGAAGTCCTGCCTCTCTGGCTCTTATTCATTTTAAATGATGTCACACTGTCCTATTCTTAAATGAACAGAGTGTACATCCAGCAGCTAATGTCCTAAAGCTGTTGTTGACAGGTTTAACAAATGTTTGGTCATTCACAAAAATGTTTGACCTGTTAGTTTAGTTATGACTGTTACCACTGCTGGGGTGGGATTTGTTTTCAGACCGGGAAGCATTGCCTTCTATCCCAAAAGAAAAGGAATATAAAAATGCAGGTCTAGTCATTGTTTTTAATTTTCTTAAAATTTGTGCTTTTTACTACCCAGCAGCTAACTTTGCAGAGAAAGAGTGATTAAATACTTTGTTTAAATGTGGTTAGCTAACAGGCTTTTCCATAATCTGGCCATCTGGCTTCTTTATTTCCTACTCTTATTTACTGTAGTTGAATAACTAAGCTGGTTCAGTAGTGATAAAATGAAAACTAGAGAAAGCTTTTATCTTGAAGGGGAATTCCACCTATTTTTCAAAATTTCTGTACCATTAAATGGTTAAAATATAAACAAAGTAATTTATAATACACACAAATCTTCTAAGCCGCTTCAACTTCTGGGTGCTGGAACCTATCCCAGCTGTCATCGGGCGGAAGGCAGGATACACCCTGGACAGGTCGCCAGTCCATTGCAGGGCAGACAGACAGACACATTCACACTCAGGGGCAATTTAGCATGTCTGATTGGCCTGACCGCATGTCTTTGGACTGTGGGAGGAAACCAGAGTACACAGAGGAAACCCACGCAGACACGGGGAGAACATGCAGACTTCACACAGAAGGTCACCCGGCCAGGGAATCAAACCCAGGCCCTTCTTGCTGTGAGGCGACAGCACTACCCACCGCGCCACCCCTCATTTATAACAGAGTAATGCAAAATGTTCTATTCTAGAGAAACTTACTGAGTCAGGACTGTTCACAGTAGTTTTGATAGGAACCAGATGTCTGACATGCTTAATGCCTGTAAAAGCTCCCTCAAAAAAAGTTATTACACTAAATAATTTAAAATCTGCTGCCTGATGCCTGAGACACCTGAGTTTTATGTTAGTATTAAGGTAAGGTTTTGGACTAAATGCTGTTTTTCAGATTCACCACTATTTTCCCATCATCAACATTATATATAAAAGCTCAAGACACATGTAGATTCACTGGACAGTCAATAAAATGGCTATATTTGTGTTGTAGACATTGCGACCCCTGGTTCCCATCACTACCACTGTAAAGAAATCTGAGTAACTATCTCTACAATGTACTATATCACACCAAAACACTCAGAACAATTTTTATTTATATCTCAACAATTGAATTTTACAGAAATGTAAAAAAAAAAAGTGGAGTTCCCCTTGTGATACATAATGCTTGTTAATTACAGTGCTGTCCACAAATATTGGCACCCCAGGTAATGATGAGCAAAATGACCTGTAAAAAATTCTTAATTATAATATAATATAAATATAAATAATATTAATAATATATTATAAATGTAATATAAATAATATTCTTAATTACTTATTACTTCTTTTTGATCTTTCATTCAAAATATTAGCAAAAATCTAACCTTTATTTAAGCTGTAATTATTGAAAGAAAGAAGTAAATCTCGTCATGAAAAAAAATGTTTTTCTTAGATCTGTGTGCCACAATTTTTGGCATCCCTAGAAATCTAAAGAATGAAGTCTAACTGAACCGCACAAATCTTCCAGATCACAATCAAACTCCACCTACATAACCACAAGTTTTGTTGGGGGGGTGGTCAGAAGAAAGCCTCTGCTGTCAAGGACCAACAAACTTATGCTACAGTTTGTCAAACGTTAATGGCATTTTCAGTGGGATCGAGTTCTTTGATCAGATGAGACCAAAATAGAGGGTTTGGGTAAGAAACAACAGAGGGGAGTTTGGCATGGACACAAAGATACATGGTATCACAAACTCCATCAAGTACCAGCAGAAATCAAAATCTGACTGTCTCAGCCAGGAAACTTAAACTGGGCCATAGTTTGGACTTGCTAGCAGGACAATAAGCCAAAGCACGTCTCAAAATCAACACACAAATCGTTCACTGGACCAAATTAAGGTTTTGCCACGGCCACCCTAGTCCCCTGACCTGTGGGATGGGCTGAAGAGGAGAGTCCACAGTGTGGACCTCAGAATCGGAAGGTTCTGGAGAGGTTCTGTATGGAGGATTGGTCTCAGATTGTTTAGCCATGTGTTCTCAAGTCTCATTGTGTTATAGGAGAAAACTCAGAGCTGTTATCTTTGTGAAGGGAGGCTGCACAAAGTATTAAATGTAGGGGTGCCAATTATTGTGGCGCACAGATTTAAGAAAAATTCCTGATAGGATTTAGGTTTTTTTTTTCCCAAGCTTTGTACTTCAAAAAAGGTTAGATTTTTGTAAATATTTAGAATGAGAGCTGAAAACGATAAACAATAAAGAATATTTTTTACAGCCTGTTTGGCTAATGTTTACCAGGGGTGCCTGTATTTGTGGAGGGCACTGTAAGCTCCTATGAGCATTTCTCACTGCCCACCTGCTTGGATCTACTTGAACTGGATAGTGCCAGATTCATGCCATCTAAATTTACACAGACTAATCTCTGCCCTCTTTATGAGACCCATTAACAGGCTAGTTACAATCAGCAAACCAGGGCCACTTGTGGAGGGGGTGCTGGTTTAACCCTTAAATTACTACAAATATAGAATTGGCTGTAACTTTTACTGTTTGTCTCTGCGCTCTTGTGTTTGTATGCGTGAGTTTACATACATTTGCTAATACTAACCAGCCCACAACATCACAGGGTTGCTGGGAATTCTCCTGATTTCCCACTCCTGCATTGGCTGTTACTGAATTTAGTCAGTACTGAAATAATCTCTTAAAAAAATGATCAGTAGTGCCCTTTGGTGTAGCACTAGAAAGTGATGTTTAAAATAGATTTAAAATGACAATAAGCCTTTTGACTAAAGTCCATTTAAATGCCTGTTTCCCAGACCCAGGGTAAGCCTAAACCTAAGACTAAACATACTTTTAATGGTAAAGCACTGCTGGCAACGCAGTTTAGTATAAGATGGTTTAATCCGTGTCCAAGAAGCTGGCCCATACAGTCGTGTTTGTCAGTGTGCAGTGTCCTTGCCAAATAAACATCTTAAGTAAAAAAACAAAAAAAAACACAAATTCACGGTCCTTGTGTGGCAGGAGGAGTATGATAAGTATGGGATCCGTATCAGAGTGAAGTTCCGCAGCAGCACTCAGCTCCATGAACTGACCCCACACCATCAGAGCGGTGGAGAGCGCAGTGTTTCCACCATGCTCTACCTCATGTCCCTGCAGGAACTCAACCGCTGCCCCTTCAGGGTCGTCGATGAGATCAACCAGGTGAGTGACACACCAGCATTCTGGATTACAGTTTTCATTATCACACAACACATTTATGTATACTTCTTGCACAATGGCCCATACTAATCCAAATTCTCATAGTATAAATGATGATCTAGGCATGATTCCCATTCTAAACAACTTAACACCTTTTATATAAGTCGCATAAAACACACAATAAGGCCTAATCTTAGATCAGTCTTCTTACTCAGAACGTGGTAAATAAGGGTCAAAGATACTCTCAGATCTTTTCATCCAGTGATTTCTGGTCTTCACTGGAGTCGCATTCCCATCACAACAAAAACATGATTTACAAAAACCTTCAATACAAAATAAAATGAAAGCAAGTTAAAATTAAAAACTTACTTCAACTCTAATGGGCTTAGTAAGGTTCCTACCAGGAAACATTTATGCTTCCTCACATATCTGGATTTGTTTTGGCAACATAAATAGGGCATGGACCCAGTGAATGAGAGGAGAGTATTTGACATTGTGGTGAAGACTGCCTGCAGTGGAAACACATCACAGTATTTCTTCATCACACCTAAGGTAGGTTAGCCTTTGAGTTTGTAGCTTATACATGTGAAGTAATACGTTTTTGTCTGTATACATGACTGTCTTTCTGTTTATGCACATGCAGCTTCTACAGAATTTGACATATGCGGATGAGATGACCGTCCTCTGCGTCCATAACGGCCCCTATATGCTCCCACCAAATAAGTGGAACGACAAGGCTTTTATCAGGCGAGTCAAACGGAGGACCAACCAATAAACCTGTTATACTGGTTAACACTTTAACTATGCACAAAATATCTGCTACCATTTCTTTATCAAAATGCCAATACCCCACCAAGTGCCTGTTCTTCGCGCCCCCCCCCTTCATTTATTTTGGTCTTGGAGACTGTTAGCCCTTTATTTATAATTTACATAGTACCCAATTTTGTTTATTTGTACATTTGTTAAGAATATAGGACATTGTCAAAAAGGTATCACTGGGCAAATAAAGTTAATATTTGCAAACAAAGACAAAAAGATTAGAATTGCTATTTTGAGGTGGGAATGAATTTGTCATCACAGTATGAATCCCACAAGGGAAAATGATTCTTTGGCCGTCTCAGGAAGGGTCATGTTTTTTTTTTCCCCAAATAGTAACCAGCCAGTTTATTCTAGTGACTCAGATAACCACAGACATGTGACAGGGCAGTGACCACCTGCCTCCTTCTTATCCATGGCCTATGCAATCAACCAGACAGTGCCAGTAACTAAGACTGATGTCTATTTTAATTCAACTTTGTATTTAGATTACAGAAAGGTTAATTAGAAAATTGCCTAATTTGCATTTTATTTTGCTAGGAAGTACAAACCACGGTTTGCTACTAATTCTGCTTAAAACACTCCCACTCATTCTATCAAAAACGTTTGGACAGTGAAAACACCACAAGAAAATATCTTCATTATATCTCTGTACATAATTTTATTTACATGATACAATTTCGCAGTAATGTTGGGTAACGAGATTATATGCGCAATACATATAATAAATATAAAGATGGTTTGTACAAACTTGCATAACTAAAACTTGAAAATAAGACGGTAATTTTTACTGTGTAAACTGAAAAAAGACCCCTACAGAATGGTAACGGCCAGACCAAGAAAACAAAAAGACTGAGGGAAAAGTCTAGAAGGAGGCATCCTATGATTAGACTATATGGGTATTCACACAGTCACACAACACATCCATCCCTTCCACACCACTGTGGGTCAATTAGAAACACCATACAACTTTCATCACCTGTGTATAAACTAGCATGTGACACTCATTCCACACAAAAAAAAAATATCAAATCACAAACAAAAAGCAACATTCATTACAGAAGTGGATTACGGGTTAAAAAAGGACGATCAGCATGTTGCCAACTTCAAAAACTCTAATGTACTTAGTAGGTATTTCACTAGCCATGCAATATACCCTTCTGAAGTCCCCTCTTCTGACCAAAGCAGCCCACAACCCAATTTCAGTCTGCATTCTGGAAGGAGTGCCACCTTTACACCAGTATTATTGTTTTTCCTAATGGTATTTTAGGTACTCCAAGGTCGATGTTGAATCCTTCAAGCCTGATCTGGCTTATTAAAGACCAGGTTGCTGAAAATATTATGAATACTTACCATTTCACATTTGATTCTTCAGAGTTCCCAAAAAAAAAAAAAAATTTAATCAGCTCTGAAACTGATCTGGCTGTTTGAGATGGAAGCGTTGAACAAGTCCATGAATTATAAATTCAGTGAAGTTTTTCTCCTCATTTGACACTTGAGCAAGGGGGAAAAAGCCTCACTTCAAAGACATCTGCTTGAAGCAAATAAACCAAGCTAATGTTGTAAAGGCTAACGCTAAAGGGTTGGGAGCCATGCCATGACTCACTTTAAAAGGTGAAACCTACGTGGAAAGGAAGAGAGCGTCCATTTTTTTGTTTTGTTTTTTTTCTTCTTTTGCTACATGAGCCAGCCATGCACTGTTGCCCTGATGGCGCTCGAGTCAGGGCAATAACAGTCATCTGAAGTCCCATAGGCTACAATGTGTCCATTCTCCGCCACACGACACCAGATGGACCGAGACACAATCACAAAGTAAACTTTTTTGACAATCACAAAGACAGTCAGCCTTTTCAACACAACGATCAGGTCAAATTCAGTCCCCCACCTAAAGACACCTAGAACCAGACACAAGGAGATGAGAGATCTCTGGGTCTGTAACCCAATTTTAACTATACTTTTTGTTCTTTTTTTCCTCTTAAATCGAAGCTCATACACCACAGACTGAAAATAAGGAAAAGCTGAAATAAACAAAATATCACTCATGCATTGGCTGAAAAACCAAGTTTCCTCCCATCAACAACGCAATTTAAAACTAGTCCTTTATATCGCAGGTCAAGTTGCGAGTCCTTTTTATGTGATCTCACCCAGAATTCAGGGTCAAAGACAAGGAGAACAGGAGAGGCTCTATATTCTCTGGATCTTGTCGGCAACCACTACAGGATTTTCTTTGCGGATCTTGGCTGCAGCCTCGGCTTTGTAATCATAGGGACAGTTGTGCTTGTCTGAGTAACGGTGAATTCCACAGAAGAGGTTTCCACAGCGGCAGTCAAACCCTGGTGAAAACCAGTGAAATGATTTGCAATTATAATTAACATCATGAAACATTCACTTCAAATGTATAGATTTATCGATAGAACAACCGTCTGGCTCACCTGTAAGGCCAACTTTCTTGCGGCACATAAAGCATCGGTTTTTCTTAGGTTTTGGGGCTTCTGGAGTTTTAGTTTGCTCGCTAACCGCTGTGTTAGCTGAAGAAGCAGATGCTGTTGGCTGCGTTACAACTGGGGAATCAAAAGAAACCAAGCAAAATTACACTTAATATTCCACTACAATATGTAGTTTGTAGTATGGTTTTCATAAAACATATCACAATATTTTGTTTTTGATGTCAGCCAGCAAGACAGAACAGACAATTTATCAGCTGAACAGTAGTGCTATATCTAAATATGATTTGATAGAGAAATGAACTATTACGTAACAGAAGGGGAGGTTAATTATAATAAATAAGAGACATAACTGGCCAACACCCAATCAGCTGCTTGCTACTGTCCAACTTTAGTCGGACAGTGACACCATAGGTTTTTAATCGTTCTAAAATGGGGTGCCAAAGGGCAAAAAATACATAACAGTATACAACTAAAGGCAGCAGACAGGTTTCAGTTAAGTTTTTACAAATGTATTTCATAATGTTACACTGTATTTTGAGAAAAAAAATCTTCCTTTTAAAATTTGTGTCATGTATAATGCTAAAATATGTCTGCTCTCCGTTGGGTAAGGGGGAAGGGTTAGGGTAACTTTCTGGTCCAGGGGTCACTCTTTGGGCAGCCCTGGTCTAAATGCTAACTTACCAATAAAGAAGATGGCAGAGGTATTTAGCATGATAGCAATTACCTGATTCTAAGCCACCAGGTGTTTTTACTGGTATACACCTTTTTGGATCTCTTTTATAAGAAAAAAAAAGTTTTACTAACCAGGTTCAGGAACTTCTACTTTAGGCGATGCAACTTCCTCTTCGCAGGAAATGCTCATCTCCGTCATCTGCTGCGTAACAGGAAGTGCTGCGGCAGCCCCACTGGATGACTCAGCTTCACTAGCAGAATTGTTTAGGCTGGCCTCGATGATCTGGATTGCCGAGGCCTCTGAGGTAGGACTACTGGTTACGCTGCTAGAACCTGAAAAGTTAAAATACCACATGGATCATCATTAAATAAATACCTCTGCAGTTCTCTTAGCCGATACCAATGGCTAGATGAATCATTTTATGCAAATATGACGTCAGTCACCGATCGACATGTTCCTCAGCAAGGAGGAATTAATTAAGATTTTGAGAACAAGCGCTTCTCACCCATGGTACTAAGAGGACCTCCATTGTTCTGTCTCGTTAGGTGCTCCTTATAACAAACTGAGCACATGCCATTGGTCCTAGGGTTGCCATAGAAGCCACAGCCAGTGGTGCAGAGCATGGGCACGGGGCTTTGGTTGGTCTCCTGGGCCATTTTTGAATCTGTGGACCAACCACAAAACACAGGTCAAATAAAAGTAGCACAGACGCTCATCACTGGGCCAAATTCAAATCTCTGCTGTGACCAAATCAAATATCGACTATGTATTATAATTATTACATTATAACAATAAATAAAAAAAACATCTTTTAAACGCAATTTCAACTCATTCAACAGACCATATTACTTAAGTTGAAATCCTGATGGTGTCTCTACAAATACGCAGAGGTTAGGTAACAAGCACAGGCCACAACAGAAACAGATTATTCAAAACCTAAAAGGGTCAGACGTGTAATCTGTCTTCCTGGCATCCGTTCTACCATGCGCTTGCCACCTGATCATCTCATTCACACTACTTCGGTCACATTCTTGAAATTTCAAGCACTTTTTTTTAAAACACATACAATACACTTAAAATAATCTCTCAACCAGAGCCTGAATTCTATTAATACTCCTTGTTCTAAAATACAGGCTATATTTAACTCATCAGTATCCACAAATAAAATGTTAAGTAACCTTCAGGTTTGGTGTTTAAGTTTGCCTGAACACATCTGAAGATTTTTCAAATCATGAAACCATATGGGTAAAAAGTGAGATTTTATCACTGCATGTGTCTCATAAATTCAGTCTTTTGGTCACTTGGGATTTTCAACAAAACAGAAAATTGAAATTTAATTGTGAATAAAAATATGAAAACTACATGGGTACAGCTGAACATTACTCCAAAGTACAACAATAAAAATGTAGTCACTTTATACTAATCAGAACAAGTTCTGTGGCATTTCTCATCATACTGTTGGACATCAACGGCTTACCATTAAAGATAATGATCAATGCTGGGGAACAAGTTGTTTAAGCATTACCAGAGAACTGACAAACAGTTCTTCAACAATGATTGTTAAATCAATGATGAGCCTGAACTAGTTTCAGTGTTTTTACACGTCCCATCTCGCCAGTCACAAAGATGTGAGAACAGTTGGCTACTGGGTTTGGAACATTCTGTTCAGCCAGGCCAGATTATCACTGATAAAGGACAATCAGACCACAGCATGACTGGCAACCCAGATATGTCTGTAGAGCAAAAGCTTAACAAACCAGTGTCTTTTCACACATGTATTTAATAATAATAATAATAAAAAAAACCGCACATTAGTAATCGGTGTTGCTCTGGGGGCGAAACCCACCACCGATCAAGAGAAACACATACAAAAAAGAAAAACACTGCCTTCCGCCAACGCATTTTCTTGAAAGCAGCGTCACAGGTTTTCCCCAGAAAGGCCAGTTGGAGGAGGAAAGCTCCATCACGTGTAAGCCTGCTGACTGCAGAGCTCCTCGCCGCAGCACACTCACATGGAGGAGGCCTATTAGCTTTCGCCTGTCACAAGGGCGCAATGTGACAAGCTGATCCTCACACAACCTCGCCAACAGCACTGGGCCTTGGCTGCTGCTATTTATAGCCCCGGCTGCCTTATCGTGACTCGATTACATCACAGGAGTCCGGTGTATGTGTATGCATGAAGCGCCTCCTCACTCCTCAGCACGGTGCGGGACACCCGCTGCTGTTTATTTGGAAGGAGCCAAAAATGGCAAACGTCCCCAATGCACGTCTGTAAGGCCTGGTGTGCTCAAGTACTGGACTGTCTTATTGTCAATAGGCTGTGCAAACAAGATCCTCCGGCTCCACTACTATCAGCATATGCCAACTCAAATGCCAACATCAGCCATGTCGACATTATCAAAAGAATAACTGTCTTTGGTAGAACTGCATTTCAAAGCAGTGTGGAAAAAAATAAATAATGGTTTGTCGAAATTTAAAACTGTGGCTGGTTTCTTCAGAGCTTGTCTTATTTACAGTCTTTCATGGAAACCACTTTCAGTGCCCAAAACTAGCTATCTGAGGGCATCATGTCTATTTTTGTATCACTCAGTTGAACTGTTTAGGATCACTGCTGCTTTGAAATCTTTTGAAATGTGTCTTTGTTCTGAGCCAAACCAATCTGTGTAGTATATAATTTATGAATATGAAAAAACAAAGGGATTGGAAAAACGCATCGAATTGGAAAATATTTATGTATATGTAATTTAAAATGATGTATTATTATACCCCTGTTCGGCAGCGAGCATGGAGATAAAAACTTAACGTTCACACTTTTCTGACCTAAGTATCAGTTATAATACATAAACTACAGGAGCTGCTGAATTTGGGGGAGACATGGCCTTAAAAAGGCAACGGTTGATGAATGAAGTCACTGTGAAAAGCAGATTCACATCTGTGATTAAACTGGAGCACAGAGGTCTGGATAACATTTTGGCTAACGGTAGTTTAGCTCGGGAGAAAACATACCAGACTAGCTGAGCTCCCGAGCCATCATGTGTCTGGGTTTAACACTGACCGATAATAATCTCACGTTTGTGATCGAGCTAGAGCAGATTTGTCGAAACGTGCCCAGTCTTTCTTAATACGCTACATTAGCCAGCTACGGTGGGCTGGAAAGAGGAGGCCTTGTCCAGGCTTTAAATCCACTGAGTCATGCTAACAGAAGCAAGGCTAGCAAATAAACCAGCTAACAAGGCTTCACACTGGTGTATAATTACTGATGACAAACAAAACACGCGAACAAACAACAAAACACTCATATGAACAAGCAAGGAAATAAAATACACGAAACATTTCGGTTGTTTTTCGTGTGGAAGAAAGTGCTGATAAGCAGCCGAACGTGTTAGCTGGCCAAATGGCGAGCTCAAGTTGCTGCTTTTGTCTTTTCTTTGTTCCACAAATACTCTGTCCTGTTTGTTTTTTTTTCTGGGTGGGAAATTATATAATTCAAGAAAAAAGCAAAGTGTGTACATACCCGAAACGATTTAAAAACGACCGACAAACATTTCAAGGTTACAAACGACGGAGAGAAGAAGAGATTTGGACATTTTTGCTTTCTTTAAGTAACGTTAGCGGCCTTAGCACGCTAGCTTAACTATGTCTACCTGCGTGGTTTAAAAGCCAAATTCATCACTGCTGCTTTCGATATATTTCTTAATCATTGCTTATTACACGACACTGAACCTGGTTAACTAAATAAGCTTTCCGAAATTCATCAGTTAAAGCCATTTTCAAGTGAGAACATTAAACCCTTTAGCTACTCTTTATGCTCACTACAACAGACGAAGCTGGGTCAGCTTCTTAGCTAGTTAGTCGCATTTTCCCGTTCCTCCTTAAATGGTGTAGCAGTTACATTCTGGTGTCTCAGGCTTGGAACTCCAGAATGTAACTGCTGCACCATTTAAGGTGGAAGGGGGAAAAAATTGAACAAGAAGCTGACGAAACTACAGCCTCGTCTACAACAGGCATCTTAGCAGGCAACTACCCCTCTTCTGATAACGTCGGGTCAGATTAAACCGCGAAAGTCGATCAAAATCGTCGCTTCGCCGATTAATCTGTGTCTATAAAATACATATCTGCGCATTTTTCGTTAAATATACGGCAGAACACGACGATTACATTAACGGTTCTTCCCAAAGCCAGCAAAGCAACCCGCATTAGCTTAGCTTACCATATATGGTTTAGCTCGACTCAATGAGGAACAACGGCTCATTGTAATTTAGGTACACGGTCTACTTTTGTTTGAATGCTTGTAAAGGCAGCCAGAGTTATTTTACGCTATTTAATCGTTCAAAAAGTAGGAAGACAACCAAATTTGTGATCAACTGACCCAGCTAGCTAACTAGCTAACGTAACCGCAATCAATTTGTGAATGAAATCCACGAAGCAAGTCAAGCAGTTGGTCTTAATGCTAAGATTTACTTACCTCTATTTTCAAACAACGCTGTAATGCTAAGGAAAGACGTCTCCGTGCGAGTTAAATGTAGAAATCCACAGCTGACCTCCTTTTTTCTCCTCCTGTGCGGTCAGGTTTTATTTTGCTCTTTCCGCTTCAGCCTCAGCCTCAGCTTCAGTCCGTCTGTTTTCCGTCGCTGCCTGTTTGTTGCTTTCTTTAGAGAGGGGGCGGGGCCTGTGGCGTCACTGTGCATTCGCACTTTGATTGGTTGGCAGTCAGTTTAAGGGCGGGGAAAAGTTTACTGTACAAAAACAACTTCAGCTTGTTTTTCCCTTATTTCCCCTCCTCTATTTTTAATTTTTGCAAAAAGTGGAAGTAGCAATAAGAGCCCGTTTAGACTGTGCTGACAAAAACGCTGTTTCCAAATTGTTTTTTAGTAAAATAGTCCCATAGAAAATGTAAGTCACAAAACACTGTATTTACAGACATAACTTCTATTAACAAAACACTTTTATATTTCTCTTATTTTACCCTCTATTTTATTTCAACAGAAAGTAAATTGCGATGCATGCAGTCTGACTAATGAGCTTTTGAGCAGAAGTTTGAATGAGGATTTTTCTGATTAAATTAATCACAATGTTAGAAATGATATCAGGTTGCACAACTCTACAGGCCTGCGCAAGTCAAAGCAGACGTTAAATATCGATGTTAGAGATCATTTGGTTTCGTTTGTTTTTGGTCCTGTAGTTTGGTTTCTCAGAGGACTGCATGTCCATTCCCAGAGTCCTCTTCAAATGCCATCGCAAGGTCATTTGACCCTGGAACAGCCAGTGCCATCTCGGGGAAACATGTTGATTTACTCAATCAGCTCAAACCCACTTTGATCAAGATAGCAGAGCTAATGCTGCCCTTCTTTTCAGAGTAAATGTAAAAGTGAACAAACAGCCCTAATAACTCAGTAATATACATATATGTATGTACATTTTTTATCTCTTCTTGTCCCATATATTCTCTTGCATGAGCACAGAACTATTGATTAAACCATATGAGTAAAGAATTCTTATCAGATTTTCTTAATTTTTAATTTTTTTGTCACATGGCACTACTGTTTTTTTATTTATTTTATTTATTTTATTTTAAGGTATAAAATTGCATGTGATAAAAAATACATAAATATAAAATTTCATCCAGCTCTGTAGCATTTTTTATTAGGCTAAATGCAGTTGTCATACATGAATTGTTGAACTGCTGCAGTTTAGAAAGTCCCCAGTACAAAACTAGCTACGCCAAACTGGAGGTGAACTCCGTTTCTGAGTGTAACAGATGATTTCATGCTGTCAGTGCAGTCCACCTCCTCCACAATAACCGTTTAATGTCCAAGTCCTCTAACTGTAGAAACTGTCTAGCCAGTTGTTGCCCAGAGTCTGGGCGCCATTTCCTGTTTTCAGGTCTAGTTCAGGCTTTTACAATGCTGTGCTCACCACGTGCAGCCTGCTCCAATCACGTCTTGTCATTATATTTTAAACTCGTACTTTGACCAGTCCAACATGTCCAGCGCCGTCTACATTACACTGTGGACTAATTTGGCTTGGAAACGTTAGCTAGCATAGCCTCCTTAGCATTACCCTTATAACTGTGACCTACAAACCAGGCCACAAAACTATAGCAACACTGTAAGACACTAAAAGATTTCTGTAGTGCTGCGTGATACTTCTATAATAATCTATTTAACTCTGTATAATATTCATATAGAGGCCCAATCCAGCCAGGTAGAGGAGGAAAAAATCATGTTCATCTCTATCTCTGTTCTGGTAGCAGTATGTCAAAATTTTGATTTAGTATCTCAAAATAATTAGTTATTTTCTTTTAAAAAATGCCTGTGTAAAAAGAATTGATTTACTGTGTAAAAATAACTTATTTCCTCTAAATGACTTGTGTGGAAGTAATGACTTACTGTGTCAAAATAATGACTTGCTATGTCAAAAAGAATGACATCTCTAAAAAAAATGACTTACTATGACAAAATTATGACTTATTTCCACTAAATAATGACTTAGTGTCAAAATAATGACATTTTCTATTAATAATGACTGTCAAAATAATAACTTTCTATGTCAAAAATAATGACATTTCCTCTAAATAATGACTTGCTGTGTCAAAATAATGACATATTTCCTCTAAATAATGACTTGCTGTGTCAAAATAATGACATATTTCCTCTAAATAATGACTTACTATGTCAAAATAACTTATTAAATTGAAACAATGACTGTATCTCTAATTAATAACTTCCTATGCTGAAATGACTATTTTAAAATAGCTACTTACTTTCTTGAAATCTAATAATTATTTCAACATAGTATGTCAGAATACTTTTCTAACTCAAAATTTTCAGAACTTAAATAAGAAAATTCAGAAATTATTTCAAGAAGTCAATATTTCAAGGAAATAAGTCAATATTTTAAGAAAATAAGTCTTTATTCTGAGAAACTAAGTAAATATTTTTATATGTCAGTGTCAAAAACAGAATAACAAAAAAACACATTCTGATTTTTTTTTCTCCTCTACCTAGGTTGAGAGTGGGTTTCTATGTATTTCTCTAGTTCTGTGTTGTAGCAGTCTATAATACTGGTGTAGTATCCTGCAGTAGACTATAGCAACTATCTGAATTTACCATAATATTCTTATAAGATTCCTGCAGAAATTCCTATAATACCACTATAGACCATTTTCATGGACTGTGATGAATTATTTTTGTCTTCACAAATGACGAAAGTGAAAACATGTTTGCCTGAAAACAGTAATATAGCATAATTTTGTTGCCCTTTCATTTTACAATGACAACTGGCTGAATGAGGTTGTTTTGAAGCCTCCCTGGTGTATTTCCCCATGGGTTAAATATAGGGGAAGAACTTGATAGGAGACAGGCTGTCCACACACCTCATGTGAAAGAGCCACTTTACCAGCGTGCTCCAGCTTTATATCCAGCCTAGCAACGCAGGCTTGAACCACATAAACAGCATGTGGCCTCTTACCAAATGGATTACTAGAAAACGGCTGGGCAGAATGTTTTCTAGTACTCCACACATCGTTTTCCATGTAAGGGGAGGGGGAGCAGCCATGCTATCATGCACAGCATATCCTGTGGTGACCATGTGGATCTAGAAGCAGCAGGTGGTTTCTTACACTTGTGTACTGCATACATAGTGGTCAGTGAAGAGGTGAACAAGCTGAATTGATATTTTCACCATTGGAAGCATTTTCAGTCACTTTTGTCAGGGTTAGACTTTATATGGGAAACACTGACCCTGAATGGAAGTTCACAAGAGTTTTACAATAAAATGTAACAGGGTACAGTTTGTTAGAGGAACTGAGTAGTTCAGAGGGCCCTTTAATCTTTTCCGAAACAATGGTAGTAAGTTAAATGCGTTAATGTGTTGACGTCCACCCTCCTTTAATCACTCCTTTGACCACTGAGGGTTGATTGAGAGATAATAGCCGTTCCTTTTAACAGAAAAGTTACCTATTAGGACAAGATGTTTCAGTTTGATCAACACAAACTATAAACCCAGGCCATATCTACAGATAGACCCACCTACATCTGTTATTTGCACATTATATCTTTAAGGCATAATATATATTATAGCTTATAAGGTTATTCCACCAATTTTTCATCATTTCTGCATTAATTGAATCATTGAGATGTAAACAAAGTCATTTGGAATGTTCTGATGTGAATGATGGTGATGGGAACCAGAGGTCACAATGTCTACAATTTACTTCATACTATTTTATTTGCTGTCCAAATCAATCAGTGAAGATTCAAGTCTTCTGAGTATTTATATGTAATGTTAATAAGGCTTACATCATAAAGTCTTGAGAATATTTTGCCTTACAACACCCTGCATGTACCTCTCCATCATGAATACATTTTAAAAATGTGTTTTAGGCCAAATTCTTACTGCAAATCTATCATAAAACAACATCTCAGGCTTCACGTAGTGTATTACACATTTCATATCATAACCTTCTGTGAAGGAGCATTTAGAGACATTAAACTCTTCAGATGTCTGGTTCCTATCACCACCACTGTGAACAATTCTGACTCTGCAAGTTTCTCAAGACTGTTTAAACTGTTTGAAAACAGCTTTCTGTTCCTATGCACCAAAACTCTGGAACACAACTATTTATATTGTCTTTTTATTAGTAACTACTACTTCATAGTAGACATATTGTGGTTTATTGATAATCTCTTTTTGTTAAATTTGCCTTTATTAATTTTCGGTTTAGATTTATTATATATTTTTGTCTTTTTTATTCTTATTTCTTCATTATGTTACTTGGATTCTTTTATTATTGTTTTTACTGTTTTATGTTGTGAAACAATTTATATACAGAGGTTTCTTTATAAAGAAAATTAGTTATTATTGTTGCTGTTAAACAGCACATTTCACTTCAAATCCCTCTGAATGACCTTTATATCTTAGGCATTTAATTTCATATAAGTTTTTATTGTGTAATTCCCCTTTAAAGATCCACTAAATGATTAATGGTGGTTTTACTTGCACAATGACTGAAGTCTGGGCTCACTGTGTCGTAAATTAACATGGTGCTAGACTTGCGTCTATAGCCACGAGTTACAGTGTGTTACCTTGACCTTCCTAAACTGGTCCATTTTTTTAGATCTGTGCCATTGGCTGATCACCAATCACACCCAATCACACGGTCTGTGGTCAGCAATAGAACAACATCTGAAGTGAATGTAATTCCCCTTGGCTTCTTTCCAGACCACAGTGACTATTCACTTATTACCACGGTGCATGCACAGTGCCACAAGTGAAGTAATGACTATTTTGTTAAAGGGGAATTTCACCAACTTTCAAAATTCATGCATAATTAAATAGTTAAGATGTAGAGAAAGTCAAAGTGGTTTGACGTGAAACACTCCACTCTAGTGAAACTTGCAGAGTCAGAATTGTTAGAGTGGTGAGAGGAACCAGACGTCTGAAGAGTTTAATGCCTCTAAAATCTAAAACTTTTACATGAAAGTTATACGCAGCCTGAGAGTTTTTTTTTCTAAATCTATTTAGAATCTAATCTAATTGTGGAGGGGTGCATGCAGGGCGTCATAAGAAACATTCCCAAAGAAAATGTTGTTTTTCTTACTAATTTTAAACTAATTTTTTTTAACTAATTTTACCATCATCCCCCCCCACCCCATTTCGGACAGATTAGGGTCTATTGGCACTTGTGAAGTTCTTCTCCCTGCCTGTGTCAAATTCCCATTGAAGCAAAATGTTCATGATTAATACAAGGAAAAACAAAAGAGAGAAAAACTGCACGCTTAGTAAGGTGATGCTTACAGAAAGGCAAACCGTGTGGAGTCCAGGTGAGAAACCCTTTCCAAAGGTCAGGTTTGAGGATGATTCTGAGGAAGCCCTTTAGGTTTTGGGCCAGTGTCCACAAAATATTTCCAGCGTGTTGAACTCGGGTGAGATTCCATAAAAATTTGGAGGAATTCCCCCGTGAGGTTTTACTGTATATCCACTTTCAGGTGGTTTAATTCTCAGGTACAGTTTCTAGGATACTGCATATACAATTCTCAGCAAAACAGAAAAAAAGAAAGACAGACTTTTCTGAAAGACCATTAGTTTATTTATTGTCCACAGGATACCATGGAACCTAAAATTATGTACAAAAATCTGGAATGTAGAATAAATGCATACCATCAAATCATCTTATTTGTAGCTGCTTCCAGAGAAACCTTTCAAATAGCTTTACATTAAAAAGGGTTGCTGTGATGCAGTTTATTGCTGGTTGTTTTTTTTTATATAAACTAAGGTCACTAATGCCATGGCTAACTCAAACGGTTTAAAAAGTATGTACATTTTGATTAGTAATCTCTAAAAGTCAAAGAAAGGTTTGCTAAATAAATAGACAAACGTGGGAGAATCTAAAAAAGACCACTTGTTCTTTGATATGGCAAAAATAATCAGCTTTAAGTTTCAGCCCCCGATTGTCATTACTTTTTACTTTTTTTTTTAACCATGTGACAATCAGAGGGTCTTCATTCGACTGATTCGTGACAAAATATGAAAACAGTGCTCACTAAATACAACTATACATCATGTCAACAAAATCATTCATATCTTTAGAAGTTGGGTATAATAGGATATAATAGAACCCACTGTGTGAGAACAAGTTGTGAATCTAGTTTAAGTTGAAGCCAAAGTTAGCATTAAAGCTACGTCAGGTAACCAGCACTCAGTTTTACTGCCTAATTCACCTTGGTTCGCCCTCTGATGGGCAGTTTTGTGCCAGTGCCATTTTCAATTGTGTGCAAAGAATGACAGTAGAGTGATTCTAAATTAAAATTGTAACACTAAATCAATTTAATTTTAGTACAGGTACTCGTACAACAAAACATCAGTGCTTCCTTCTACGAATATAAAATTTCAGTACACTGATGGGTATCAGTATAGGTCAATCTGATAACTTAAAATTCATGTAGACCTCTAGAACAATGAAGATTACAGCCAAGAAATAAAATAAAATAATCTAGGGAGTGATTTCATGCAAGTAATTTACACAGTACAACAATCAACAGTTGGTCATTCTTTCTTTTGTGTGTACATACAGGCCTGTAAGCCTTTCGATTGGACAGTTTCTGTGAAACGTTATACGGTTAACATTGAATATCTTTGTCTTTGCAGCCGATCAAATTATTCTGCCACTGAAGAAGGTTAAGTATTTGAATCCACTCACATGGGAGACAGTTAATAATGTCAACTCAGCAGGGAAGTTTGTGGAAGTGGCGATGCAACCGCTTGTGGGAAGGAAGAGGGGGCAGTGAGTGCAGGACATTTTACATTACCATATGCACACTTAAGAACATCTTTGCAAAATATTCAAAATGCCATTTCCTATGTTTTCTCTTCTAAAAGTTTTACAATATAAAATGCTCTATCACAATCAAGGAGTACTAAAAGGGTTTCCTCTTTTTAATTTTTTTTCTTAGAACAAAAAAACAAAAACAATGCTATCTGACAGCTCTCTCTGAAAAATAAGAATAGGACTTCTTGCTATTGCTCTCTCAAAGACTGTCCCATAGTAAGCCTCTCAAGGCCACTGAATACGCAGTGTGGATCAGTGAGTATTGCTCTGGGTCAAAAAAAAAAAAAGTGTGACCTTTCCCCCCATTTCAGACAGATCAGGGTTTGTTGGCACTTGTCAAGTTCTTCTCCCTGCCTGTATCAAATTCTCACTGAAGCGAAATGTTCATGATTAAAACAGTACAAGGAAAAAGAAAACCAAAAAACAAAAAAGAGAAAAAAACTGCACGCTTAGGAAGGTGATGCTTACAGAAAGGCAAACCGTGTCGAGTCCAGGTGAGAAACCCTTTCCAAAGGTCAGTTTTGAGGAGGGTTCTGAGGAAGCCCTTTAGGTTTTGGGCCAGTGTCCACAAAATATCTCCAGAGTGCTGAGCTGAGTACAGGAGCCTTCCTAAACAGAGACGATTTGTGAATACTGGACCCACTAGCTTCAACAAAAGGAAAATGCAGGTCCCGAGATGGCCCACAATGGCCCAAGAACACCCAGAATTACCCTGTCCATCTCCCCAGTACCCCACCACCCAGGTAAAGTTTCCACACAAGCTTTGGTTAACTTAGTCACACCACCTCATGTGTCCATGTGTGTCCAAGCAAAGGCCAGTCGTAGGCCCTGCAGCCTCTTCCAAAAACCCTCAAAGAAGTTCTTCACCATGTTCCAGTCCACGTTAGACATACAGAGGGCTCTCCAGCACGTCCTAGAACACACAGCGTCTTACTGAATGTCTCAGGTGGAGGTTTCTCTACAGGATCAGGCAGTTGGGTCACTCTCGCTGCGGGGAATGAGGTGGGAGGGGGTTTGGTTCTAAATCAAGCTAAGGGTGCGCAGAGGAGAGGCCGAGGCCGAGGCTAAAGAAAGGTTCCGGTGAAGTTGAGAAGACTAAAGTGGCAAGCAGCGTCTGCCAGGAACCCAGTGGATGTATTTTAGACACTGAATCTACCACCCAGGCCAAAGCGCACACCAGTTCTACATTCGAAAATCCACACCAAGCACCTAGCATTGACCTCCAGTTAAAAAAAAATGTATATAAAATCTCACACAGGTCAGAGGAGTGGTTTTTAAAAATCTCTTAAATAAGAAAAAAGGAAGAAGAAAGTGAAACATGATTTAAAAATAAAAAAATAAAAGGCATACTGATGTCAGCAGACAGGGAGCCCTGCCCCCTAATGGTCAGCTACAGTTAACGTTCCACTATGGTGAACCCTATGTTGAATGACTAGAAAGAAAAACAAAAAAACAACAAAAAAACTTTGTACAAAAACACAGTTTTCTTGTCCTTGTTGGACTAATCCAACAAGCTCTCCCACAGTGAAGGATTCTTTTGTTGTGGTTGCTTGAAACGCACATGCTCCCAGACATTGTCTTCCGTCCACTTGCCACAGTGGTTTTTGCCCTGTTTTTTACCAAAGCTCTGAGGTCCTTCCACGAAAAGCAGTTCAAATCAACTATACACCAATCTGGCTCCTCCATGTACAAAAATGATGGAGTGAACATTCAGACAATCATGTGTTGCACAGAATCTCTACGCTGCCATGTCTCTGATGATGATCAGGTCCACGGTGTTGGGAAAGGTCTTCAGGAGGGACACAGCGTTTCCGTGATCAATATTGACAAAGCTGTATCCATTCGCCTGCAATGAGGATGGGATTAGTACGCAAGGCAAGCAGACAACATTAGTATGGCAAAGCGGTAAAAAGTAAAAGGTGTGGTAGTGAAGTAAATGTGGTGTGGAGGTACCTGGATGATTTTATCTCCAGGCTGGAGAAGTTTTGAAGCAGGTCCTTCTGGCTGAACTCTTGTCACAAAAATACCCTGTAGAAACAGTATGAAGCAAGCACTGAAGTAAGCAAGTTTCAAAAATAACATATTTATTGACACTGGGCTACATATACATACATATACACACACACACACACACACACACACACACATTTATATATATATATATATATATGGGTAAAGGGTAACAGGCTTTCACAAATGATGTCAAAACTGAAAATGTCAAAAATGGAGAAACAAGGTTTTCTTCCGACAACAGCGATATATATATGAAAGGGATGCCAAACAATTATTGCCCCTATTTGAACGTTTTCCACCATTTAAAAATTTTAGCTATACGAGTGGACAAAATAAGCTTAACCAAAAAGTATTTATTACTTTCAATTATTCAATAACATTATTTTCATTGTGCAGAGTTCACATGAGCCTGAACATGAATAATACAGTCTTAATCATCAACATCCAGTGAGACGACAATGGCTACATGTTCCCACCAATGCATGGAAATATCATCTCAAATACAGTCAATGGTTATCCTTCATGATTGTAGCCTCTGGCTCTCGTTCATACAGCTCACACATTCTTGGAGGCTCTTGAGGGAAACTAGAGCTTCATTGTTGCTTATGTTGGTTTGCCGCTTGTTGATTTATCCATAGGTCTCCTGTGAGCACTGCACAGCATCGTCTGTCAAAGTCACTAAAGGTATTGCTTTAAAAGTCATTTATCCTATCAACATACAGCAACACAAGCAGCTGGGCTTTGGCCAGCACTACTTAGGGATGCGCTGAAGGGTCAAAGTAAGAACAGTTAACAGTGTTAAAAAAAAAAAAAAAAATTATTATGACAGCCATATATCTATCTATAGATAAACAGGAAGATAGACCTATTAGGTAGAGAGGGGTTGAGTGAGAGCATGTGTGCGAATGTGAGTCATTTCAAAATGAAAGTGAGAGACACTCACGTTATCGTCAGGACGGAAGGGATTCCCCCGCCCTCCCACTCCTCCTGATATGCTGAACCCCAGCTCAGGATTCTTCTCAATCTTCACATGCATCTGGACACAAATACACAGTGATATCAGCCTCAAAACCTCAAACATCCACAAAGAAAGGGCACTCTCAGCTGTTTACAGAAATGCACCAAAATGCTCTCAAAATGCCAACTGGTCAGAGTCTGCAGCATCTGAGCTGATCTATGCACACACCCACAACATTCAGAACCGTGATTAGAATAGGACTTCATGGGCTTCTCATTTTTGTCTTATTTGATGATTCTGTTCTTGGTGCAGCAGCTCCCCGATGCCTACCTCCTGTGGCAGAGACTCGTGAGGGTGGCGCGGTGGGCCCGGAGGCTGCTGGGACACTTTGAGCATCAGGTAGTCGATGAGCTGCTCTCGGGATGGATGACGTGCCATCTGGGCCTGGGCACAGGTCATCTGGGGTCGGACTGGAGGAGGACACATCTGGCCGTTCATCAAAGGCACCTAAAGAGTCCACAAAGACACACAAAGGTCATTAGCTATATGCAGGATTTCTCATGTTTGTTGTACTCACGTCAGATTCAAATTTCATGTTTGGGTTTTCACAACCCATCTCCCACCTTTAGTAGATTTTGGGCCTGCACTACTTTTTCTTCCTACTTTATTCTTCCTCCTTACTTTTAGTACCTTTAATAGTTTTTGATCTGATAGACTGGAGTCACTTGTGGTGTTGGCAGTTAGGTCAACAACAGCAGCATGAGAACACCACATTATCTCTCTCTCTCTCTATCTAAGTCTCTCTCTATCATCTTTCTCTCTATATTTCTATCTGCCTGTTTAAAAAACTACACCTGTTTAGGGGTGGGCTGTTTTGTAATGTTGATTTTTTCCTCTCTCTCTTGTTAGCTGGTGAACGCATAAGAAAGTCAGACAGCCACTGTTAGTTCTAGGAAGTCAAATTACTCAAAAAGAAATTACATCAGATGATGAACTGAAAGTTCACCAAGTTCGCAATTTTGCTACCTGGCTTACCAGACACCTTTACTTCAGTTTGGCTTAATTTCTCTGGCTAAAAAAGGCATGAAAACTATATGATATTGTGAATTCTGATGAGGCTGATGAATACAATGCTGCACTACAGGTTACTGCATAACACCAAATAATGTATGAAACTCAAGTTTATAGCTAACATGAGAACAGACTATACATTTTTTAAATTTAGTTTATCCAAGACCTCTTGATGCCAGTCACTGTCAGTTACTGAATCATTGAGATATACACTAAGTCACTCACAGTGGTTTAATATGAAATGGTTCATTTGTAGAGAAATTTACAGACTCTGACTTCTTTACAGTGGTGGTGATGGGAACCAGCAGTCTCCATGTCTATAACACAACTATAGTCATTGTATTTAATATCCAAAACCACCAGTGAAACTACACATCTTCTGAGTGTTTATATGTAATGTTGATAATGGTCAAATATTGGTAAATCTGGAAACAAAGATCATTGGGGACTAATCTAATAACTTTCTGTGATTCCTATTAAAACCACTGTAAACAATTCTAACTCTAAGTTTCTCTAAATGGAGCATTTTACACCAAACCACTCTGAATGACTTTGTTTAGATCGTAATCATTTAATTATGCAGAAATTTTGAAAAATCTGTGGAGTTCCCCTTAAACAAGTGCTATCTGCAGGAATGTGAAGTTTTATTCATTCTCCAGTTGGTGCTAATCAGGTTTGGATGGATTAAAGCTCTTCCCACCAACCTGACAATCTCAGGCCAACTCAAATGTTAGTTTGGTCTACAAATACCTGTTGTCTCCCCCCTGGAGGGGGCTTTAAATGTTATCCTGCCCCCAATCACATTGGTGATTATGCAGCTTGTCAGTTCTTTGTCTGAACATGCTAAAGCCAACAGCACATATCAGACTGTTTGTGTTTGTTGAACGTTTCTTGGGTGTGGGCTTAATGGGCTTTAGATATGGAACAAGATAACAAATAGTATCACGGTTGGATGCATTTTAGTTTGATGAAACGATGTGATCAGATGGCTGTGATGCATGACAATATAAATACAAATATAAAAGCTCATTTTGTTTTTAAACTACATAAACAAGGACAAATGAATAGAATTACAAGCACTGTCACTTAAGCATGACAATAATAGATCATAAAATCAAAAAAGGCACTTCTAGGCTCTTTTTTCCTGCACTGAATTCCTTGGCCTTGGCACAGGCCCACAGAAGCCAACTGAGGCTATTTTCAGATGAAGTGTTATAGATTTACAGGCGGTGGGTTGAAGTGGGCCTGCTTTTGAATCCTCTGAGTCATCCCCTCTTTTCCACAGCTGCAGCGTTAACAGATGCCTCTGGCTGCCGGGGGACTCCATGATAACTCACTTAACTCTATTAGATTGTGGTTTCTTTTCTACTGGCCATCTCTCATAATGAGGATAGACCACAGGGAAAGATCAAGCTGTTTATGGTCAGCTTGAGCATTCTTTCAGTCCAAATAAGCAGATACCGCTTTTACTTCCTTAATTCAATAGAGGTCGTTTTGCTTTTCAGTGAGTTCAGGTTAGATGAGGTTAGATGTGCTTCAGTATGTTGACCGTCATGCGTCTAACCCTAAATTAAATGTTTATTTTGTTCCATCAGTATCATTACTACTTAAAAGGCGCATGTCAGTTAGTTTCTGGTTATAAAAGAAAGTGATTCACAGCAGCAGGACTCCTATACTCTGATTCTCTGTGACTATGGCCCCTAGTGTCTAATATGCCTAATATTCGAAAACTTAAAAGATTATCCACTGACTATATAAGCAGACATTAGGGCTGAGTAACATGACATTATCGATCATTATTGTGATAAATTACATCACAATGGCTCTTAATCATCAAATTTGCATATGGTCAAATCTGACCGTAAACTGAGTGCATGCAAATTTCACTGACCATCAGTTTCATCTTTAATGCATCTGTATAATAACTTTGAGCGTAATAGTTTAACATCCTGAGAGTAAAGCTTGATCTGTGGTTAACTACCCAACTTACCTATAATACCAATAATAAGAATAAAATAGTATTTAAGTTTAATTCAAATAATTCACATTTAACAACAAATGCTGCAACTATTCAATGTTTCATTCACATAAAATATTTCCTTATTTCACTACATAATCACATCACTCCACCTGTCCTAAAGATCTGAGATGTTTTGCTTATTTCATGTTTTATTCTTTCCAGTCATTATAACTTAAATACTATAAAGTTTGGTCAGTTTTTGGGGGGGTGTACTCATTGGGGCCACTGGATGACAACCTACTGAAAATATCTACATGAAGTATGGCGTGCTGCATGTAAATGATATGCAAATTTGGTACTGGTATGCTGGCACTTCATTTTGTGCTTAAATCTTCATTTGTTTCCACGTCACTAGAAGGTTTCATGAATCTGATGCAGAGTATTTCAAACATCTATGACCCACGTGTCAAACACAAGGCCCGTGGGCCAGAACAGGCCCGCAACACAACCTATCCGGCCCGCAAATGTATTTTAATTTTCTATTCATATTAGACCATTTCACATTGCACTGCACTACAGTCCCAGCATGCACTGCAACGTGCACTGCAATGTGCGCTCCGACTCTCCTACCCCAACAACAATCAATCCACCTTAATTCTACACAATTCTATACAGTATACAGTGTATCGTGTATATTGTCAGTTCTTCAAAACACTCTCCAACAGCATGTTTGATTACAAAGAGAGCACAATTAATCCTGTTTCAGTGGATTTACTGCAGCATAGTGTGCTAGGTGTTCGATACAATAATTGGATTCATAGTTTTAATAGTACTTTTTTTTCGAATGTGGTACTACAGATGTCAGAAAGAACAAATATTGTGATTATAAACACTACAAATATTCTTGGTGCTGGTGCATCTGAAGGCAAATATATAATTCAGTCTAGAGTACTAAAGCACCCCACACTCCAAAGCACACCTGAGTATCTCAACATGAATAAGCTATAACAAGTGTTGGGGCAGCGAAAACATTAAATTCTATAGATAAATGAATTAGTTTTTGCTTTTATACCTACTATATTAGGCTACTGTATTGTGTTACTTGGTTGCCCTGCTGTCTCTCTAAATAGGCTTCAACTAGTTCAGAATGCAGCAGCCCATGTGCTTACCAGGAAAAGAAAGTTTGAGCATACTGAACCAGTCTAATTGTTTACACCGGCTTCCTGTTCAGTTCCACATTTAATACAAGGTCTCACTTATGACATTTAATGCTCATAAGCTCTGGCATATCTTACTGGCTTCCTGAGGCGTTATAGCCTGTCCAGACCACACCGCTCAGCTGACACAGGTCTACTGCAAACCCACCTAAGATCTCTCACAGCTCACTTAGTGGAAAAAACTATTTTCTTATATTACTCCTAAACTCAGAATAGTATTCCAGAAAATATTAGGTTAGCCTCAATGTGCTAATGAGCCACCTAGGAAAACTTTGCAATGCAAAACACTGTTTTGAGAAGTGTGAAGGTAACATACAGAAATTCTGTAAATGCTTTGTCTGAAGGCTTTGCGTTAAATAGTGGTGTACTGCTTTTTTTCTGCTGTTACTAGCTGTGTATGAAAAAGTGTCGGTATTCAATAGTTCGGTCTACTATGATACTAAACCCACACTGTAATGTTATCATGGACACTTTAAAATATCGTCAATGCAACTGAGTCTTCAACTTGAACAGAGATTTTTTTATATGCACAGATCAGCTCTGCTTTCACGAACTCCAACTACACCACCATGCTCTGATCACGCGACACAGTCTAAAAAGCAATGCTACTTATAACACACAGTCTTCCTCATTAAGCACTGTTAAGACATGCTCATGCATGTTTTTGAGTATATGATTAAATAAGGTTTTACCAATGACTGGTATATCCCATGCTTTACTTAAAAAATGAGAGAATACAGTTTGTTTAGCTTTAAAAGTTTTCGTCTTACAATACAATATTGTGATAACAGTGTAACAGTTTTTTTTTCTTAGAACGGTTGTTTTTTTTGGCAGCATTTCAGCAAAATCTTTTTCATATTTTCATGTTGTGTTCATATTTTAGTTCGCAATATCGTCATTGTGGCACACAAACCTTGTATTGTGTAATCTGAAAACTCCAATTGTGCTTTGCAGTGTATTAACATTGTGACAAATGGACCGACAGAAATGCTCCAAAATTACTTAGGAAAAATTTTTGCATTAGCTTCCATTACAAGCTAAGATTTGTTTTACTCCTCCTGTGAAGCTACCGTTGTTCTGACAGCGACAATATGACAAATGCTATATTAAACCCAGTTTGTACACAGCAAATCAAATGTTCTTGTGTTGAAATACAAAGCACTGTAAAGTACTTTACTGCTATTGATTACAAGCTTTGTTCATCATTTTTGGCTGTGAAACTGGTATGGAATCAGACTGCAGCAATTTCTGGGCAAGTTCTGCTGCTGAACTCCACACTCGGTCCCTTCTCCCCTGAAGGGCTCATCTAACAAACTTCACCAGAGCTAATAAAGTAACAGAATGATGAGAGAATGTTAAATTGAATGCCAAACCAGGAGGTAGGACTATAAAACACCAATAAACTGAGAGGTGATGCAGTGCCACTGCCTGACACCAGGGGGCAGAAGGAACCATGTAAAACACTGATGTACTGAGACAGCAATGGACTGCTACCCTCATCACATATAGAAGAGTAAAAATCATTACTAGCTTGGTCTGTGGATACAGATCAACTTTAATTCTACATTATGACAGATCAGGATGTGTTCAATAGGATGTGGTGTGTGATGATTTCACAACAAACTAAACATTGTTGATGAGTCACTTTCATTAAAATGGGCTAATTTTCTCAGAGCTTAATAAAGAGATTCCTGTTTACCCCACTAGGAGTTATAACGTGCCAAAACTAACAAACAAAAAAAGTCATCTTAAAATATAAATAAATAAAAATCATACAATCTTACCTTGCTTTTCATTTCAATCAGCAGAGATGTATGCTATTCCTGTCAGCAGGAGAGCAGCTCTGCTTACACAAGTGCAGGCTCTGAGGAGGCTCAGGATACTCTCAGGAGAAAAGATCTCAGCACTAATCTCTCTCTCTCTCTCTCTCTCTTTTTCTTTCTCTCTCTCCCTGTTTTTTTTCTAAATGCCACTCATTAATTAGAACTAATTAATCACTGCTGGAGCAGAGCTTCTCTGGGTCAATATCTCCATCCGTCTCTCTGCCAGTGCTCAGAGAGCTGTGGATAAAGATCTGTGTGCTACATATAGTGTGCGCACAAAATCAGATATTTATATTTAGTGTCTTAAAGAGGAATTCCACCAACTTTTCTAATTTTCTGCATAGTTAAATGGTTAAGATGTAAACAGTCATTCAGAGTGGTTTAGTGTGAAATGCTCCGTTCTAGAGAAACATACAGTCAGAATTGTTTAACATGGCGCTGATAGGAACCAGACTTCTGATGAGTTTAACGTGCTGCTTGATGTCAGAGACATCGTTTTATGACAGTTTTGAGAAACGTTTGGCATAAAATATAATTTTTATTTAATTGTTTTACATTATTCATTGTGTAAATGTACATGCTAGGCATTGTAAGGCAATGCAAGGCAAGTTTATTTCTATAGCACATGCATCTCATACACTGCGGTCATTCAAAGTGCTTTACAAATAAGAAAATACAAAGATTATTCAAATTAAAATTTAGGAAGACATGGGCAGAATAGAAATTAAAAACATGATTTAAATAGGATTATAAAAATTGATTGAAAAGAGAAGAAATTGCAGTAAATTATTTAAAAATTAAATAGGATAATAAAGAGCTGTTACAGTAGAGTTAACAGTGTTTTAAACTGAGCAGAAAGCTGCTCAAATAGGAACGTTTTCCATCTGGATTTAAAAGTGTCCAGTGTCAGCATAGTAGCAAAACACTCCTTCTCCATGTTAAATCTTTACCTTAGGCAGGACTAACTGACTACTTCCTAACGATCTGAGGGTTCTGCTCAGCTCATATCTCTGCAGCATAGCAGATAAATATGCTGCTCGTACACCATTAAGTGATTTATAGACTAGGAACAGTCCCTTTAACTCTATACTGTAACAGACTGGCAGCCAGTGTAAGGATTTAAGAATGGGGGTGACGTGTACCCTTTTACTCCTCGTGTTACTCTGGCAGCTGCAATTTGAATCAACTGAAGCTGTTTATCTTTTTTGGGAGTCCAGTTAGGAGACCATTACAGTTATCAATCCTGCTAGAATAAAGGAGCGAGTTTCTCCAGGTCTGCTTTAGTCAGACAAACTAAATCTTCTTGATGTTTTTAAGGTAAGACAAAATAGTTCTTTTCAGATTTACCACTTTTTTCTGATTTTATCATTACCAATGTTACATATAAAAACCCAGATGATGTGTGCAGGTTCACTGGTTGTTTTGGATAGTAAACAAAATGGCTATGGCTAAATCTCTGGAATTCTCCTTCGAGGACTATCATTTTCTGATTTGTGTATCATTTTCTTCTTCAGATGTCATACAAGGACACTAACTATAGAAGATAAGAAACAAATAAGGAAGGTCAGGCAGCAAATAAGGAAGGCCAGGTAGCATAGCCGTTCTGGATAGCTAAGATAAGCAAACCTGTATCCATTTCCTAGCTTCCTTCTGTCTGATAGTCATGTTGAATCAGGTTGGTGAGATTGAACAAAGGCTTAGACTGTGCTTGCTTTGTTTATCGATATAAAAAGCTGCTTCTCAAACTCAAAACAGTTATTCAAATGAATAAATATTAATCATTACACTTACTTTTCTGTGTGGATCAATTGGGTAGCCCTGCTGTCCATAAGGACTGAAGACCTCATCCTGCAAACAGACAGTTACAGCATATGAGACTACAAATCCCAGCACTGCTGCTCACTTGTGATGCAAACGTGTTTGGACTCTAAATTATGGCTGTCAATCCGATGCTTCTAAATCAAGCATGATGTCACTTAAAAGCGCTGCAATGTGAATAATTTAATGCCTATGAGAACTAAAAAGCATCTTATTAGGCCATTTAATATTTTAACAAGATTCAATGGAAGCCCAAAGACAGAGCGCTCTCAATCATAACAACCAATGTTGGTTAAGCAAAGTAAAAGAAGCTAAAAGTAGCATTTTCATCATCATAGAAATGAAACTGAACTGGAATCACTGGAGTGATTTTGAAAATGGGAATTTCAGTCTTTTTACACTGGTTGTTCAACATTTCTACATAATTAAAGCTTCAAGATGTAAACAATTTAATTCGAAGTGATCTGATGTGAGATGCTCCATTCTAGAGAAACTTAGAGTCAGAATTATTCACAGAGGTGGTGATAAGAACCAGATATCTGAAGAGTTTTACATCTCTAAAAGCATCCCATACAGTCATTTTAGGAAATGACAGTGAATATGATGCCTGATGTCTGAGACAGTGTATTACTGTAGTTTTATGAAAAGATTCTGACAAACTTTTTTAAAATTATATATTTGGGGTGTTACAAGGCAAAAAAATCCTTTTTCCTGATTTACCTCCATTTTACTATTATCAACATTCCGTATAGATATGTGTATACTGGTCGTTTGGTAGTAAATAAAATGGCTATATTTGTGTTGCAGACGTCGTAGCCCCTGGTTTCTATCACCAACATGGTAATGAAATCAGAGTTGGATTTCTCTGCAATGAACCATTTCACATCAAGCCACACTAAATGACTGTTTACAATTCAACAACTGAATTATGCAGACATTTCTTTAAAAAAAAAAATGGTGAATATCACCTTTAACCAGAGGACTTACTGCAAGGACTTTTTACTTGTTACCTTAAAACATACAACACCATTATTTTAACATATAATTGTACTTACTGCTCAAGTAAGTAAAAAGAATTTAAATGGTTAAATCTGAACCTCAACACAGAAACAATACTGACAGACAGACAATGGTTCATTAAAATGCTGGGCATGATCTTAACATTACAAACAGTGAGACGATGAGACAGGCGGAGGAAGGAAGAGAGGGAGATTGGTGTGATTGGGGTTAAGAAAAAGGGTCAGTCTGCGTGGGTGAATCATTAAGGATGATGTTCAGAAAAGCCATCTTTGAGAAAATAAAGAGTTTCAGTAGATATTCTGGATTTCATTTGGGTGAGATTATAAATACTATAAAGGAGAACAGTTAGGGATATGTTCATAAATGTACTTTCTCTGTTGGATGTGGTACCAAGTACCTACTTTGCACTGTTCACCATGCAATCTGTGACTGGCATAACCTGAGGAACTATTTAAAGGGCCCATATTGTAAAAGATCAAAGCTTCCTCTATTTTTGTGAAATAGAAGAATTAATCATAGTATGCAAACACACTTTAATACAATAATAGAAAAGAGATTATTTACATATATCAGCTTTAAAAGTACAGCAACAAAAACAGCTTGTTTAGTTCTAGGGTCTAAATAGAGATGGTAAAATGGTCCCCCCAAGCCTGTACAGCTTGAAAAACTTAACAAAAAGTAGGCTACCGGATCTGTAAATAATATGTTCTATTATACTTTAGCACAATATAAATAACTGAACTCATTATGATGGTCACAGAAGCAGTTTGTGATGACTCTGTGACCAGGGTAATATCAGTTTGAAAGTAGCCATTAGACGATGGGTAAACTGCTCAAAAAGGAAAGCAGATGGTCAGCAACAATATCAGAAAGGTTGCTGCATTCAAAATGACGCTTGATTGATGTTAGGAGGCCCAATGTGGGCCAAGAAAACATTCCCCATACCACTACATCATGAATTTATGTGGTTTACACCAAATTCTGACTTCCATTTGCATGTCAGATTCATCAGACCAGGGAACATTTTTCAAATCTTTAACTGCACAGCTTCAGTTAGCCCTGCAGCCTCAGATTCCTGGCTGACAGGACTGCAACCTGACATGGTCTTCTGCTATTGCAGCCCTGTAACTGAAGCTCTAGACTCATGTCCGCATCATTTTATGCTCTGTGCTGCTGCCACGTGATTGGCTAATAGGACAAATGCAGGACTGAGCAGGAGTACACTGATGATACACAACTTTGGATTTTCTGGAGTCAATCCGACTCCTGCCACAAGAGTCAATTCGATGACTCAACTTTATCTTGCCACAGTTACGTGGGGTTGAAGTAAAAAAATAACTGATGGAAATTGGGTTGATAAAAATAAAAAGTAAAGAATAAATAGGAACTGAAAATTTGAGAGAGTGTTATTTGGCTTAATATCATATGTTATTTGATTAAAACAGTGTTTATTTTATTAATTATGAACCATGTTTTATGGTTTTTGTGTGAGGGTTTAAATAAAGATTCCTTGATTAAAAAAAAAGGTGATGAAAATGCATGCACACTGTAAAACAACATGGAACTCCAATGATTCAATGATATCAAATTATTTGATAAAAATCATTTATCTATTGATGTTTTGATATCCTATAGCATCACTTAACTCAGTCCAAACATGAAAATATTTAACAGTCTAAAATATCAGGAAATATTTATTTCCACCCTCATACAAAAACCACCCTGGTAATGAATGGTAACACAGTTCATATTTCATCAAATAAACACTGTTTTAATCAGTTGCTTTGATCAAATCAAAATTTAAATTGATAGGCATTTTTATCAATCTCATTCTCATAATTTAATTTTTATCAATTCCACCGGTCACAGATAGTCATTTGATGATCATTTATAATTATACCAAGTTGTATAAGACAAATTCAAGTGGTAATGTTTACGGGCTTGAGATGGCAGTTATGCACTACCAAACTGTGTTTTAATAAACTAATGCTACTCAAACTCTTTATATTACACAAGCAAAACGTTTTTTGTGTCGGTCACCATGAAAAATAAATAAATAAATAAACAAACATCCAAGCATCTATACTCTGAGCCGTTGGCGAAGGGCTGACTCTGATTTCCAGACACAAAAGAGTCTACGAATCACATCTTCTGGAGTCGACCATCACTAGAGTGCAGGCTTCCCAAATAAAGTGGCTAGTGAGTGTATGTATTTACTACTTACTATATGCTACTAAAACACAGTATTGTATATTAATATTTGGCATTTTTCTTCTTTCTTTACTTTTGAAATTCAACAACCAAACTTCCACTGCATATTGACAATGTGTGCATCTTAAAAAATTCAGCAAAAAGACCCCTAACAGAGACGTCTACTGGACGTGTTCTATGTTTTAGTAAATAAGAACTATACATGTAGGGCTAATCTACATAGGACTTACTGATGTGAAACATTTAACCTGACATCACATTACAGTTTGAATTAGGAAAGGAAGGAGGATGTGAGTGACAGAGAATGGCCCTTAGAGAACATGTGTGCAAGGCTGGGAGGTGGGCTGAGTTGGGGGGCGGTGTAGATTGGCCTCACTGGTGCTGTACTCACGCTGGGCCCGTGGGCTCCAAACTGCCGTCCATCTACAGTGCTAAAGGCCAGAGAACCTTGGCTGCCATAGAGCGAGGCCAAAGACCGAGACAGGGCAGTCTGAGCGAAGATACGACACACACGCACAAACACCACACACATGCATTCAACAGACACTTTAGTGAACATGCATCACCAGTGTGGACTGCTGAAAACATGCAAGAGACAAGCTGTTAGTATGAGCTTACTGGTGTTAATAACAGAACACAAACATGCAGAACGATTCACACTAACATGCATTAATGAAGATTATTCAATGGCTCACAGAGGTACTGTTTGTTGTTTAATATCGAAAAGGTTCAGTATGATCTTTTTGTGAATTTATCAGGATTTGTATCAGCTAACTCTTCACAGGCTCAGTTTTCAAACTAAAAGAGAAGAACTATAATGTGACCAGGCTGGTAATGTCAGCAAAGGTGAAAACAGGCACTTAGCATTTGTCTGTTTACCTTAAAGATTTTAAACTGAGTGCTGTTCTTGGTTTGAATTTCAAGCCGTGTCGCCTGCTATGGATTTGTGGTCTGGGCTTAATACAGTACAGGAATAGTAGGATGCTGAGGGGTGCAAATCTCTGTTGGTGGTGTCTGGTGTGCAGTAACCTGCAGGAGTGCGATACTTATATATTATCTAGATATATTATCTAGAATCAAATTCTTTATCTATGTAATTGTATTAATGAATGGCTTAAGCCAGTCATAGACCAGCACTCTCATACATATATCTATAGGTCATGCCTGTCATTAACTTCATCAAATCCAGGCATGTCTCTCTCAGTAACAGGCTTCACGACACCAAGACATTTAAGACATCAAATAAGCCAGTGTTTCTCAACTCAGTCTTCAGGGCTCACCAGATAGATGACCTTTTTGCTCTCTCTCAACTCTCCCCACACCTAAATCAAGCCCTTAAGAACTGAAATTCTGAGGTGGGATACAAAACACTAGAATAGTTTATGTGGCTGATTTCACAAGGACATTTTGGTCTACATCAACATGCACTGAAGCACGCTGCTGGTTTGTTGTTAAGGGTCTCTGTACGCTGAGACTGATGTGAGCGGGAGCTCAAGCAAGAATGCTCTTAATGAAGAATTCCACAGATTTTGTAAAAGTTCAGCTAAATTAAATGGTTAAGATGAAGAGTCATTCAGCGTGATCTAATGTAAAATACTCACTCACTCAGACTTGTTCACAGCAGTGAAGAATAATTCCTGCAAAAGCTACCTTACAGGAAGTTATTATATGAAATAATTATGAACAAACATGTATTGGGTTTATGGTTTTGGACTAAAGTGAGTTTATTTTTATCAAATTATGGAGTGGTACTTGTTGTAAGGCAACACTGCCCCCCCCCCCCAAAAAAAAACAATTGCTGTTTTGGATTTACAACTGGTTTACCATTTTCAATATTACATTTAAAAACTTAACCTGTAGGTTCATTGGCTGTTTTGGATAGTAAATAAAATATTTGTCTTGTAGACATTGTGACCCCTGGGTCCTATATCAGAGTTGTTTCTCTACATTGAAATATTTCATATCAAACCACTCTGAATGACTTGGTTTACGTCAACCACAGAATTCTGCAGAAAATTTGAAAAAAACTGTGGAATTCCCCTTTAAGCAAAACCGCTACTGGTTGCTGTTCTTGAAAGAAGGAAGCGAAAAATACCAGGTCCATTATTGCCTGTCCTTATAGATATTTATATCTGTGTTAAATTGTACAGCTCTAAATGTGAGTTGACAGCAGAGTTTAATTTCTCCTCATACACATTCAACATCAAGTTGACTGACTGAAGCTTTGGCCCAGAAGCCCAGAAGTTTTTCAATGGACAACAGAGCATAATTTGAGCACACTGCTATGTGCCAACGCACTTTTCATAAGTCAATGGCAAGAGGTGTACTGTTGACTGACACCAAAATGTTCTTGTGAAGTGGCCTTAAGCCACTCTATGAGAGTTGGGAAAAACCTGATCTTGAAGACATTTAACCTCTGAAACACTCAGAAATCTGTTTTCAGAATTTAACCATAAGAACTAACAATTCAGTGCTGCATCAGGAATCAAACTCTCACTTTTGTGATGTTCTAAATACTGTAGTGTGGTTAAGCACTCACCATCTTCTCCATCTTCTTGGCCTCAATGTGCCTCATCACCTGGTCTCTCCAATCAGCTGGTACCCTGCCTCCTCCTCCAGAAGGTCCATCCAGCAGAGAGTGCTCAGACTTCACTCTCAAGTTGGGCCTCTTGTTGGGGCTGCCATGCTGGTAGTTGAAGTCGCTGACGGACATGGTCCTCTCGGGCACCTCGTGGGCTGGGGGTCGAGCGCTTTGTGGCCGTGGAGCTCCAGGTTCATCCATGCTGTAGGTGCGGGCCGACAGAGGCCTTTGGAGGCTCATATGTGGTGGACCGCGGCCCATGGTGTGGATGTCCCTGTAGGTTAGATAGTCACTCTCAGGACCTGGCATGCGCCGAGGGTCCGGCATGACCATGGATGCATTGGAGGACGTGCTGCTCTGTCTTTGCAAAGTGCCTCGTTGGCCTCCGGGAGGCATCATACGCTCTTTAGCCCACATGTCAGGAGGGGCCTTTGGTGGACCACGCGTTTGTGACTGGTGAGGATAGGGTGGAGCATTGTTACGATTTGAATAGTTGGTGTTGGCAAGTGAATGTTGTGGAGGGAGGTAGGCCTGGTCAGGAGGGATGGGGGTGCGCTGGGCCCAAAGATTGTCTTTAGGTACAGTGCTGCTGGTGTACTGGACGTTATACTGAGGTGGAGGGCCAGTGGGATAGCGAGTCACGCTGGTTGGAGGTTTAGAGCTGGACAGGAGGTCAGAAGATGAGGCTGAGGAACCAGGATAAACTTGCAGAGGTTGATCATTCAGTAAAGAGGCAGATTTGGACCGGACAATGCTCTGGCCTTGGGCGCCAGAGACCCTGGCTGCCCCTGCTACAGCCTCATAGGGTGGGCTCTCACCTTCAATGGAGTACAGCTTCATGCCACCAGCCTCCATGTTGCTGATGCTCTGGGACTTCATCACAGGAGGTGGTCGCTTTTTCTCCGGTGAAAGTTCCTCTGTGCTGCGGGAAAGGGACATATCACTGGATGCTGTAACTCCTGCAGATGCAGTCCTCACAGTCTCGTACCTCACTACTGTTTCCTCAATGCGGCCATTAAAATGCTCCCCAGGCTGTGCTTTTGCATTCTGGTTCCCATTCTCCAGGTTCTCCAGAGATGGAGCAGAGGTGTTGTTGTTGCTGCTCAGACAAGGTTCCCCAAGGCTGCTCTTTGTCTTCTCCAGGTCCTCACAGACCACCATGTTGTCGGGCGGAAATTTGGACACGTTCATGTTGATCTGGTCCCACTTGCTGTACTGGTCGGCCATGCCGTTATTAATGCCCTTCTCAATGAGCGCTAGCCGCTCCTCCATTGAGAGGTCATAATTGGTCATCTTGCCAGCTTTGCTCTCGTAGCTGCGCTGGGTCTTCAGAACTGTCTGCAGAGACGTCTCAGAGCCGTTGCAGTTCTGAAGCAGTGGGACTGTTTCCTTCAGCTGGTTCAGATTTTCATCCTCTTGCCTAGAACAACAGGATGAACCTTTTGAGTATACTGGTTGGTCAGCGTAGTGGATATTACCGTTGCAACAAAAGATCGAAGATTCTGTGTCTGGTTAGGCAGGAACCCCACAGTTATATCCTTGGCTAAGACTATTATTGCTACATTTATGTACTATGGACCATATACCCAACACACTACATAGATAAGAGCATCTTGTAATTCTATTAAATGTAAATATCAAGTTCTGTTTTTCTATCTGAATAATTAGAAAAAAAAACCTTATTCTCTACACACAAATTATGTCTTCTAGCCAATATTACAGTGCTGATAAGAATTCTGCACTGAAAATCCACCCAAAGTTACTTATGTCTACTCGTCTATCCCAACATTCGCTCATAACGTGCATTTGCTTCACATAGTAAATCTAAATGACTTTGCCATAAAAATTCACTGTAAATACCAGAAGGTTAATTTTTTTATGAGGCACTTGCTTCCTGATGAAGAAAACAAGAAAACAAGCAGACACCTGTTCTTGGGGACAAGTGGCATCTTGGCCTCTCTCTCGGGAGTGCAGAGGGAGTTGTCCTGGCTGCTGTCTGTGGTCAAGGACACGGAGTCAGACATGCGAGAGGGTGAAGAGCAGTTACTGTTGTTCTGGTTACTATTTGCCACAGTCTCGTCCAGCAATGAGTCAGCGTCTTTACTGTCATCTGGGTCAGGAAAGATAAGGAAGTATGCATTAAAGTGATCATCCTGTTAGTGTCTTCCATTTCACTATGGAAAGTAGGGCTGCGACTAACGATAATTTCCATAATTTATTAACCTATCAACTACTATTCAATTAATTGATTAATCTATTAAACTATTGTCTTTTCCAGTTCATCTCCCTTTGCCAAGATTTAACATTCTGTGTAACAAGTTATTCTTCAAAGAAACAATAGAGGCCATATCGCCCTGTGCTCCCTGTAGCGTATCACAGTCTGTCAGAATGACCATGTGTGTCTAATGAACCTCATAGAGCAGACTGCTTTTTTTTTTAACTTAAAAGATCGGTGACATTTAGTTTAGCAAGTATTGGTACAGCTATTTGAGCATGACACTGTTCTACAGCAGAAAAACAACCAGTTCCTCCATAATTTAACGGTACTGATTATTCACACATGTTTAAGAGAACCTTTTTTGTCCTTGCTGAGGGCCACCACTTTGGGCTGGTTGATGGAGATCTCGATGAGGGGAGGTCTCATCTCAGCAATCCTCATCTCCTCTTCCTCAGACGACAGCTCCTCTGAATCCTGGGGCAAGGCAATGTAACATGAGCAGCACATCCTGAATTTCACATGTACTTCCACATACAGACTCAGAGAGACAGCGTGTCCATAAGAATCACTGGTGAATGTTAAGACCTTTCTTTGAACTACGCTGGTCTTACTTCTACAGTTGTGCAGTCTTCTTTTAAACACCTGATATCCCATTCCCAACAGTGTTTACATAGCATCTCTCAGTTATGCGGTGATACATTTCTTACGCTGATTAAATTCATTACGTTAAAAAAGTTAAGTGAATGTTTAATGTTAACAGTGGTAAGTTCACCTCAAGTGTGTCCTCATGGTTGACCATGGCTCTAGAGCTATCTGAGCTCTTCAGAGGGACTCTCTCAGTATCGTGGTTATCTGGAACGTCTCTTGGTTCAGGTGGAGTGGCGTTTTGGACGCTGTTCGCTGTGGCTTTGGACTCCAGCTCAAGTGCTTTGCCATTGGCACAGGGAGTTTCAATCACCTGATAAAGCCAGTGCAGAGCCAACAGTGTGATTAAGCCAAGAAAAGAACACAAAACACACTAAGTAACAGATACAAGTATCAACCAATGAATTTGACCCTATTACAAACTTATTTTTAGTTAGAATTCTTCCAGTTCTTAATACCGTTTACCAGCTATTAACAACAATATGTCAGGGCAGTATACAAGCAATGTCATTAAGAACAGCAGTAAAGTGTCATTGATTGTACTGTAGTATTTCTGGTTTTATATATATATATATATATTATATATATATATATATATATATATATATATATATATAGTCCTGCTATATATACAGCAGTACAATGACACAACTACCTTTTTTTAATCAGAACATATGAGTCATTGTCCTGTAGAGCTCACCTTAACTCCTACACTCTGCACTCCGATGTGGTTCTTCTCACTAGACGTCTCGTCTCCTGACTCATCCTCCTTGAGCCGGTGGGCTACAGACTGTGCTGTTTTTACCATGTTCTTCAGCTCGTCAGGGTATGGCGTTGGGTAGCGCTTCAGGTTCCCTTCCTGAACACAAACATAACAGGACAATGTACCTTCATGCCACATGGACGTTCGACAGGCTAACTGTTCCATGCCAGTTTTCATTCGCTATCTTAACCTTTTTGATTGTTTAGGCATCATGCTGAGTTCCTGGTTTATCTAGAACACTTAGCTTTAAACTTGGAATAATAATGTGAATTTAGACAATTATCATCTGTGGAATTATTGCAATAAACAATATCACTGTGATACAAATGTAGTTATGAAGTATCAAGTGTGGCTTACCCTACAGCTTGTATTTTCCCTGATGGTGATATAATTACCATCTAAATGGTACATAATTATTTTCAATGACGACATATTCTTCACAGATATTACAATGCTATCACCCAGTTGTTCTCTATGTTCATTTGTTAGGAAAGCAAAAAACTGCCATGGTGACGCCCTTCTTTTAGACAAGCTTGTCCATTTTAATCTCTACTGAGTTTCTTTGTTTCATTTGTACTCCAGCATTGTTGCCCAGGCTGAAAGTTTACATTATAATCTGTCCAAGTGGCATTCAGAGTATGTATGTGTGTAATTAACTAATTAATGTTTGTAAAGCCTATAATTAAGTGCAATCTTCTTTATTGTAGATAATTTTGAATTAGTCATAGATTAGAATAATTGTACAAAAGGAATGGTTAAATAAATGGGGAAAAAAATAATGTGATACATAAAAGAGAACGAAAGAATGATCATGTGCATAATATCGGCACTAAGCATGTTATTCAATTATATTAAGCATCAGCCTAGGACTACTTTAGCATATGTCCATACACAGTTAATTAGTTGGATACATCCAACCCAGCAAAAATGCTGCTGTGCATGGTACACTCATACTAGCACAATACTCAACACATACTAACATCCTACTACCTTACTGGTATCACTTTTGGGCTCAGAATGGCTCCACCATAATATCTGGCCAGAGGTGATCCTATGGTGGTCCCTTTCCACTGATTAGTGGTGCACATGGGGACTGATAAACTGTGCTGTGCAGTCAGTGATTGTACATCTACAAAGTCCACTTACATGGTAGGTACACCTGACCAAATGGGCAGCGAGTGTAGGTACATGGTAAATATATTTAATAAAACTGGCACTGCATCATGTACAGGTGAACTATGGAGCCATAATTCAAGGCCCTTCAGGAAAGAGTACTTCAGGGTATTGTAAATCAGCCCCAGGAGTATGAGGGCACTTTATGTAGGCCAGACTGACGAGGTGGGCACTCAGAGGGTTGACAGTGATGCTCCATCAGACGGGGACAGCTTGAGGGACTGCGTGTTTCTGGTATCAGGCCAGACAGCCATACTGAATCACTAGGAGAGGTTGTCAGAGGCAGGGAAGAAGGCCCAGACAGTGTTTTTGTGTGTGTGTGTGTGTGTGTGTGTGTGTGTGTGTGTGTGTGTGTGTGTGTGTGTGTGTGTGTGTAAAAAGAAAGATACAAAACTTAGAGGGAAATGTACACCGAGAGAAAAGAGGCGTCTAGGTGGTTTGACAATATGCCACCAAATGAATCTCCAGTTAAACTGAAACCTTCAGAAGCCTTCATAGACATAAACTGATGGGCTAATCTGCTATAGGTTGAATAGGTGGTCATATGTAAACATGTTCAAGGTTGTCACATCACAACCACAATGAATTCAAAGCCATTCAAACCACACTGTACTTTAAGAACTCCACCAGGACAAATGATAAAGTTCCCTGGAACAGTCAGGGGCAAACAGGGTGAAGCTTTCTTTCTGACACAATGGATACTGGCACTAAGCCTAGCATGACACTCAAGATTAATCGGAAACACACCCGGAATCACAGCCAAACATAACGATACCTGTGGGAACATGTGCACATGAAGTGTGCTTTGCAATATACTGTATACAGTTGACTATGAGAAATTTTGCATACAGTCTTAGCCTATTGTGTCACAAGTGAGCGTAATCTTCATTAGAACTTGGTAGCTAGTTCAGCACTTTCAAGATGTTTTCCCTCAGGAAAAACAGAAAAGAGGTAAGATGACTGTGTGCTTCAGAGTATGTGTTTGAACATGTGCATGCACACACTGAAATTTCACAAAAAGGAAAAGTTCAGACTAAGGGTAAGGCGGGTTGGGGAACACAGAAGAAAGGGAGAGAAACAATGAAAGAATATTTAATGTTCTGCTTTACTCATGCAGAGGAAACAGACAGAGAGCAAGAGAAAGACTACAACAGCGAAAGAGACGCAGAGTACAAAAGCATAAGGGACATAGCAGACTGACTCAACATAAAACCACATACGCCAACATTTTAATGTTAGCAGATTTCTTTAGAATGTTTAGAAAAAGAACTGATATAACAAAGGAACCAGTGTGAATTTGGGAGAACATTCTAGAACTGAATAACGGAGAACATTCTAGAACACAGTGAATGGGAACAACATTACAGAAGATTGTGAATGGGGAACATTCTAGAATATTATAAATTGGGAGGATAATATTTTTAGCATGGTGTGAATAGAGTGGAATATCTTCCAGAAGAAAGTAACTGGGGGTAGAACAATCTAGAACAGTGTGAACTGGGGGGAAACGTTCTAAAACTGCATGAATTGGGAAGAACATTTTAGAACAAAGTGAATGGGGAACATTGTAGAACACTCAAAAGGGAGGCTAACATTTTCAGAATAATGTAAATAGAGTGGAAAATAGTTTAGAACAAAGTAATTGGGGGTAGTACTATCTAGTGCAGTATGAACAGGGGGGGGGGCATTCTAGAACAGTGTGAATGGGGAGAAAACACTTCCTAGAAAACTATAAATGGAGGTGAACATTCCAGAACAGTATGAATGGAGAGTACAACATTCTAGAACACTATAAACAAGGGACGCCAGAACAGTGAGAATGAGGAAAAAAAAATACTAGAACAGTGTGAATGGGGAAGAACATGCAAGAACAGTGTGAACAGAACTATGAGAACATTCTACAGACTCCCAACAATCACACAGGAACGGCTCTAGATGTAAAAAGAATAAAAGAGATTAAAAAAGTGGGAGAGGATGTGGGGTAAAGGGCAGTGGAGTGGGCGCACTGACCCGTGGTGGAGTCTCTCTCTCATCCTTGTCCTCGTCACACTCGAACGCCACCTGTGCCCTCTGCTTTCTCTGCTCCTCCCATAGAGTCGGGTTAAAACTCTCACTGTCTGAATTAGGCACATCTGAGTGTGAGAGAGAGAGAGAGAGAGAGAGAGAGAGAGAGAGAGAGAGAGAGAGAGAGAGAGAGAGAGAGAGAGAGAGAGAGATAAAAATCTGGTTAAAATCATATGCAACATCAAATTTAGGCAAACATGTTTGGCATAAATATGAGAAATCTTGACGCAGCACTTCTGTCTGTAGTGCTCTCTGTGCCTCAGACGGACCAGGTCTGAACACTCAGGCCTCAAAAACAGCTCCCCTGAACCAGCCGCCTTTAGTGGCAATGACGTTTGCTTTTCTGAAGAGTTTTAGGTGGAGTTGCTAGGCGACGGGTAAAGACTTTTTAATCTCTCCCTCTGTGGAATTCAGCGCGGCTCCCTTTTGTGATTTGCCTCTTAGCGCTGCTCTCAACAACAATGAAGGGTTTGTGTCTTCAAGGGTAAAAACAGCAGAGGTGGCGGCTGAGGCCGGATAGTGAACGAGCCGCAGGTAACCTGCACTGGAATGAAATGCAAACTGCTTGACGGAGGACTTCAGCCTTCCTCATGTGATCATGTTACTTGTATTTTTAGTAATTTTTTCATGTCTGATTACTTTTCATTTTCACATAGATGTTAATGTGCGCATGTTGCTTTAGCTGTTTGATGACATTTTGTAGATGGGCCTGATCAGTATATTGGTTGGTTATTAATACTGACTGATACTAATGACGTGTAATTTTATTGGTACCATACAAAGAATCATTGATGGAATTCAAACAAACAATCTCCCAATGCCAGGGCAAAGCCTTAGACAGCTGTGCACCAATATTTATATGATTTAAAATTTTGGGTTTCTGTTTTTTTTTCCAGTCTGAGAAGTGTGGCAACTAAGTACTGATGATCATACTGATCAGTATAGCACTCTAACTAAACTAAATAAATATAAAATGAACTTAAATCTAAAAGACATATCTTGAATTATAAATCACTTGATATTACCAACCAGAATTTTTAGACCCTTGAAGTTGGTCTCAAGATTTTAATATAGATTGGGCCTTAAGTCCTTAATATGTCTATTGTGATATTAGTTTGTGTACTGTCTAAACAAACATGAATTTAATGAATGAATGCTTTAAAAACTCATGCAAATACTTAAATAACTGAGGCTAGTAAGGGCCTGCTAACATTACACCAGTCTCACCAATACTACTGGTCTCTCTTAGTGTGATGACAGCTTTCTTTTTCAGGTATGCCATTAAGCAGCGCTAGACGTACGAGATCACTTGATCTCAAAGCCACAGGATGTTAATGCAGCATGTGTGAAAAACACAAAGATGTCACTCGAGGTTCAGGTAGCTCCATTTAAAGCACAGTCCTATTCAAATTCTCCTGTGTCTGAACAAAGCCAACAGAGTCGGCATCATGATTCTGCTGTTCAAAAATCTGATGTGTTGTAATTGCATAAAGTTCATTGTAGCATGGCAAGCACTTCAGAGCAGAGAGCTGAGTGGAGAGGATGCCAGCGCACACAAAATAGCTTTGTTTCAACAGAATTGACTCTGATCATGTGGACTGCCATACATGTGCAAACGGAAGTGCGGCAAAAACTGGCAACGCCATTCACTTAAAGCATCTGACTTTGCATGGGTTAAATTAAAATGTGCAGCAGTGAATAAGACACTATTTACCAATAACTGCAAGTTTTACATGTGATTTGTTGGCACTACCATTTCTGTTAGTTCTACGAATTGTTATTTATTGGTAAATGTAAATTTGTGGTGAATAGACATTTTTGTAACAGTAGACAAAATGTACATAAAATGAGTGTGTAAAAATGCCAAAGAGGTGGATAAAGACAATAAAACTAAAGATCTGTCCCAAAAGAGTAGGTATAATGAGAGCTGGCCCGAGCAGCATTTGACAAGCTTTGAATACTCATTGTTAATTCTGTACAAACACTCTATTAATATAATTAACAAAAGTAATTACAATTAACAATAACTGTAAGCAAGTTCATTTATTTTAGATCTGTTTACGAGGGACACCCCAAAGATGCTGTGAGACAGATGTGCTGTAACCTTATGTCAGATGAAAAGACAGACGAGTCTAAGTGATTTTTTCCTTACCTGGACAGCAGCAATGCAAGTTCAAGATGTAAACAGTCAGTTTAACTAATTTAATAAATGGAGCTAAGCTCAAATTCCACATATCAACTAGTCCAAGATCAATTCTATCACGCGTGAAATAACTTCAATATATGAACACTCACCTTGTTCAGGATTGACGACTCCTTTTTCTCCAATATTTTATACTTAATTTGTTGAGATTTACAGTCATTAATATCTTATAGGAATCAACTGAACCAGCTAGCCTGCTGTCACTGTTTCTCTGTTTCACTTAGTTCCACACTGGCTAAACAAGTGACAGAGACTCAGCTTTTTCACTTAGATGCCGTTTAGCACTCCAAACTATAGATAAACAAATTAATGTGTATTTGGCTGTTTCTTTCTTTAAAATGTTGTTTCCCATTTTAACCCCTTAAAATCTCAGGCTTATTACATACTAAGACTTTTTATTTAGTAACTACAGAGACTTCAAGGCAAACTGGCTGAGCTATTCTTAGGTTATAGAAGTGTGCAATAAAACTATGGGCCCACCGATGGGTTGCCATTTATCTTTTACTTCACTAACTCTTACTTCACTAACTCTACTTTCAAAGAAAAAGGGTGACACTGCAAAATCTCAGGAAGAGGAAGCGTGGGAAGTGTTCAGCCTTTAGCTAAGATTTTCTGGGTATTTTTTTTAGTTTGATATATCCATTATTAAGTAACCGCCAATTTTCCCTGGTTTTATGATAAAATGTTTGTTTCAAAACAGGGACAAATAAGCTAACTATGAAGTCTCTAACTCAAATATTCAAATGATTCAGGCCAACCCAAGTATAACAATTTTCTTTTTGTAGAACTCTTTTTCTACTAGCAAGAAAATTAATTTTAAGTATTACATGACCTTTACTTTATTTTACTTTATTTTTTGTATTTAAAAAGAAGGTCATCAAAGAGTTTAATTCAGAAATCTGTATCAGAATTAAAAATTTGTTAACACCCCCCAGCTCGAGGTGAACTACTCACATTCTTCAGTTCTGCTCTGCTGTGGGAACATGTAGTTGGTGAGAACGGTTTTGTGTGTCTCTGGTTCCTCCTCCTTCTGCAGGGGGATGAGCGGTTTAGACTGCAAGAAAAAGCACAGCATTGGATCAGTAACTTACAAAGCAATTCCACTGACTGGTCACATTTGGAAAGATACTAGTGCACATGCTTTAGATAAATATAACAGCTGATGAATAAGCAACAAAACTGCTCTTTACTTCAATTTGAGAAAACATTAGCGCATACATTATTACAACATACAACGTCATTTTATTGCAGCTGGTTTTGAGGCAACCATGGAGATGAGACACAGTGGGAGCACTTTTAATCCAACACATTTGTTCACTACAGTGGAAGATTATGCAGTAAAGGCGTCCATATAAATGGCCCAGTTAAGCACTAATAGCCACCCACACTAAGGAACCAACATTCATAGTTAGAGGTCAAAGTCATCTTTACACATGTAGTAACTCTAAGCTGCATGTGACTAATGTGACCCAACATAACTGTGTGAATATGTACTCATTTACATAGATTTTCAGGACATGAACATCCCCACTGTGTAGGAAACCCAGGATCTACAGGATCAACAAAATGATCCTGACTTTTAAAGTGTTTTTTTCACAAAAAACGAGCATTTCTCCTTGGTTCCATAGATTAAAGTTAGGGTTAGGTTTAGAAAATTCTTATTTATTATATGTATATACACCGCATATAGGATGCATTATTACTTATAGCCACATACATGTATATTGCATACAGACACACACACACACACAGACACACACACACAGACACATCACTGTGCAGAAGTCAGAGACCATGCTTCATTTATTTCATTTCCACTCAAAACTTTCATTAAGCACAAGTTATTCATCTTTCAGTTAAAAAAAAATACAAAGATGCCTCAACAACTACATATTATATTAAATTTTCAGCATTTAGTGTGTTCAAACTTGCTTTTATACAGCTTCCATTTTTGTCAAGGAGGTTTCAGTTATTCAGTTAATTCTGCAGGATTATTTTTTCACACCTCCAAGTTTAGTCTTAGAAGTGGTCTGTTAATAGTCCCATTATCTCTATATCTTTGATTCATACTTTATTAACTATTTATTAACTATTAAACTCGCATTCATTTGAAACACATTTATTTGCTGTGACTTTCTCTTTCCTTATGTAAGCAGATAATCCCACAGCTCATCTCCTCAGTACCTCATCAATACCTTTTGAAAAATTAATGATTTGTACATAATGGCCATTTTGGCTGGAAATTAAACATATGAAAGGTGCCCTCTGACTTATGCACATGTTTGCTTCCATAGACAACCATGCCCAAAGAGTAAAAACACCCTTCCAGAGAAATCTGAAGAAGTCTTGCAGGTTTTGTTTTTTTGTGTGTGTGTGTGTGTGTCTTTTTACAGTGGCAGTGATGTCTCTGGGTCAGCTGGCAGACTGGCAGAAAGTGTGCTTTACTCTACTCTACAGGTAGAGTCTCTGCCCTGATCTCAGAGGGGTTTAACTTAACTGTTATAATCGTGCACGTTTTGACAACAAAAAGTACAGCAGAGACGGGGAGAGAGTGGAAAAGGGGGAGAGAGAGATAGAGAGGGAAAGAGAGCAGAGTCTGTCTGAGTGTGTGTGTGTGTGTGTGTGTGGTGGCGGGGGGATGGTAAAGGGGAATAGTTATATTCTCAAATCATTAGTCAGAGACTGTACAGTCACTTGCAGTGATTACTCACACATTCAGTTGCCCACATACAAGATCTTTCAAGATGTGAGAAGATATATATCTCCCATATATAATACAGATGTATCTATATGTACAAGTAATATTAACAATAAGACAACAACAACAACAAATCCCATATGTAATAGTATGGCAAATATATCAATACAGATAGCACACTTTATTTGGTAGTATTTTAACTGTGGCAAAATATAAAGAGTCAGCAGTGCCACAGTTAAAACACTACTACTAAAAATTCTGCTTCCACTTAACAGTTTTAAAGGCAAACGGCAACCCAGCTCTCAATTACCATCTACAAACTATCTGCTGTTTTTATCACTTTCTCTACGGCTGACAGATGAATATGTGAGGGTGACAGTTTAGGCTGAAGCACACAGCATGGTGTTACGACACATCACTGTGACAGAGACCGTACAGAGTGTCAACGCGCTGTGACTCTCAGAGCTGCTGTGCTGACTGTTTGAGAGTTGTTTAAATCTTAGAACAGGGCTGCCCTCAGTGTGGCCCTGACTGCACCTCCCACACATATATACATATACATACACATACACACACACACAAACACACACACACACATTTGGCACTCCTGCTTTAGTCACAGTTATCACTGGTTATAATGAAAGCATGGTGAAATGAACTCAGTTTACTGAAATAAGTGGAGAAACTCTGTCAAAAGTGCAGATTTCTAAACTTCCAACACCACATTTGTGTTTGTAAAGAGAATACACATTTACGATTCAATGTACATGAAGTACATTGAACAGCACAGCAGAACAAAGACTATCTTTTACGTTTATGCCATGCCTGCTATTGTTTGACATCAAAACAAACGGAAAAAATCTAAAGTCTTGAACCTGTTGGTGCAGGATGTTAACCAACAGTAAATCTAATTACTTGCATATTCACATAATTATGCAATTAAGTTAAAAAAGTACAGTAATAACAACTCCAGGGGTTTAGCTGTTGCTTACCTGATTTTCGGACAGCCACATAGCAGTCATCTGATTCAGCTTGGTGAAACTGTAGGGAAGGTTCTTCAGCCTGACAATAAAGAGAAGGGAGAGATATTAAGAACAATGCAAAGACTTTAATAATATAAACAAGGTAATGCAATACAACTTTGGCTCTCTCTCTCTGCTGGAATGAAAAATGAGCGGTTAGCTCGGGTAAGGTCTTTTCCCCTCAGCAGGATTCTGGCTTTGCCACTAAATTGCATTGTCTGCTGAGTCATGGCCAAATCAAACGCGGCTGGCAGCCCACTGTTACTATGAATAACGTCCCCATTTCTTCCCTGAATCACAAGGCCTTGGCGCCTCACAACTTTAAAAACCATTCAAACTCCTGCAAAACTGTCAAGTGTGCATTCATTTGGGTCAATTTCATCATCTGTTCAATGAGTCTACAAAACACAAATCTAAAAACGTATCAGAGAAAAGGTAAATGGATTTAAGAAATGGATTCTGCTCTACCATAAACAAAATGCATGCATTTTAGTCATCTGGAACAAACCAAATGAAGAACAGCTGTTCGGTATCTGTTATTGTCCAAGAGAAGAAAGAAAGGGCTTCAATGAAATGCCTGAAGGTAGGCCAAATATAACTCAGCCATTACATACGTTTCAATTCAAAAATTATACCACAGAGAATCAGGCTTAACAAGGCTTGGAAAACAGTGTTATAGATGCTAGCATACACTCTTACTGAAGCCTAAGAAATTTTAGACCTGACTCCCAAGCATGTATAAATTTATCATACAGCAGATATTTATTTATTGATTTTCTAGGAGAAAATATATTAACACATCCTGCACAGAAATTAACTACTGCAGTTTTTGCAAATTTTAGTGCATAATTTATACTTATTTGCTGAGTTTAGCATATTAAAAAAAAAACAGTAAACGTAAAAAATGCCATGATTTTTCCACAGTCCACATTTCATATTTAATTTTTTTCCAATCTGTTAAACTCAGCAAATAAATAGTAACTGTGTATTAAATGTGCAGAAGTGTGTTCTCTGTAGAGGATGTTAACTTATTTTGATCTAGAAAAAACAACAAAACCTGTGACCAGGGGTGCAAAAACCTTTGCATATGACTAAAAAGACATCTATTTTGCTGGTGCCATATCAAAACCTAGTAACTCCATTTTACTCATTTTCTACTTTTTACATCATTCAAAAACACTGCCCTTTGCTGTATGTGTGCATTTCTGATGATGAATAGACAAAGAAATGGCCCAAAATTACTTAACATCTAAAAGTACATTAAAAGTTAAGAAACTAATTTCTCCTACAAAGTTTTCATTTTACAGATATGAATTTGTTATATGACATGTACAATGTGCAACTATAAAACCCTATTAGCTGTACTGAGTCCTGCTTTGTGCAGTAAATATCATTGCAGCATCAAGGACAGTCACTTAAAGCACACAAGCAATGGCTTTAAAGGACAGCATATGTGTGTGTGTGTGTGTGTGTGTGCGTGTGTGTGTGTGTGCGCGCGCAGTGGGGAAGACTCACTTGTTGTCGCTCAGATTGATGACCTTGAGTTTCTGCATGTCGCCCATCTCCTCCGGCAGAGACTCTAGCTTGTTGGAGTGCAGAAAAAGCACAGTGGCGTTCTTCAGGCAGCCCATCTGTCCAACACACACACACTCTTAGTTTAGCAGAGGGAGAAGCATGGCAACCCTGATAACCCCTTCAGTCAGGGAGCTTTGATCAGAATACAGGATCGATGTGAGTGATATCACTTCAAACACATATCAGCAGGAAAGAGGACAGAAGAGCCACAAACGACACTGCATCACTGTGGCATGTGCTAACAGCAGCAGATGAAGCACATATGGAAAACAAATGAGAGCAGCTCTATTGTATACACCCTATTTGCACGACAATAAGAGCTATTAACAACACTGCGCTTTATATGAGAAGTTATTGTTCACAGTCTTTATAGTATTACTTAATATATATGTATATACACACATACACACTGATGAGCCATAAACATGACTAATATGCTGTTGGTCCTGTGTGTCCCACCAAAACAGCACAGACCTGCCGAGGCATAGACTTTACAAGACCTCTGAAGGTGCTCTGCGGTATCTGGCACTAAGTTGTTAGCAGTAGATCCTTTAAGTCCTGCAAGTTGTGAGGTGGAGCTGCTGAAGATTGGAGTTTTTGTCCCATCACATCCCACAGATGCTCCAAGGGACTGAGATCAGGGGAATTGAGTCCAGGGCAACACCAAATTCTTCATCATGTTCCTCAAACCATTCCTGAACAATGTGGAGTGAGGCATGGCCATAATCCTGCTCTCAAAGAGGTCACTCCACTACAACCAGGGAATACTAGTGCCATGAAGACGTGTACCTGGTCCACAACCACGTTTAGGTAGACAGAACAGCTTTTGTTGCCCTAGAAAAGCGATGAGTCTTGGGTGCCCAACACTGTGTTGCTGGTTGGTGATTTGTCCCTCAGTACTCACCACTGATGTCCAGAAACAGCTCACAAGCCCTGCTGTTTCGGAGATGCTCTGACTCAGTTGTCTGGCCATAATGATTTGGCTCTTGTCAAAGGTGCTCAAGTCTTCACGACTGCCCAGTTCTCCCAAATCCAACACATCAACTATGAGAATCGACTGTTCACTTATTATCTAATATATCTCGATATGCACTGCTGTTACAAGATAATCAAGGTTATTCGCTTCAGCTGTAACTAGTCATTATGTTACGGCTCATCTGTGTATATGTATGGGCTGTCAAACAATTAAAATATATAACCATGATGAATCTCATCATATTTGCTGTAATTTGGTTCTAAAGCAAAATTTTTCCAAATTACAGCATTTTGTTAAAGTAATAGATAAGAGAACTAAATAAGCTTCCTCAGAATGTATTTATTACTTTCTATAATTTAACGGGAACTTAAATAGAAGATCACATGAACGCAGGGTGAACATGAAGATAAAGCAAACACAGTTTCCAATTTATCACTAACACCCAGTGAGAGGAACAGTGGCTGCATATTTCAACTTCTCCATGACTGTAGATCATTCTGCTAAGCCACGTCTTCTGTTCTTCATGCATTAACTTTCATTCCACATATATATATATATATACACACACACACACACACACACACACACATGTAGTGCTACAGTACTAACCTCTGGAGGCAGCTGGGTGAGGAAGTTGTGGTCAGCTGCAAAGGTCCGCAAGTTCACACACTGACCAACTGCAGCAGGCAGAGACTCAATCTCATTAAAGCTACAGTCCAGCTCGTCCAGAGCGGTCAGCCTGAGGGAGGGAGACAGAGAGTGAGAGAGAGGGAGGGAGAGAGAGAGAAAAAGAACAGAAATAGAAAAAAAAGAAAGAAAAAAGAAAGAAAGAAAGAACAAGAGTGGAAGAGCGAGACAGAGCAAAAGAGAGAAAGAACGAGTGAAAGAAAAGTGTAAGAGAAAGAGAGAATGATAAAAATAAAATGCAAGAGAGGGGGAAGACAAGTCAGAAAGAATAAAGAGAGCAAGTGCACGAGAAAGAAAAAGAGAGAGAGAGAGAGAGAACAAACAGTTAATTAAGGCCACATTTATAATATATGGATTAACTTTAATATCACTGTGTCCTTCTACAGAAAGCTTTAAAACCACTTGGAACTGACAAAGAAAGAAATAAAAAAAAAACAACAACCGTAAGACGGTCAGTATCACACACAATCCTTTTATCCACACTTACAGTACATTTCAGATCTTTCACAAACTACACTCACAGCAGCCTCAGTGCTCTTCTCAGAATTTTACTGCTGAGTGCTAGTCAGCATATCCCCCCTGTACGATACGCATTACTAACACTGGCCCACATACAGACGCACTACTTGGATAAGTATGCCGAAGGCCTCTGGACTCAGGCTGCTCTGAGTAACAGATTTCTCCTCAATCTGGTTCCCATTATCTGCCTCGAGTTTGGCTGCGAAACATGCAAGTGCATACTCTGAATATACGCAGGGTATTTTTCCAACCCTCATTTCTTAAGAAATATAGTCCATAAAGAAACACAAGACCGAGCGACAGACAGAGACAGAGGGTGAGACGAAAAGAGAAAAAGTGCCTGGAAGTCAGCCAGCAGTTTTTTCTGACTGGAATTCAACATCACAGCAAGACTATAAAAGAACTGCGAACATAATGTATGAATAATCGCTAATTAAATGTCGCAGCGCTCAGAGATACACCATAAAACATCTGGCAAGGCAGCTTCTGCCATCCATCTCGAAACAGAGGCCAAAATCTGTCATCGTTAGGATGAAACACACAAATTGTCAGTCATTTACTTAAACTGTGCTGTGCTAGAGGCCACACATCTTCAATAAAATACGTTCCTGCCCCATTTAATTGTACAATTTCATAAGATCAACAGCAAGGCTGTTATAGTTAGGAAATGTAAGTAGAGGGTCAAAGGATGTGGGTTTGGAAGGCATGGAATAGTAGTGTGCTCACTTAAAAGTGGCTTTACACAAGAAAATAAGCTGAAAATACAATATAAACCCACATCTCAAGATGAATGTATGCATTTTTCATGTTATGTACACACAAGACATTTCAGCTCTTTTGGAAGCAATTATTAGGAACATAAGCAGGACATTAAAGCCAGCAGTACACTTCAAAAAGAAAATGACATCTTTTTGGACAACACAGTGTGGTGGTCTGAGCTCGTACAGGGTGGTGTGCGCCGCTTGCTGGAAAGAACTCCCAATTACCATATCGTTTGTGGAGACCTTGGTCTATATGGTGTCACATGGTAGGTCTAGCAATGCTGAGACATGCACAAAGCATATTTACGACAGCGTGTTTGGCAGTAGTCCAACGTTGTTTTGTTCCTTTGGGCCCACTTATTACTAGAAAGCATGAAGGCAGACAGGAAAACAAAACATTTTTTGCTTAAAAATGTCATTTTTGGGAAATTTTCAACACAGCTACGCTTAAGGACCTATCAGTGTACCACTAAACAAAAATATCAACAGAATGGTGGCAAATTAGTGTGAAATATTTCAACTCTATTTTTGCAAGTGGACAGTTACAATTTTGGTGGGTAGACCATTTTGTTTTTGGAGAGATTTGGCAAATAATTGATGAAGCTGCCATCTGGGAGCCATTGTTGCTTGGCTTCTTTAGCTTTTCAAAACATTTCTCTTTTGTTGTTAAATCTATTATTTGTTTCTGATCTTTATGACAAAGTATCAACACTGGCCCACTACAGTCCACTGGCACCCCTCAGTATTGACCACCAATGGGTGCTTTGCTGGCCACTTGTAGTCCGCAGCCCAGTGGCTGAGAAACCCTGGTACCTAAAAGTATGCTGTAAGTCTAAGGAATGAGTCTGCCACTCAAGTAGGACACCATGCAAGTACATAATGGAAATACACATTTACACAAATACAGAGCTGTGATATATATTAGGGGTGTAATGACACATTTTTTTGGTTCAAAATGATTTTTCAATTGTGAGATCAAGATTCGATTCGCTTTCCGATATTGTGTGTGTTAAAAATGTCTTGATTCTACAGAGCTCTAATTATACAAGGCCCAGATGAATAAATGGTCTCAAATAGATCTTTTTCATTCCCTTTTGGCGCCTCCCTATAACAAAATAAACCCCAAAAGACAACCCTTAGAATTTCTGACCTATTTCAGATAAAAGCCCAGTCATTTGAGCATGGGTGCTTGTATAATATAAGCACTGCCCCCTCCTTGTCCACTTCACTCTGATAAGATGCACCAAGACACCCAGTACTGATGACTGATCACAGCTTTTCCCAAAAGATGGTAGTTGAGAGATGCTCACAAGAGAACGAGGGATGTATAGTTGATAGTTTTAAATTTCAATGCACTGCTCTTGAAACAGTATTGGAATTATTACAACTTTAGAATATATCGTTTGTAGCCTTATGATAATTATCATATAAGCACATGATCACAATTATTTGAGCAACACAAGCAATTTCCACAGTTGCTTTTACAATCATATGGTTATGTTGTAACAAACAAAGATTGTGAATTGGGTGCGTTTTCATCAGCCGGGCTGAAGTAAATGCAGAGACACATCATAGATCTTATAAAAACAACAAAAGTTCTGACTCCTGATTGGTGCTGTAACAACTTTAGAGTGAAGCAGTGAGTAATGTTTGTTTATTTGGCAGCTACAAAGGAAGACAGATAATCAGTCAATTATGCCTTAGCATTGTACTTTAATAGTTGCCTACAATGAACAAAAAAATTGTTAAATCACAATTATTCACAGGGAAATAAATTGTCAGCTAAAATATCATGGTAATAGCCTAATCATTAGCGTGATACTGGCCTTTGTAATACTGAAATCACACTTATTCTAATTCTAATAAACATGACAAATACTGGGAACCAACTTGTGCAACTGACGATAATATTTTCTTTTTTTTGGTATACAAACAATGAAGCCTTGTTATATGATTAAAAATATTTTTTTAATAAAATAATGATTAAAATTATTAGTTTTAATTTAATTAGTTACATTTAATAAAATGATTAGTTTAAATTTACATAAAAGTTTAAAACAGTAAGGTTTACATTAAATTTGTAATAAAGGCTTTTCTCTCAACTTTTCACATGTTTGCAGGACTACATATTTCAAAACTAATTATTATAACCTATATATTTTTCAACACATAGCATTTTGCAATTTTCTCTCATTTCCGCTACACACTGACAACCCTTGCAGTTTTACTTTTTACTTGTGCCAGATAACATTCTGGTTCATGTCCCTACAGTTTACAAGGAAAATTTTGAAAACTTTAAAGAGATTCAATCATTTGAGTAATACAAACTATTTAATTAATTTAAAACAGTGAAATTAATTTAAAACAGTGAAAAAATATCAATTTCATTAATAAAAGTCACATGTGGACATGCAAAGAACTTTCTCAAACGTCTGTCCCATATAGAGCTACTAATGATCTACTAAATTATACGAATACTGTTGATCTGTGTGATGCACATCACACTCAAATATTTATGGACATGTTTTAAGGTGGTTTTATGAGAATGTCCCATATGCAAAATAGCCTCTAACCAATCACACACTGTTTTTGGCATTCTGGCCATCCCTTGGAATCTCTGAGGAGTCAAGGCATTCACGTGATCCAGCTGTAACTTATTTTGGTCAAAAATAATGCAGGCCAGTCTTAAACATGTCACATCAATGATTCACAAATGTTTGTTTAATATATGGCAGGTTACCATAATCACAAAATAGAATATAATCGCAATATAGTCCTCCATCCACATCGTGCAGCCCTAAACACATATGCACACTACTGACACACATTTCACAGCTGAAAGAGGATTTGAGTTTTAGAAGTTCTTAGTGACTTGACACAGTCAGATGAGGCAGAGCCGTCAGATGTCAGTCCAGTTCAGAGGACGCAGTGAAACAATCAAATGAAATAGAAGATTAAACACGTATTAATCAGCATGCTTAACAATCCTGACTGGGATTAAAGCGGAATCCTTGCAGTCGTGTATTCATAATCCAGCCAAACAGATTTTCTTAATCCCACCCAAGGAAAAGCCAACCTAGCATAAGGGCTAATTGGTGTGTTTGGAAACAGTTAGAGCAAGAGTAGAGAGTTACAAAGGGGAAAAAAAGGGTACAACTGTTTTGGGATGAATTCTGGACCAGAATATGACAACATATCCTCTCCAACTCTCTCTCTCTTGCTCACTCACTCACAAACTCTCTCTGGTAATCCCTCTCTATGAGTCCATATGGACAAGCACTTTCACAGGCCGGTTGTATTGCCTGCTGTTTGTTCCGTCTGTCCGTCTGGCTGAGGCTTATGGCCAGCTTCACCTCTCTGACACAGTGCAACCCTGCTGGACGCACACTGCTGCTATACAAGAGCCTAATCTGCTCACGTCACACTGAAAGGCAGTGGATTAGAGCTGTCCACTAATAGAGCAGTGTTATAAAAGGCAGTAAAGCTTAATATTGTGATGAACAACACAGCATGGATGGAAACAGCTTTGTTTGACTGGAATTCAGACTGCTTCAGGACCTACACTTTGTAAACATACAACTAGTTTGGAATCAGTAGCTTCAATATTGCATATTATAAAAATAGTTTGGCTGTAGATACAGAGGATAAAATCATTCTAAAATGATGTGACAAGTCTACAACCACACAGGTCTCAAATAATTTGCAGAACAAGAAATGTTAGATGGTAAAGGGAGCTGTAGATGATTCTAACTTGACTAGCTGTAAAACAGAGAACGAAATTATAATAAAAAATAACATCCAGAATGAAATTATAATAAAACTGTCAGTGAGAATGCCTCATTTTTTAAAAGAGATCCAATTTCAAGACATAAATGACTGTAACACATATTTTATCATAAAATAATAGCTCCCAAAACACATTTTTATCTACACTGTAAATATTATTATTTTGCATAAGATATTTTTATTAAAAGAATAACCCAATGTTTTAACCTAACCTTCATCTACCATATCTTCTAGTACAGGGGTCGGCAACATGCAGCTCTTTTATTGCCATGTTGCGGCTCCACAACAGAATTCGATTTTTAGGTAAAAGTAAAATAATCCTCTTTAGCAGTAAAATAAAGCTCTACAGATCTTTCTAACACAATTTCAGCAATAAATTGTCTTAAACGCTGGAGTTAATGTAGCCCATAACTGCTATTTCACCCTTTAACCCTGAAGATTGGCATAAAGACAGCTGGTCACCGTAGAAACAAACAAAAATCTCCCCTAGCTAGCATCTAACGAAAAGGCAAAGAGAAAGATCTAAGACGAACATCAATGATTTAGAGACAGCCTCTTTTTCGAATTTTCTCCTTCCACCTTAAATGGTGCAGCACTTACATTCTGGCATGGAACGGGAAAATTTGAGCAGGAAGGTGGCGAATGAGAAGCTGACTTCAGCCTCGTAAAAAGTCGAACGTTGAGAGACATTTTACAAGAAACTATTCTGCTCTCGAGGAAAGGTTTCCTGCCAGAGATGCGAGAAAAGCAGCAATAGCTGAACTACAGCTTAGATCAGAGCAAAGTAAGTTTTTGTTTATATTATATTTTTAGCCTATGCTAGTACATTAGCACATACTGAGACATATTTACAGCCAAAATGGGTGTTTGAAGATGTTTGATTACCATAGGCAACAACTGACATGTTCACCTGTAAAAGAAGAGTAAAAAAAGTAAAAGAACAGAGAATGCATTGACTCAAAACATGCTTATAATACAAGCCAAAGGGCAGATTATAAGCAACAGCTCACTGGCTTCTATTATAACTGTGTTTCACTGTTTCACAGGTATTCTGTACAGAGAAATGTGTCAAAAATATTGCCCATGATAATCAAACATATGTTACAGATATAGTAGACAGGAGTGAGGTAAAAAATGCTGCATATTTTGAATATGATGAGTGACCACAAACTTTTGAACAGTGTAATTTGAGTGTAATAACAGGTTTGTACCATGCTGGTGAAAATTCATCTCCTGAGCCAGCCAACATTAAAGGAACTGAGAGAAAGGAGTATTTCACACAGTCCGCTTCCTCTAACCTGGAGGAAAAGATTCACTCACCCGCCTATAGAGTCCGGCAGACGCACAAGCTGATTCTCATCCACCTTTAGAGCGGTCAGCTTCTTCAGAGAGCCTGCAGGAGAGGGAGAGGGAGAGGGAGAGGGAGAGAGAGAGGGAGAGAGAGAGAGGGAGAGAGAGAGAGAGGGATAGAGGTAAAGAGAGATAAAGGAATAAGCAGTGAAAAAATGTGAAAAAATGTGAAAGATGGGAACATGAATGAGAAATAGAAAAAAAGGAAAAGGGACAGAATGGGGGAAATGAGGGCGAGAGAAAGAAAGAAAGAGAATGAGATAAGAGAGAAAGAAAATAAGTAACAAAAGAGGAGGAAAACAAAAGCAGAAAGAGAGAGAGAAGGAAGACAGAGAGACAGACAAAGAGAAAAAGACAAAGAATAAAGGCATGAGAGATGAGAGGTGGAAGTTAGAGAGAAAGAGAAAAGAGACAGAAAAAGAGGGTGAGAGAGGAAAAAAAATAGAAGAGGAGAAAAACAGACACAAAGAGTAGAAGGGGAAGTGAGTGAGGGAGAAACAGAGAAAAAAGAAAATAGAAAAAGAAAGAGAAATACAAGAGAGAAAGAGAAAAAGAAAAACAAGATAAAGAGAAAGAGAATGAGCAACAACAGAGGAGAAAAACAGGAGCAGAAAGAGAGAGAAGGAAGACAGAGAGACAGAAAAAGATGAGAGAAAAAAGGTGAGAAAAGGAAAAGCAACGGAAGAGGAGAAAAACAGACACAAAGCAGAGGGGAAAAGTGAGTAAGTGAGAGAGCAAGATAGAGCAAAATGAAAGAGAAAATAGAGGAAAAGAGAGAGAGAGAAACAGAGAGAGAAAGAGAGACAGAGAGAGAGAGAGAGAGAGAGAGAGAGAGAGAGAGAGAGAGAGAGAGAGAGAATTTCTCAGTGAGGAGCTGGCATCGATACAGATATTGATCATTCCCTCACAGGACTTTCCTCAGTAGGCATCCCATATCCAATTCATTTAATACAACAGAGAGCACAATATTGCCATCGATACATTAACGAGGTTATGAGGATCGATGTGCAGAAACTAATCTGTTTGAATCGCTGTATGAGGCTCCTGAATGGATTTGCAACTTCTGAAGCGCGTTCTGTTGTTGAGGCCAGCCGCCTCCGCTACATGAAAAGCGTTTCTCTCTCTGTGCGTGAAATGAGTTCAATTAATTCATACGAGTGTTGGGGCATTATTTCGTGCTAATACACACTTCTGCATGTCACATTAAAGGAGCGGATCCGGGGCCGTGGTTCGGTTTACGCTGGAGGAACTGAAAAAAGAGCCCACTTCAGCATGCTTCCTCATTAGCGAGAGCGCACGGCTGATTCATTTACTTGGTAATGATGTGTTCCTATTATTGCTTGCGCTGCTTTTCAATGCAGGACCACAACAGAACAGAGAACAGGCCATCATGACACAAAAACACAATCACTGGAGCCCTGGATGAGAGAAGGGCTTCCGTTTTGTTCGTCTGTATGTGTCTGTGTGGTATTCAGATCCACAGTGTGTGTACAGATCTGCAGATAAGGGAGAAGGGGCAGGCTGCTCATTCACCCAATAAGGAAGAACGAACTAGAAACCACAGCAGCAGTGGCAGGATTTGCATTCAGCTCTGACATTTACATTATAAAAAAATTTCCACAATTAAATCATGAAAAAAAACAAAAAACAAAAACGAAATACTGGAAAAAAAAGGAAAAAAACTATTGACTATCAGCACCAGAGCCCATTTAAAGGGAGCCTGTCCACTTCCTTCTCCCATTATACCAAAAACATGACTGCAGAACATTAGAAAGCGCCCAGGAGAGAGTTCACAATGAATGAAGGTAAATAGCGCTAAATGGCTAAAGATGAAAAAATAAACATTACTAGGCATTTATGTGGGACATTCCTTTAATTTTGGAAAGCAGAAGGATAAATTCTATGGTGGCCGACAAGATCCAATGGACAGTACAATGAAAAAAAACATTGCAAACTCAAAGACAAATTCAGAAAACAAACTTCCATCAGCATGGACTACACACAAGCTACATTTGACAAACATGCTGCAAATACAGAAAATACACAGCTCCAGAAACGCTGCAAAGCCAGTCACAACAGAAAGGAATTTTTTTATTATTCTGCAGAGCTGTTGTATAACGTGTATGTTGTCAATTTGATGAAAGAGTTTTCTGCATTGGCAGTGTGTTGGGTCTTGCTTGCCTCTGCAGTATTACATAATAAATAAATAAATAAATAAAAAACACTTACTAGTACACTTCCCCCTTTTTTATATAGCAAAAAGGTTTTAGGTGATAAGATGCTAGCGTAAGTGTTACTAAGTGCTGCATCACTTTACACTCATTGATGTCATGAACATCCATAAAGTACTGTTTAAAAGGGTGACACTGAGTGGTCCTTTTTAGATTAAACAAAACACTCAATAGACTTTCAGTAACATGTCAAAAACATATGAGGTTTAGGATTAGGTTTTGGGTTAAGGTTAGGGTTAAGATTAGGGCCAAGGTTAGGGTTTGGGTAAGGTTGGGTAAGGTTAGGTTTTGCGTAATGGAAGTAAAATATTAACAGTACATCTACATAATGTAAGTAATGAATCAACAGAACATCTATAAGATATTTACTTCAATGTATTCAGATGCTGCACTACTGCACCTTCACTGATAGTTTGTTGATATGTTACTAATAATCTGTTAAGGGTTTATTAATCATTTACAAAGGACCTCTTCGATCGTTACCGTTAAAAGTTCTAAATCTAGAGTTCAAGGGAGCTCAGAAACATAAAAGACATCTTTGTGAGTGTGAATGCGTGTTTGTTCCCTGTGGCTCTTTTTTTGTTGTAGCCGTTCTAAAAATCACCCACCCCTACGTCACGTTAAAACAGTGGTCTGCAGTGGGTAATTTTGCATGTCAGTAAAACGGCCCATTTCTGTCAAAGTAGGCAGTTCCTGGCCATGTTAAGGGACAAAATGATGATGAGCAAAGGTCTTGCTTGCGACTCGACCAGAGATACAATAGATTACTTCAGACATATAAGGTCTTCTCATAAAAGAAAATTGTTGATATGTGCAATGTGTGTGCTCCAGTGTGATTTCTCATATGACCATATACATATTTCGGCACGCCTGTCAAATTACGTTGCTGATTTCTTGAAAGCAAGTTTAAACATCCTCCACAGAAAACATTGAATGCACAATTACTGTTTTTTAAAAATAACAAATATACAGTCTGTGCAAAAGTTATGGCACACTTCCCACAAACAGAAACAGTACACAAAATTTGCAGAAAAATGGCAGATTTGTCCCTGTAGAGGATGTGTTAACTTTTATTCCCTTAGAAAATCAACAAAACTTGTAAATTGACCAGGGGCATTCAAACTTTTATAACTACGTGTGTGTTTGGGTTGTACCTATAGCGCTGGGTAGCTGAGTGAGGGCGTTGTTGGACAGCAGCAGGTCCTGCAGGTTCTCACAGCCGCTGATCTGGTCATCCACCAGCTCCATGTTGTTCTTGGACACATCTAAATAGGTCAGCTGCTTCAGCATCCCGATCATCTGTAAAACAAAAAAATGCATATAAATCTGATTCGTTCTGTGCAGTGAAAACAAAAATTTGATCTTTTCAATTCAGATCAGTCACTGTCATGAGAGGACGCATTTCCAATATGTGCCAATGTTTTTGGGAACAACACATTATTGAAAGATAGATAATAAATCATAACTATCTATTAATAGCAATTTCTTACTAACTTTGGAATATACTGTAAAACGTTATCACTACTTTTCTAATCTCATCACGGTACAGCACCCTCATACACTTCAGAATGCCTGAACTATGTCCCAAATTATGTCTCTAGATCATCCAGTGCTGCTTCTCCACATTCCATAGGACACTTAAAGTGGTGAAGCAGTCTTTTGTTTTTATGCACTAAGGATCTTTAACACGTTAGTAATGAACACTTGTCAGATTTCTTAACATGTAACTACTTTTTATTATTTTTCTAACTTTTACTGTTTTAATGTTCTTTTCATATTTTAATTGTACTTCTCATATTTTAATTGCACTTATATCAGTCAGGTCAGCAGTGGTTTTAACTTTATGATATGTGTGCATGTTGGTCCTTCAAGGCACATGTGGGTTCACACTAATCACAGATGAGTCGCTTACAAAGAGGAATGTGACCTGTCAAGACAAAGATCAGATCTGAGCACAAAATCAGAATTGAGCAGTAAGGTATGTAATGGAACACAGCCCAACACCCGCGATACAGAAGATTCCAACCAGAGTGGAGGAGATACTGAACTGTGTGAAGATAAACAGACAGAGACAGAGGAACGTCCTAATGAATGAAGGTCATGGGCAGGGAGCACACGCTTACTCTATGAATAACTTCTGCTTGAGGACAAAAGGAGGCCTTGTCCCAAACCCCTAACAAGAAACTTTCCTCATCTACCCCCTAATGTCCTTTACCTTGAGGCAGCACTAATATAAAAGCTCTCTGAGTAGAGTAGGGCAGCTAAGAAAAGTGAGTTTCCCCACCAGGAGCGCCTTTCAAAGTCGGCTACATTGAAATTTTCATTGCATACGAATATGAATACACATATGCATACGAATTGGTTGGGTTGTGACATCAATGCTGTTTTCATCATGGTGGAGAGACAGAAACAAAACGAGTCAAACAACAAAAAACAATCATAAACTGTACAAAAATAACAAATGGCAATAAAAAGTTAACTAAACATGAACAGTTAAGTCACACTTTATTTCTGCTTCGCACGAGTTAAAAAAATCAGTATAACAGGCCAAAAACGATGGATGCCAGCGAGTTAAAAACCTACAACACCAATTTCTCAACCTCAGTGTTCTCTTCATCTCTCACATAAACAATATGAACTTAAATGATGGGTGAAAAAGTTCCTCCTCTGAGAAAACCACCTCCCCACACTGTTAGAAATAAAAGTTCTATGCAGGAACATTTTTCGTTCATCAAGGTACAAACAATGTAAATGTTCCCTTAAAGGTACAACAGGGGGTTTAAGGTCTAATTGTGTACCTTAAATAAGTTTTTCCACGTGAAAAGTATGGATTTGTACCTTTTCATAACCTGATGTTTTAAAACACCTGCACTTTAATTTCTTTAACTATTTGAATGCTGCTATAAGACCTCAATCTTTTTGCACAGTTTACAATTGACAATGTTTGCACCAGTTCCTTCATCATTCATACTTATTGTCTGGTGTATTTACTGCTCTGTGGCTGGTTGCACCAGCTGTGGGTAAGCTCAAATGTAGACTAGTTGTAACGTAAGTGTTTACTAAGTTCAGGTTTATGCATTACTAAATAAACACAAGTTGTACCACACAAACTAGTTTTAACGTTGAGCTTAGTAGTTACTAAATATTTACACCTCCCCCTCAGCCGGTGTAAGTTTTAGGGAAACCATCAGAAACCACACAGACAGCACATAAAAGACCTAAAACATGACTTTTTTGGCTACCTAGGCTGAAAACACTACATACTATACACTATGATTTTACTCGCACTGATTAAAACTCAGATCAGCTCCAGATCAGTCATACTCAGCAGCTGCCCAAACATCAACAACCTGCTGTTGTGTCGGTTAGCCAGAAACCGGCATTTAAAAAGCTGCATATTTGGCTGTCTCAGGGAAATATTAACAGATAAACAGACAAAGGTGGTAGATCATTAGTTTTATTCAGTTTAACTTGTACACATCGTTCTCTTCTATGCTGGATATTTTTTCCATTGAGAAATCAGAGCGAACTAAAACTGATTGGTTCTGAACATGTAATTGTCATGTTAAAGCGACATACACTTAGTTAGTTGTTACTAGTTAAGGGGGATTAGGGATTTTTGGTGCAACCAAATTAGTAAAATGATAGTTTTAAACTAACTAGTGTAACTAAGGACATGGTAAAGACTTTATGCACAAACTTAAGTATAAACTCACAAAAAACCTGGTGCAACCCAGTCCTGTATATTTAGTCTGGTGCATTTATTGTATATTCTGGACTCGTTTCACACTGTTGTTATTTGCTGCTGTTGTGTGTTGTACTATGGACCTAAAGAACATTTTGTTCCAAAGTATGGAATGAAGACCACTTGACTTAAATATCCACACCTTCAAAAATCAACCAAGTACGTGTGCACTCCCCTTTTTAACACCAATGTCTGGAATATTAACCGCTAGTCTGTCTAACTGAATTATTACCAGACATTGACCAGCAGTATCATTTCCGAAAGGAAACTCTGCATGCAGCCACCTTCTTTTACTGTCTACTATGTAAAAGGCCTTGAGTGCAGCATATTTCAAGTACAGCACAATTCAAATCCTCCTACAGCAGACCCAGGGTCCTGACCAATTACATCCCCCCATCTAACAGAGCTGCAATCAGCGCTTGACTAAGTGTGTGTGGGTGACACACTATCCTTGCCGCTGATTAATCTCAGTCAGCGTGAGCTGCTCTCCTGGGCACTCCGTTAAGAAGCTTAATCAAAAGCGCTAATAACGAGAGGGAAATTGAATTCCACAAAAGCAGGAACACACAGGCAGCAGCACTGCGGCGCAGAGGGCGCTGACACTTTGTGCCCAGGCTATGCTTGTCTCTCCCAGACAGGGTGCACAGTGAAATATGGGGACTGATTGTGATTTAGTGTGCCTTTGATTGACCACAGGTCACTTTGAACGACCTATTTGCAAGTATTTTTTTCCTCTCGAGGACATTCCTCAACGTGCTAATCCTAATCCAACAGGCCAGACTGCAATTACTGTCAGTTTGGCTAAGCGCTGGCTGCAGCGAGCTAATGCCTTAATTACGACCCATTTAAAACAAGCTGGCAATTTGGAGAGAAAGCATGCTCAAACAGGATCGAAGCAGACTTTCACTTACGTTCACCACCAGCATTTTTATCTCCGATTTGATCACTAAGTGCCTTTGAATTAATTGATCTTATTTGAGGGTTTGGCGCATTTCATCTGTAATGACCCGATTTACAGTCTAATTCAGGTGGGAGAGGGACAAAGAGGCTGCAGACGGCCCTACAGGAGCAATGACAAACATATTTGGGGACGGTGGGTCCACAGCCATGATTACACTGCAGTGACAGAGAGGGGGAAAAAGAGGTAGCAGCTAGGCAGAGATGAGTGGAAAAGATGAAATGAAAGGCTCCCTTACCCCCGGTAAAACTGTGAGCTTGTTTCCATCCATCCACAGCTCCTTTATTCCTGTAAGCTGCTCCAAAACCTCAGGCTAGAGAGAGAGAGGAGAGAGAGAGACAGAGAGAGAGAGAGAGTGAGAGAGAGAGTGAGAGAGAGACAGACAGAGAGAGAGAGACAGAGAGAGAGAGAGAGAGAGAGAGAGAGAGAGAGAGAGAGAGAGAGAGAGAGAGAGAGAGAGAGAGAGAGAGACAGAGAGAGAGAGAGAGAAAAACAAACACGAAAGATAGAAGGAGGAAGTCAAGAGAGAAGAAAGATAGAAAGAAAAAGGAAAGAATAAAAGAACGAAAGAAAGAGAAAAAGAACGAGGAGGAGAAAAGAAACAGTAGCAGTGAGAGAATGAGAGAGAAGTGGGAGGAGGAAAGAATTGTAGTGAGAGAAAAGAAAGAAGGATAGAGAGATATGGGAGAAGGAAAAAAGACAAAAGAAAGAGAGACAAAAAAAGAGAGAATGTAAGAGCGAAAGAGGGAGGAAAGAAACAAAGAAAGAAAAAAAGGAACAAGGAAAAAGAAAAAGAAAAGGGAGAGAAAGAGAAAAGAAAGAGGAAAAAGAGAGACAGATAGACGGGAGGAGTTAAGATAGGGTGATAGTGAAAGAAATGAAAGAAGCATAAAAGAGAGAGATGGGAGAAGGAATGCGACAGAAAAGGAAGAAACAGAAAAAGGAGAACGTGAGAGCGAGAGAGAGGAAAGAAACAAGAAAAGAAAGAACGAAAGAAAGTAAGAAAACGAAAGAAAGCGAAAAGAAAGAAAGAAAAAGAAAGAAAGAGACAAAAGAGGAGAAAAGAACGACAGAAAAAGAATAAGAGAAAAAGAGAGGAAAGAGGGAGAAACAGAAAACAGAATGACAGATAGAGAGAAGAGAGAAAAGAAAGTGTGATCACAATGTGATGACATACAAGACAAAATAAAAACAAAAAGTTTTAATAAGAGCTTTAAACGAAGCTCAAAATGTGAAATGTAGTAATAAACGTCATTTAATCATTCTATTCAAAGAACGTTCCTAATAAGACTGTATGAAGTTACAGTGTTGATAAGCACTCAGATCTGTCTGTCTGTCTGCAAAAGCTAAGAAGAGTGCAGGGACACTGACCACTTCAGTGAACTCGTTACTCCCCAGGTCCAGACGTTCCAGCTGCGTCAGCTTATGCATGCTTCTGAAAACACACAAATACACACACATTAACCAACAATTTAGCCATTAATCACCCATTCACTTTCCAGTTATAAGGAGTGTTTCAGCCTGGACTGCTTTTGGAACGAGCCACAATAAAGGGCATCCAATCAGAACAGAGGTCTTCTACATGTGTGGTCACACAAATATTATAAATGACAAGATAATCGGAAGATATGGGCCCTTTAAACGTACACATCTACAGACAGGAAAACGTATGCACAGATGTACAGATCAAAGGATGTGCAAATATACGGATGTACTCAAATGGCCTGTGCAAATTTCCTGGTGTACAGACAGTCTGCTGAACATAAGTGCTGTGCAAATATGCAGGATAGACAACTGAATAAAGGCGCTAGAGGAAAAACATACATGTACCATAACACTGTTTGAGTAGTTGTTGCTAAACTACTCAGTGACTGTTCTGACTCTGACATACAGAGAGAAAGAGGAGCCCAGGAAAAATAAAGGATGTAAAAACACTTAGACATTTCTAACATCAGTAGTTTTCTATCTATCTGCTTTTCATTTGTCCTTCCACAGAACAGCTGGAAAGGCCAAGCTTCAGCCATACAACCCTGAGTCAGGCTGCTGCAGTAACACAGTGTTGTGAGAACACAATATACTGCAATGCAGTCCAAAAGCATTTAGGCCCAATCCCATTTCTTATTTTCACCCCTACCCCTTGGAACTCCGTTACAACAGGTAGTGGTTGAAATCTTCCCCTACAAAACGGGACAACCCTCAAATAAAGAACATTACTTCATTACAGGCTATGAGTGGTGCTCTGTAGGTGACCCTGCTAGTCTGCAGTGATAGCAGAGGAGGGCAAAGTTCAGCAACCACAATGCTGGCCTTTAGTTAAATTTAGGGAATCATATGCTTTCAAAGGGGGGTGTGTGTGTGTGTGATAACTGTTTATCACTATTCACCAGCTTCTTGTTTGAATTTCCCCATTCCACCTTAAATGGAGCAGCAGGTCTTACGCTTGAGGCACCAGAATGTATCTGCTGCACTATTTAAGGTGGAATGGGAAATTTATCTAGCTAGCAACCGAGATGTCAGCAGACTACTAGCAATTTTTAATGCTTTTTCTTAAAACACTCCGTTTGAAGTGTGCCTCTGCAAAACCTCCATTTGCAGGGCCATGTAGCCCAAACACTTTGCCCTACTCCTCTATCTCAACAAAAATCGGGACACCCTACCCCTAGATGTGAACGTGCAAAACGGAGGGGTAAGGGCTAAGTGATGGGGTAAGGGGTGAAATGGGACTGGGCCTTAATCCAAAGTGAGATTCACACAAAAAGTGACCAAAATAAAAAGAGCTCATCCCACAATACAACTATTTTTCTTCATACCCATACTTCACACTCCCAGCACTCTGTGGAAACTTGCCTGTAAATATTCCTCATTGTTCCCATTTAAACATTAATGTCTCAGCTAGACAATGATTTTCAGTCTAATCAACACCAATCAAGGCAGATTCATAGGACTATAATTCATACATCAACGAACTTGCCAAAAAGCCAGGCATTAACCGAAGAAGCACAGCCCAGAAACTCAGTACGGGGGGAGAAAAACAGCAGAAAGTGAATTAAGTGTAAAGTAAAATCCGCACAAAATAAATAAAACTTCACTGCAGTTTGTCTGAACAGCACCTGTGCTAGTCTTTACTCAAGACTGGTCTTTTAAAGGATTTCTAATCAGTTCCACTGAAACCTCCTACACACTCACCCTCCCAAAGCAACATTCACATTACATTCTTGACACTGTTGTTCACATTGCATTATTAATGTTATTCATTTAGCTCAAAACTGGTCTCTTGCCTAAATGAGAAACTAATTAGATTTTTTTACAGTGTGAACACAAAAGTCTGAATCTTTTCCAATCAGACTGAATCTGCTTTCATATGTGGTTTGAAATCATAAACATACGGTGGCCATGAGACCATAATGAGAATGATCAGATCTGCTATTATATATAGCCGCTGTCTGAACAAAACCTTGCATCTCCAAAATAATAACTTTACAGGAGAAGGAAAAAACATTTTTCCAAGCTATTTTGGGCCATTTCTTTTGCTCCATTCATCATGAAATAAATGCACTATGTAAAGAGAAACAAGCATTTTCAATTCATGTCAAAAAGTGAAAAACAACAAAAATGGAGATAGAGATTGTTCCGGCAGCAGCGATATATATGTTTGGATAATTTTTTTTTCCCTACCACACTTTACTGCACATGTAGATGTCAGAGGTGATCATCCGCAGACCGGCTGGGGCTTTAACTTCATAAAACATGCGAGGTGTGCTCACACCATTGACAGATAGATATGCGGAACCGTCAAGGCAGATAGATCAGAGTAAAGAAAAAAAAATCAGAACTGAGCAATAAAACTTGCAATGTGAATGTAGCCTCAAGGCAAAAGCTCAAAAATCATCACATAGAACATAAAACAAAGCAGAGCTACAACATACAGAAAACACTGCAGAGACCATCACAATGAACAGAACAGATATACTTGATACATCATCTGAATGGGTGATTTCTCTTCAATTAAAAATATTATTTAACGTAAAATAAAACATAATGATCACCTTTCAGAATGTACATTTTAGAATGATCCACCTTTTACAGTGTAAATTTTTCCACATTTTATCCGCAACTAATTTTCAAGGCCTTGTTCTAGGCTAACATCCACAGTAATAGCAAGATGATGAGTGACGCTCAGTGGCTCTCAAAGAGGCTCTCGTATCATATCTGCTGGATGTTCTGGATATTTTAATTAATGTAACAATTAATTCTTACCAGATTAATTAGGACACTGTTAGCTCTCAGTATGAGAAATGTTGTTGACTGTGTTGAGCTGCTAGTGAGCAATGAACGAGGAGGGTGAAAACAAATCACACTTCCCCACAAAGTCAGCTGTGCTAAAATAAAACTGACAACAACTGCAGCTGTCTTGGCATTAAAAAAATCTTGTACAACTGCCTTAACAAAACATATAAGCTTCTAAACATAATAGAAACACTTTATCTACAAAGACAAAATTTCAGTTAGCTTCCGGTTTTTTCCGGTTTTCGATCAAATTACATTCCATTAGAGGTTTTGATGAAAAAAATCGCATAGTTTAAGTTATGGACCTCAATCAAAACAAGCAGAAACTGCATTGATGGCTATAGTAAAAAAAGAGTTAACACAACAGTTTTGATTTTTGGATATTGTGCGCCTTTCAACTCAATTTGAGATTTATTTATATAGTGCTTTTTACAACATTGTCACGAAGCACAATTATAAAACAACAGGAGCAATACGAACAAATAATAAGATTTTACAATTAATATACAATAGTGAATATATATTTAAAAAAAATAGAAATGAGCCCATGAAATCAAAATCATCTGTCATTAGAAGTATTTAGATGAACCAATGATAACCGACGACTGCTGTTAGAAACCTATCAGAAAATTAGTCACTTTTACCATCACTGACTACTGTTAGAGGCCTATCATCCACAACATGTCCAGTGTGCAGAAGGCTTAAGCCTCTTCCGGATGTTTATGATGTTGCTACATCCCTCTGTAGCATCTACAAAAGACAGCATAGCCGGATTCACACGTGTAGTCATGCATGCCTGTTCACATACACACCTTAGTTTCTCTGTGTTTACGTGAGTGAGGGCTGTTTGGTTGCGCAGTGTTTTGCATTTAATGCTTGTTTGGTGGGAACAAGCTCAGCCACATTCTTGACCTGTCGTTTGAAGCCACGTGAGATTCATTCATAGGGCAGCAGCACACACAAGATAAAGGGAGGTGGCTGTGTCACAGTGTGTTGCAGAGTGTCAGCCATCCGGCTCCGCTGTCCAGTGACTCATGCACTGCTGAGGAACCGACAAACCACGCAGTATGATCTGAAGGCCTCACACGGGGCCTCATCAGAAGGAGCCACATCGAAGAATCCAGGAAGCTGAGTAAGTGGGACTTCAAAAAACTGCCGTGGTTAAAGGCAGAGTGGCAAAGTAATAAAATGTACTTAGGCTGTACGAACGCCTGATGTTTTGTTTGAACAATGACAGCTTAGAGGGAACATATGATAATGGTCAATGAGTGCTAAATTGCTGAGGCACTACAGATGCCAGTCTGTGATAATGGCGTATGAACTATGTACTATGACTTGTTCTTTGTTAAATGTTAAATGATCTTTGTTAACTTTGTTGCGAGTTCAATCCATTATTATTATGAGGTAATGCCAAAAAGCCACCATGTAAGCATAACTGGCCTCGCTCTCTCTAGGTAGGTGGAATGTTTATTTTTCTTGACACTGAAACTCAAATTTCTCACTACTATATACTCCCTTCAACCCACCACAAGCTAAAGAAAATTCAACAATATACAACATAAAGTTACTATAATCCCATCTGAGCACATGAACACGAAATGAACCACTGATATTTCTAAATAAATGACACATGAACGTGTTTCTATCCTCTAATAAATCTATTAATAATGGAGCACAAAAATCAGCAGGCCCTAGATTAGTAGAGGATGTGAACTGTGTAAAAAAAAAATAAAAAAAATTGCTTTTGCAGCCATGGCTATCTTTCTGTAAACCAACCCCGGAGTGGTGCCATGAAGCTTTGATGTGCTGCCTGGGCTCAGAACGAGAAGCAGAAGCCACCTGGAACCCTCAACACCTCTTAAACATGCAGCTTTTACATGACAAAACAGTAACAGGACTATAAAACCCGTCACAGTAAGTAAATGCGTGTCATGTAAGGCTTGGAAATACAATGTCACAGTTCATAGAGAAAGAGATACATGTAGGAGAAGAGAGAGTGAAAAGGTTAAAGAAATGAACCAATGTTTTTCAGGGTCTTTTTTTTTGTTTTTTGGAGGGGGATCCATTTTTCTGAGTGTTGATCTGTTTTTATGCTTGTGGTTGCATAAGACCATTTTGTACCTAAAACTGGATGCTGGTCTAAGCCCCCTGGAACCATTTTTGTGGAGCATCTTACTTCAAAAGATAAAGTATTAAAATTGATATTTAAAAAAAAAGAAAATGCTGTACTATTAATGCTGTTACTTTAAGAGTTACAGAGTTATAAAGAGAGGAAGAAAAAGAGAGCAGTCCTCTCCAAGTTTCTGTCACTGCAATTTCTCTTTGATGCTCTCTCACCACATCTCAATTAGAGGCAATGAGAGCCGTTCTTCATTCTAATTATTTTCATTATATCACATTAGCTCCAGTGCTGGACTTACTTTGGCAGCATCTTTAACTGGTTCTCCCGAAGCTCCAGGATCTGCAGTTTGGTTAGCCTAAGAACAGAAAAAGAGAAATTAAATTAATTAAATGAATTAAAAAGGAGAAATAAAAATTATTCAATACTCAGGTCAATAGAATTGCCAACTAAAGCAGAGCTTTTTAAATTTCTGTGTAATTAAATGGTTAAAATATAAACAAATTCAGAGTGGTTTGATGTGAAATGCTTTGTTCTAAAGAAACCTATAGACAGAACTGTTCACAGCGGTTGCGATAGGAATCAGACCCACAGTGTTGAATGCCTCATCACAAAGCTGGTATGCAAAATGGTTATGACTATGTTGCTTGATTTCTATGACATCATTTTACAGAAGTTTTGAAATAAGGTTTTGGCCTAAAACGTTTTTTTTTTTAACCCATTCTGGGTGGAGAAGTACATGGAGGGTGCTGTAAAGCAAAAAAGGCACTACTTTAAATCACGATTTTAAAGGTAGGTTCACTGGTCATTTTGTATAGTAAATAAAATATATCTCTGGTGAAGACATTGCAACCCCTGGTTCCTATCACCAACGTTGTAAAGAAAATCTGAATCTATTAGTTTCTCTACAAATGCACATTTCACATCAAGCCACTCTGAATGGCTGTTTACATCACAATGAATTTTTAAAAATTTGGTGGAATTCTCCTTTAAGCTTTTTATCTATTAATATACATCACCATATAATATACTCAGGACATACATAAACCCCTAGTACACACCTCAATTCATCATTTTAACATAATCTGGTATACCCTTACACTCATGTAGGAACAAAACATCTAATCATGTCCGAGACCTTTCCAGAATTTGTATTTACATAATTTATATTAAAACCATTCATGATCTAAATTCACTACATTGAGCAAAAACTGCCTTAAAAACACCCACAGCCACTTGATAAAGGTTACACTGCACATGTACTTTCATCCACTGTATCTGAGCATTTGTGTTGTCAGTGTGTGAACTCTGACATGAGGAGGGAACAGAGACTGACACTGTGGGAGTACAGTAAAAGGAATGATCTAATCTTACATATATGTGCATGTTCATCTGAGTATGTATGTATTTATGTACACCGAGTCTTCTGATTAATGACCTTTCATCAGAGCGCCTGAGCTTCTGCAGGATGGAGAACTTCCTGCTGCTACAGACACGATAAGAGTTCATGGAATGCTCGCTTACGTCTGAAGATGAACTTTCTGGATCTCAGTGTAACAGCTTGTGCAATTCAACTTCTCAACAGGCTGATACCAACACCCAAGAAAACCAAGATCCACCTCCTGTGAGAGACGGCAACTGTTGACTCAATGCTTCTTAAATGCTAGCCTCCAGGATTATCTCATTGCTCTCTAGAGATGGGGTCTGAATACTGCAGGGTTTTATCACTCGACTGATTAACTTACTGATCGATTGTGAGAGTAAGTGTGTGGCTGTGTTTGTTTTTGTACGCTTTCAGGACAGAAACAGCCTAACACTGTAATAAAACAAGAGAAAACCTTCAGAGTTTATAAAGTGCTTCTTACAAAGATGTTTAATTTTTTTGTAAAGTGAAAGATCAGAACCATTTCTTTTTGGTTGCAAAAGTTAATGTCGTAATTTTTTTTATTTCATATATCATGGCTGTCAGAAATGAACCATCTTTCTCTTTGTTGATTTTTATCATTATTAATATTATTTATTTATTTTTACAGAATTTTAAAATGCAAGTTAGCCTTTAGAATGTGTTTCATGGTGAATGGAGCAATAGAAATACTACAAAATAACTTGGAACCAAATCTTTCTGGAGATGTGTTCTGTTATACCAATGTTATAAACAGTCATGTGCAAAGGTTTGAAACTAACATGTCTTCTACAGTGAACACACAAATGATTTTTTTTAGTGCACGGCTTCTATTTACTTGCTGAGATTAACACAAAATAATAAACAAAAAAATAAAATTAAAAATGTGCCATAGCTTTTGCACAGGCCAGATTTTTTGCCCAATATGTAAAATGTCATTTGAGCAGGGGTGCTCAAACTTTTGCATTCAACTGTAAATTATTATTACATAGGCATTTACAAGCAGTACTACACAAAAGTCTTAGGCAGAAATGAAAATTGTTTATAACTCGTAACATTGGAATAAATATAAATTAATAATAAGTACCATAAATATACAAGAATGACTTACATTTTTAAAAAGTTATGCATATATTTTTAGGCATATACAGTTAGAGAAACACGTCTGTTTCTTGACTTCTCGCTGTTCTCCAGCCACCGTATAGATTTGTTAACATATATATAAAATATAATATAAAAGGTGCTGTGGACTGGATTAAAGAGTATGTGTGTGCAGAGGTGTAAAATTCAGGTCCAGAAAGTAAAAATCCTTCCCCATGATTTTTGTTCCAACAGCCTGGCTTCTCTAGTTAGATCAAACCACCAGCCGAGCTGTCCAGGCAGTTGGAACAAAATCCTGGGAAGGATTTTTACTTTCTGGACATGAATTTTACACCTCTGTGTGTGTGTGTGTGTGTGTGTGCGTGCGTTTGTGTTTAAAAAACTAAAGTATGATCCCATGTGTAGAAACGAGCAGGTGTGCGTCTGACCTGCCGAAGCTGGCTGGAAGGAACTCGAGGAAGGCGTCATTCAGGTAGAGCTGTGTCAGACTGAGGAGCTGCGTGAATCCTTCAGGGAGTCTGCATAATCAACAATAATCAATGTTGTGATTCAGACCAACGAAAGCAAACTAATACATTATACATCCAAAGCAGCTTGATTTAAGTACTGCTTGCTCTAGGCCATTTAACTTGCTTTAGTATTTAATATCAATGCTTATAACAAAGGTAACCATTTCTCACTTGATTATTTCAAAAACGCTTCTGTTTATTCAGATATCCAAACATCTCATGATTGCAAAAATTGCAATATTTAAGTATGTTATCTGTAAAACTTATTTTCACTTAGAAAATCAACAAAACAATTTTACCAGGAGTGTTCAAACTTTTATGTATGACTCTATATTCCAATTAAAGGTGCTATGGACTGGATTTCTAGGTATGGATTAAGCTTGGACTAAATTGTACAAAATACAAAACATTTTAATCTAGACCTAGGCTTTATTTTGGAACCCTACGGGGGTGGTTCTCCTGGACAGGGATTAAACCTAGTCCTTCATTAATCTTTCAGTGAACAACTTCTATTTAGAATGCTGTGTAGTCTAGTACTAACCTTGATTCTTGTCCAGGAAACTATTCTAAGCATGTTATATCTCCAATAACAAACAGTGCTCTCATTTAATACATTATTTACACATGCTGACTGACCCTAAAAGCTTTATAAATCTATCTTATGTTAAGCAGAGGGTGGAAGACACTCACTTTGAAATGGGATTCACACTCGCTTCAACAATTGCAAGGACTTTGCAGTTCTTAATGTTTTCTGGAAACTCCTGTATGCCTGAAATGAATCAAACACACAGTGTACTTTAGTCATTTGTGTCACATTATTAACATTTTGTTTGTGTGCTGATGTCTTTACACTGTATAAATATATAAATAAAGGTGTAGTATGTGGAATTTCTGACATTATCATGCTTTATTTTGTTCTGCTACTCCTGCACCAGAACCTACCCTTCAAGACAACCCTAATTAGTGAATTAAGTCAATTTAAGGTGCACCCACTGCTGACATAGGTATCACACAGCTTGTGTAATCTCCACTCCAACAACAGAATGGGATGCTCTGGAGCCTTAAAAGGTTAGTATTGTGTAGCAGGAAACACCTTTGCCCTTCACGCTGTAGATGGAGGTGCAATTCTCTGGAGCAACGTCACTCCATCCAAAACCTTTGGGATCAGCTGAAACATCCAGAACCGATCTTCCAACATCAGTACCTGACACCACTAATGCTCTTGTGGCTGAATGCAATCAAATCCTCACAGCAGTCTAGTGTGAACACTTCACAGAAGAGTAGAGGCTGTTACTGCAGCAAGTGGACAAACTCCCTATTAAAACCCTTCATTTCAGAAATAACACTGGATGTACAGGTGTTTTACCATTTTTGCACCCACATTTATCTTTAGGGGTCAATACAAATATCGATTTATCCCTCTATCCTCAGTAGGGGTTCCTGAAAAACTCGATTCTTAGATGCATCGCGATGCAGACGTGAACAATTCTGAATCGATTCACCAATGTCAAAAATCGATTTTCCTAAATATTTAATTTATAACGTAATGTGGACGGAACGCAAAGGGCGGAACTTGGTGGAAAAGTGGGTAAGTGTAGCGCCCGGACAGTCTGTGGCGGCACATAAACACAACTGGATGAGCGAGAAATCCGACCGGCTCCCTTTGCATTAAAGCCAGGTTAGTTCAGGAGTCACAACACAAATGAGCCATTTTGTCCTTTCAACAAAAATCAAACCACCTAGGGAGCCACAACATTTAATGTCCAGTATGTGATAATGTCCTAGTTTAGGCTAAAAAAATATAAACGAAAACGCGGACTTACTCTGCTCTGCTTTAAGCTTTAGCTATAGCCGCTTCTCTTCCAACTCCGCCAGAAAACTTTTCCTCAAAAGTTGAATAGTTTCTTGTAAAATGTCTCTCAGCGTTCCGCTGTTTTACGAGGCTGAAGTCGCTTCTCATTCTCCAGCTTCTTGCTGAACTTTCCCGTTCCACCTTAAATTCTGACCGAGGCGCCGAATGTAAATGCAGCACCATTTAAGGTGGAACGGGAAAATTAGAAAGAGAAGCGACTTCATCTTCGCAACATTTTAGTGTTTGACAGTCTCTCGTTGCAGATTTAACGCACCAGGAAACCAACTGCGCTGCTTATAAATGCGTCCATTCATCTCCAAATGTTCGTCTGTCTTTCTCTTTTCCTTTTTCGTTCGCTACTAGCCAGGCGAAACCTCGTTGCTAGGTGACCTGGAGTCTGCACGACAGTTCTCAGTCGGTGCGAAACAGGGCTTTCGCGCACCCAACAACCCCCCGCCCCGCCCCCCCCACCAACACGAGACCAAAACCGAAGTTATAAAATCACTAAAAAAATTGGGTAGGACGGCTATAATGTGCTGCGTGGTCATCCATTACCACTGGATCTTATTTCACCGTAACAGCGCATTTTATCACAGATAAGTGGCAGTAGCTTCTCCAAACAAGAGCAGTGAATGAGAGCCTTCTAGTTCACTTGCCACATCACTTCCATTTGTTTTATTAATAAAAGATACTGGACGTAAATTCATTATGGATCATTGCAAATACTTTGCTTTAAAACTACCAAGTCCTCAGATGCATCGATAATCGTTTTATAATCACATTGCAGCCCTCTGAATCGTAATCGAATCGAAAGGTGCCTAGAGATTCCCACACCTAATCCTCAGTGTAAAATGTCTGAAGGCTGCACTGAGTCAATAGATTTAGCAAAACTGTTTTTTAGATGTAAAGAGAAACCAAATGACTTCTGCAGTTTATTTGCGTTTAAGGTGCGTTAGTGCTACACTGCACATTTCCTCTTTCTCCGACCGCAGGCCTTTCGCTCTAAAATTAAAGTTATGGTAACATCCTCACACAGACGCAGACGCATGCAGCGAGTAACCACAGGTGAGAATATGCTACCCAAATGCGAGCAGACACTCGCACATCAGCGCTGACCGAGCATCTGAGCTGTCGTCAGAGAGAACATCCTGACCCTGAGGAGCATTAGACTCAGGAGTTTATTTTACTGCTCCTTATGTTTTGACTTCCTCCCACTTAAGAGGGCACTCAATGACTAAACAGAGAGAGAGAGAGAGAGAGACAGACACACACACACACACACACACACACACACACACACACACACACACACACACAGAGAGAGAGAGAGAGAGAGAGAGAGAGAGAGAGAGAGAGAGAGAGAGAGAGAGAGAGAGGACAGAAGATAAAAGAAAAAAGAAGAAGAGAGAGAAAGAAAGAAAGAAAGATTTACAGTGAAACTAAATATATTGAAGACCCTATAGGTCATATTAGGCAACAGGAGGCCTAATCTAATGCTTTAAACTCTGCTGGAGAAAACAAACATCAAGCATATCAGTCACATCATCGCATATACAGTACCAGTCAATAATGATCCACTGATTCATGCTTAAATGCTCAAAATGTCTAACAAATATTTTTATAATGCAAGTCATTTTCAATAAGCAATGTGTATGTAAAGCTGCACCAAGGCAAAATGGGGTACTTTGATAAAAATAAAAACAGAAGTCTTGATATATTCACTATTATTTAAAATGTAGAACATTGTAAAAATACTAAAACTCTTAACTATTGCAAGTAAGTGTCTCCAAACTTTTGAGTGGCACACTGACAGCACTTTTACACCAGACAACAGTTACACTTATGTTACGCTTACTAATCTGAAACAGGAACTCTCTGTACCCTGGTGGAGCGCCTGTGTCCATTTCCCATCGTACAACAGTACTCACAAGAGCAGGCGCGGCTCTCTAGAGATTGTGTAGTGGTGACACGATTTCCTACTCAACAAAGGAGAAGTTCTCATTAAGCTTTTACTCAGCATTTAATCATTGATGCCCAACACCACTGTTATCCGAATCATCTCCTGCTTCTGTCCTCTTAACTCGTCCCACTATTTATGAAATATCGGCAACAAACCAACTAAGGAATGTTCGGTCTGATCAGGAGTGGTGTGCTATTACATGTTTTGATTGGATATACAGTTACCTCATAGGAATGAGCAGCATAACTATGTGGCCAAAAGTTTGTGCACCCCTTTCATATCACCATGATAGAAGTACCCCAAAAATACCCTACAAACCACATGGCATTGCAACCTCTTAGCAACATCTCAGCAAGAACCTGAGATGAAACAGGAGCTGCTTACCAACATCCTCACAACCACCTGGGATAACACGGGGATATCCTGGGATATTTAGCAACACTCTTACAACCACCTAAAATACCACAGTAACCAACTGGCATCACCTTAGCAACCACCTGGGAATTGAATAAGCTGTGCAATCACTTTTTTAGTCTACCATTTTTTTTTGTTTTTGCTGATTCAGTGACATGTAAATACACAGATACAATTATTATTAACTCATTTACTTCCAAATCTGGAATCTTTTTATTTCTTTTGGTCTTCACATTCTCTGAGCTTGCTTGAGGACAAATCTGAATCCGTTTCAAATCGATCAAACCATTTGGCTAAAACTAAGGTTAGCATGACTTTATCATAATAAATTCAATCTTTTTGCCACATGGGACTAATTCATTTAAATAAAACAACACAAAAGCCAAACTGATTGTAAATTTAAAGTATGAAAAAGACACAAAAGATTCTAATGATTCTAGTCCAAGGCACAGCAACAAAATCATTACTTTAGAACAATCAGAACAAGGCCTGTGTAATTTTTCCTTCATCATACAAAGTTTAGCTACTGGACATGAAAGAATTAAACTTAAGTTCTTCTATGGCATCGACACTGACCCTGTATATTCAAGAGTGTAATGCTGGAGCTGAGTGACACCTGGCAGCTCTTGAATCTCCTCCCCTGAATCCCAATCCACTCACTCAGCGCCACATACGACAGCACTCCATTCATTAGTGGGAGGTGAGAAACTCTGCATTGAGAATTTCTCTGAGGTGACTGGCAGGAAGTGACAGTGTAGAAAAGTGAGAGGACTGAGAGGAGAGTTCGGTGCAGGCTCAGGCCTGTTCAACACAAGCAGCTCCACATCAGAATCACAAATCTACAGCTGTGCGTGCATGGAAAAGTGATATCAACATTCCGATACCAGCTGATATCGTGAGATGTAACCTGAGAGGATTAATGAACGAACGCAGCAAAAAAGGCTCTGCTCACATATGGAAGTGTTACTGACTCTGTGACAATCGGACACGATTCACTTAAAACACTGTGTTGGTATATTCCCGCCAGGAATTTTTAAAACACACAATCACAACCACTTCCCCAACAAACGGAGCTAAACAGAGGTGGAAAAAGATGACATTTACTACCAAAGTCCATATATATCCATATATTTTACTCTGACTGAACAGAATAGCGAGGTATAAACATTGATAACGTGATTTTTTTTCGTAAAACAGGCTGTAGGGAGGCTGTATTGACCTACCGTGTACATCACCACTTGATTTAGCATTGCTTAGTTTCTCAGCATGTCTGCTCAGTACTTGGAGCCCAGCATGTTATTTTAAATGAAACAGCTTAATTTGAAATTGTTCATGGACAGAGCTGACTGTAGAGCCTGCGTTTCACACAGCATGAACGGAGCGTTTTCGTACAGTGTGAATTTAGAAATTGTTGGCTTTGTCTGCACATGACTGTTTAAATGTACAAACTCACCGAAGAACAAGATTCCTAAAATCGCACAGTGTATGTCTGGTTTAGAGGACTATAGCTACAGCTTAACCAGCCAAAGAAAAGACTCAGAGAAGACAAACTCCACAAGTGAGCTCCTCGGATGCGCTAGCCTCAGATGTAACTGTACTACAGAGGCTGTTGTTGAAGGACACAGCTGAGGAACAAAACTACAGCTTTACAGAAGTGATTTTCTGACATGGAACAAAACTCGCTCTTCTCCACTGCAGTGCTACTCAATCCAAGGTAGCGTATAATACAGCATAGCTAGCTAATGCACTTCATTTAAAATCAGATAGACTTTAATGATTTTACTTATTTTCACTAGCAACTACTTAACTCTAAATAGGTTAACTTAGTATGGCATCAGTCATCAGCGAGTACAAAAAAATTTACTTGTACTGAAAAAAAATTTATCAATGTATCCCTAGTCTGAAGTTCACTTATTTTTGTTTTACACTGGAGCTGCAAGGCTAAGTAAAGGAAGTTTATAGCCCACCAATTATAAACATTGCAAACGAAATTATCAGTTCCATCAAACTGCATCAAGTACTTCAGTAAACAAATCTCAAATTGTCTTGCTTGTGTGCTTTCTGACACTATGACACTTATCTATAAAAAAAAAAGGACAAAAGTACAGACAAAAAAAACAAGATTCATGACTGTTAGATGTGCAATGCACTTTTGTTCATTTTTACAAACTACAACTACAAACTTTGAACAACAAACAGGTCATGGCTGATCAGTTACATTTGGGCTAAGGGGAAATTGAAAAAAACTGTCTCTTTAATCTCTCCAGAAGTGACAGACACTTAATATTGTGCTAATTCTGTAGAGCGCTGATAAACAGATAAATCAACAACAAAAAGCACTGTTTTTCTACTCAACCTTGATCATCTTGATTTGTGTTACTGAACACACCCAGAGATATCAGGCTGTTCAAGGACTGAATAATTAAACAGAGTAACAAGACACAGATATAAGATTTAAACTTAGGAAAGAGAGGTAAAATTGGCCTTTTTTTTTGGCTTACTGTTCTTGCTGATGTCCAGCTCCCTGAGATTGATGAGGTTAGCGATGGCCGGCGGCAGCACGGTGAGGTCGTTGTCTGGCAGACTCAGTCGGTGCAGTAACTGGCAGTTAAAGAGTTGCTGTGGAAAAAAAAAAGAAATAAAAGAAAGAAAGAACAAAAGAAAGAACAAAAGAAAGAAAGAAAGAAAGAAAAGAAAAAGATTACTTCAGACTGATGGTTTATTGCACTGTCCAGTGAGTCACAGTTCCACCCATGGCTACTAATCATTACTGGACTTAAAGATAAAATCGAGACACAATCAGGTTTAGAGGCTTAATGAGGACTTAATGGATTTTCATGGGTCCAAACCCAGTTAAGTGTCTATATTGTGGACAGTGACTCAGTGTCATAAATGGTAATTTGTAAGGAATGTTATTATACAGGGGTATTAACAGCATGTTCTCAGTACGTGGATGTACTGATTTAAACTGTTTATCAGGATGCTGCAACAGGCAGTAACTGGAAAATCCGAACTAAGCACTTTGGCATGGACCAAACCCACAACCGCAGTAAACCTTCAGTGGTACCATGGTGATGATACTGCAATACTGCAGTTTCAATATTATTATGATCACTACAAGAGCAGCCATATACGCGAGACAGCCTGATGGTACTGGAATGAAGTGTTGCTCGACTTGCACAGTATGTACGTCTTGTTTGATTATTATTAAATTGACTTAACAGTCTAATGAGCTGTGAAAGAGTCTCAGGAGGCATGTTGCATAATTCTGAATTCATGCAATAGATACAACAATCCACAACCAGTAACCATCTGAATGGAATAAAAAACACGGTCATATGAAATTTGCTTTGAGCTGAACTTCTGTCAAAAGGAACCATCTTCAAAAAATAAATTTTTTAAAAATCGAATGTGCCCATTGTTAGCTTAACCACAAAAACAAGTATTTAGAAGCTACTGCACATGTGAAGTGGCTAAAAATAATGATTTCCTGCCATTTACTGCTCACAATTACCTGATATAACATTAAGGTCCTAACTGCTGAAGTCCAAAGCTAACAGTGGCTATATAAAGTTAATATAATATTTAATTAAGTGTGTAATTTTACAACCATTTTCTGGTGACAGTTTTCACAATGCAATGTAAATGATGTAATTTTTCAGGATTTAACTGTTCAGCAGGCATGTGATAAAGTATCTGTGTAATTTCTCTAAATTCCCACAGATACAATGAACTGAAAAGTCACAGCTAAGATGCTCCCATCAGTGATACATTATGCACTCAATAAAAATAACAACACAGAGCACTGCTGGGTCTATCAGTAAGTTTTGTTATACCATTAGAATGACATGGTTTAGAACACGACTACTATTACTGAGGGAGCTTCGGATTCAGCCAATTATTTTGAAGATCTGTACATTTTTAGTTGATGCAATCATTAAAATCACAAACTTCATTGGTAATCACTTTAGAAGCTCCACAAGTGAAACTAATGCAGCGCAAACAGGGCTAAAGATCATCGGTAGGCTCATGTTTAAACACACTAATATATTGTGAATAAACTCTTAGAGATACCTAAAATGAGGCAATCACAGCTGCATCCATATTTATGAACTAGTATATTAATTACAGATCGAGAAGCCTCTCATTTGACATTTGCAGCAGCTTTGAGGACGCCACAGCAAGTAATGTAGTAGCACCACAGAGAAACCTGTTTAAACCAGACAAAATACACACACTCCTGTTTCTGGTCATAAACCTGTTTACTTGTTAAGCTAACTACTTTGTAACTTTGGTATGGTTTGGCTTGGTTAAAAAAATCAATTTACAGCTTATAAATCGCTTCTTGTTCAAATGGGTAAATCTTACAGCGTTAAGTTAGCTTATATGCTTCTGTTACTGCAGCCTACTGTTAGGCTCAGAAATCTAAAATTTTCTTTTAAATTTGTAACAATTTATGGAAAGTCAGTCAGTTTAGTCCAAATGGATGTTCTCAAAAAAAAAATATGGAAGGCATGAACACAGCCAAATAAATAAATAAATAAATAAATAGCTATGGAATGTTTTGAAAGGAGACAGCATATGACATAGACAACATTTTAAAATAAGACTGAAAGAAGACACTTATTAAAACACAGATTATGACACAACAAAAGTTTGGGCACCTCAGGACAAATGATAATTTGTTGATTTTCTGAGTGAAAAGTTAACAGATCTTGTTCAAATAACACACTTCTAATACATATTTTAATGCATAATTACTTTTTATTTGCTGAATATTGATAAAAACGTTTTATTTTTTATGTTCTATTTTCTTCCAACATACTAAACTTGAGTTACAATTAGCAGATTATACATTCTCTGTAGCAGGATGTGTTTTTTTCTTTTAGCAAATCAACAAAGCATTAATTTGACTAGAGGTGCTCAAACTTTTGCATACGATTGTAGGATTTCCTTTTGTGCATCTTAAAACCACGAACAGTGTTTTGTCTCGCATTTAAAATGTCCAACTATCGTCGATTCATCATACTACCAACAAACTGGCACACATACTTTAGGTAGCTCCTCAATCTGGTTGGCATCCAGGTAGAGCTCCTCCAGCGTCTTCTCGAAACTGAAGATCTCTTTGGGCACCTGCTCCAGACTGCAGTGGGAGTAGTCCAGCGACGTGACCGTTTCCTCCTCCCCCCTCAGACACCGGCATGGCACCAGCCGCACCAACAAACTCCGCTTAGAGCTCATCCTCCCACACACACGCACTCATACACACACCCACACACACACACACACACACACACCCACACACACACACACACACACACACACACGGACCTCAGACACTGTAAAAGAGAGAGAGAGGAGGAGAGACACAAATCAATATTGAGCAGTCATAGTGGACTAATAATAAAAGTATAACTATAAACTCTCTGTGGATGTTGCTAATGGGGCTCTTTGTATTTTAGTATTTTATTGGAGCTGCACAATATATTGTTTGTTAACCGTTATCGAGATGTTCGTGTTAGCAATACTGATACTGCTCAATATGCAAATGAGACTAACAAATCACTAGGGGTGAAATGACACCAGTATATTTAGGTTTGATGCAATTTTTGATATTACAGCCTCATACACCTGTGGTCAAACTGCATGTTTTGTTGATAAATGACCACATCCTCTACAGCAATCACACTTCTGCATGTTTTAAATGCACACTTAATGTTCATTTGCTGAATTTACATATTGGGAACAAAAATCATAAAATGTGGCTTGGGCAAAGGTTATGTTATATGGCAAAAATTACTATGCTCTAAAATTTGTAGAAAAGTACCATATTTAAACTTGTTCTTATGATGTGTTAACTTGTTTTTATATGTAATGCTGATAATGGTAAAATAATAGTAAATAATACGTTTTCTTTGGGAACTATTTTGCCTTTCAACGCCCTGCATGTACCTCACCACAATGTATGCATTTAAAAAATACATTTTAGGCCAAAACAACATTTCTACTGTAAAAAATGTCTCAGTCAAAAAGGCATCAGGCAGCATATTTGTAATCGTTACGCATAATAACTTTCTATGAAGGAGCTTTTAGAGGCACTGAACAATTGAGACGCTGGGTTCCTATCACCACCACCACTGTGAATAATTCTGATGCAGTAAGATTCTCTAGAACAGAGCATTTCACATTAAATCACTCTGAATTACTTTGTGTACATCTTAATGACTAAATTCTTAAAAAAACTTAGAAAATTGGTGGAATTACCCTTTAGCTACATTACAGCAATACAGGCACTGGAACTAATAAACCTGAACAAAAAATAGAGTGCGTTTACATGCACTCAATAATCCGATCATAATCATATTTCTGCAGTTATCTGATTATTCAAATGGTCATGTAAACACCGCACTCTACAAATCCAATTAAGAAATCTGTTATAGAGAGCTGGATTTTAGCTCAATAATTGGGATTTCTCAGTGCATGTAAACTCTTACTCTGATTTCTTTCAGATTTCTCAGACTGCGCATGTGCAAAAACAGACCGGAAATAAGCAAGCAGAGTTGTCGTGAGATGGCAGCAAAACACTTTTTTGAGCGGCGCTGAAACTGACTACATGTGTGACAAAATGAAGGATTAAAATATTCTTCTAGAATATGTATGTTCATATTTTCAGGTAAAGTGGCGCAATGTTTTTTTGAAAAGCTGCGGAATGAAGTTTGAGTTTACGTTACGTTTACGTCACGTCTTCTTCTGTGAGTTTATTGGCTGGTTGCAAAGCAGAAATCCAATTTTTGTCTAATTCAAGCAGATCCAGAGTTTCCCCATTGTCTGATTACTCAAGTGCATGTAAATGCACTCATTGGATTACTGACTGATTTTCTGCAGTTATTGGATTATTAAGTGCTTATAAACAATGGTTATGGTTGAAATGAAGATTTGAAATGTACTCAGACCTCACCTTTACTTTGAAAATTACATTCACAACACACAAAAAAGAGAAATGATGAGAAAAATAACAAGTAATGAACAGAAACCACAACCACAATCATGCATAACTGGGTAACTTCACCACCAGTACCACAGTATTTACATTGTCTATATATATATATGTATTGAGTTTCTACTGAAATGAGTCAAAGAACCCTTTTTAGTGTTATAAACAGGAGTATACTGTAAATGTAAAATTCTCAAACAATATCATCAGTTAGTTATTGAAAAATATTTAGCCCCTTAAAATAGATACTAGCTAAAAAACCTTCCTAATGGCCAGGTCCTAATATGAGTATATAAACAGAACTTAAATGCCTACCATGCAAGTCCCTTAGCAGAATAAGCCCAAAACAACTCACGTTCACTTTTTCAAATGTTGCAAAAGTGTTATTTTATATGTTCTTCACAGAAAATGAGCAAAGGCCAAGGAATCTAAGGTTGAAATACTAATAATAATGAATCGCATCTTTTGTTAAACATTGAAAACAACACACCCCACAAAGGTTAACCATGTACTATCATAGCTTCCCCAGTTCTTTTTAATATACTGTAAGGTATTTCACAATCACTATATCTAGCACAATATCTAGCAACACAGTCACAACACTGAATTTCATCCATATCATTCAGTTTAACACCAGAACGACCCATTTCAACACTGGTGGAGATAAAACTGGCAGAATACAGAAACGAACAGTCCTCCAGTCCAGTATCTGTCATACGGACAGGACGTCACTATTCTTTAACATTCACACCATGTACAAAAGCAGAGTGATAATTTAATGTCCACATAGAGTCCTTGAGGCTTATTGTTCACGCTTATTACATGGAGTGACAAGCGACACAAGCCTTTGCTATCAAATCAGTGGGAGTATTCAGCTGTCCAAGGTTTCAGAATAAAAACGCGTCAGTGCCGGCGAGTAACAAGTGCTGTCTGTGCACTTCTGCATATAAAGACAATCCCCCACCACAGACACTATAGATACAGCCATCAGCCTTTCGCCTGCGCTTGGCATCCGGCCGTGTGAAGGATGGCAGAGAGCACTCCAATCTGCATTTAGATGACTGTTGAGAACGGGTCCGCGGCTAACACAGCTCAGGATGATGCATGAGGCCGAAGCTAATCACCATTATCAACTGTTTACAAGGCTGCTGCCTCGGCAATGGAAAAACCATTAAAGCATAACAAAGCTGTTCATATTACCCACTACTCTTCAAAAGTTTGGAATCACCTGCCAGAAACAAAGTTTGTCATGTAATAATCCATTATAACTTTCATAATTGTGGATTTAACTATAACAAACTATTTGCCAAACGGCATTTTCAGATGTTTTATTCAATATTTCATAGCTGCTGTGAACAAGAAGTGCGTAAAATGGTATTTATAACACTGTAATTATCCAAATACATTAAGGTTTATGGCAAGCTATGTGTCTTGAGATTTGATCTCCGCTTTTGAAATATGATGATTCCAAATATCGATTTTATTATAACTTAATTCTCAATGCTTTACATGCGTTATTGGCTGAAATCATACTGGACAGAATGACAGGCACAATTCACTGCATTCTTTTGCAATGCCTTTCAAAACAAATGATTTGACCTGGGAGGTACAATGAGGGAGGTTATGTTTTCAAACAAAGAACATTTTGTGACTGCAGGTTGATGAGAACAGCTGGTGACTGTAGAACAACCAGTAGCAACCAGACCACTATATTTATGGGAAAACAGTTAAAGAAGGACTTGGAGGAATGTTGCTAACCACAAAATGCAAACAGTGAGCAAGTTATGCTAGAAAGAAAGCGGCTGTTTGCATCATCATTGAAAACTCTCTGGTGTCATCATATAAAACTATTCTCAGCTTTTGAGGAATGTAAAATTAGCTGTTTAAAGACTACCACATACCACAAAGCTGATGTAAACTAAATGGTTTTCAAAATCACTGTGTGGCTTTAAGAAAGAGTAGAAGCTGAAATCCCAGCTCCATCTGAAATCAGCCCAAGTCACACCTTTGAGATACTACACTGTGGCCTGGCTAGAGTAACACAGGCCTATGATGAGGAATCTAATAGAGGACCCAGTGTTTACTTATGGCTAATTTCCCAAACAGCTACAACAGGGGTAGCAAAGAAGGAAAAAAAAATGGTGCTCCAACTTGACACGACTATTTTTCTGAACAGCTTCTGTAAAAAACTCAGTGACTGTTTCCTTTCCTTTTTACCAACCACACAATTAATGGTCACACAATCAACAAAATGGACACAAATAGTCAAAAAAATGACCTACGGGCTCCAGAATGTTTTTTTTCACCTTTGCAATCTGGATGTTGCAGATGGTTGCTATATACGTGCGTACATGCGTATCCTGACCAAATGAGCTCATGATTCAGATGAGTTTTGTACCACTGTTCATCAGATATGATATGAATTCTACCATGCACGTTTCACTGTACAGAGAAAAGAACAGAGAACCAGTTGACTCAAAACAAAGCTGGTTCAGAACCCGTTCGGTTCCGCATTTTTTGGCCATTAAAAGGCCCATCCTTTCAGGTGCTGGTTCAGGATGAGGACAGTTGTTATTAGGACAGTCAGAATGTAACACTGAGAATGAGGCTCCATCAATGAGATCCTTGTGGAAAAAGTATGGAGAATGTGACCTTTCCTCCCCCTCAGAGACAGACAGGCACAAGCCAGTCCTCGCATTGGTGTATGTGTGTGTGTGGGGTACAAGGCCATCAGAAGACAATGAACAGTCAACCAGTGATTTCTTTTGACAGACATTTCAATAGTTATTCTCCTGAATAAAAACCCTTAGTGTTCCGTAGATAGCTGCTTATAAATGTAGGCATTCGCTGTACATACAGTACAAGTCTATGTAAAGCACTGCTAATGCTGCTTCTGTGCTTTATACTGAGTTCATGGTGAGACAGAATAGAGCCTCAGCTTACCAGACATAAACGCACACAGTGGGGGACGTTATACGCACACAGCAAGCAGAGGGAAACGGGTGTGCCTGCTTGCAAGGCCAGCTGATTTATGGAGAAGGTGGAGTCCCACTCAGGCTCCTAGGCTTCAAGTGATAGTTCACCAAAAAAAACGTACACAATTTCCCCTCTTGGTTCAAATGTAGTCGATCAGCCAAGACATGTCTGGTGTCTGAAGTTTGCTTCTTTAGTTTTGCACTGGAGCTACGAGGCTAATGTAGCTAAAAGAGTAACAGAACTCTGTGTCAGTTAAAAAGCCTCACAGCTAATGTAGGAAACGATTTGAGATGCCACGCATGTCTTGGCACTTTAAAGTCAACAGGAATAGGAAATCATTTCCAGCATATAATTTTTATTATCCCTGCCTGCTGGT